ATAACGTCAAACATGCATGGTTTTCGTTGACTGTACTTAGTGCAAAAGCCGAAAAAAATATGATAGGTAAAATGATATTAAATTTATTTAAATTTAATATCATTTTAATATTAAACCACGGGTGGGCTTCAACCACGGGTGCGTCGAATACTGGGGGACTCGGCCACGGACCCGTTTGAGATGATGGCCAGAAATCATTTTACCTACTCACACAGCTATTTCATTATTATTATTCTGTGTAATGGCTTCAATGGTGCGAATTTCAATTTAAAATTACTCAATATTTTAGCGCCATAATCACTTTTGACATTATAACGACATTGACATATTTCAAGATGAAATTCGTGATTAAGAACTCTATACTCTTTGGAGTATATCATAGTCTCTATGTCACACAAAGGTTTGCATTGTTCCACTATGTCATAGTCAAACTACCAACCATTGACCATTTGAATAATTTTACAAAATTAAAAATATTTCTAATACAGTGTGAGTCACGATAAAGTGCACATTATATGAAATTAGGTGAAACCAGACCTATTTTTATCGACAAAAAAGAGGTCAAAAATTTTGAGTTTTTTTTAAATTTTTTATAGATTTTTTTTTCTTCCAATTACTTATTGTAAAGAAAACGTAATAACTTATAAACTAAGAGGTATATCCTGATAAAATAAAAACAGTAATAATGCTAAATAACAGACGATACTAAAAAAAACCCTGAAAATGCCAACAAATAATAAAAAAATATACTTTTTGAAAAAAATCTGCTTTTAAATACGTGTTTTTTTGGTTATTTGATAAAAAAAATGCCCATAATAAGAGGTGGTTTTTGCACTTTGTACTTATTATTCTCTATCGTATTACCTTCGCAAAACCACAAATCGCATTCTCTGTACCAAGGAGTACTCATAAGTCATGACTCGATCACCGAAGGTTCTGTACCTATCCTCATTGGAAATGACTATCACTTTTCTCTTTTTTTCCACTCGAGATCCTTCTATTACAAATAAAGATAAACACAATCAAATGTTTGTATTACACGAGGAACGAACCCGCGACCTCTGGCATTAGTAGGTATAAGCAAACCATTTAGCCCAGGCGGCCGACGATAACAAATTAAGTTGATAGATTTAGTTCAACAGACCGACTACAAAATGACTATAGAATTATTTTCCTTACAGGTACCAAACCCTAAAATATCAAGATTAGGAATATATTTAAGGACCGGAAAGGTGGACCGATGACATCGTAAAGGAAGCGCTGGACGCAGGCCGGCCGCTACCAATCGATCAACGTGGAAAGCATTAAGGGAGGCCTATGTTCAGCAGTGGACGTCCTATGGCTGAAATGATGATGATGATGATGATGAAGACAGACCCCCAAAGGTGGACCGACGATCTGGTGAAGGTCGCGAAAAGTACCTGAATGCAATGCCTGAATGCCGGGAGCGCAGGACCGGTCGTGGAAATCCTTGGGGGAGGCCTTTGTCCAGCAGTGGACGTCGTTTGGATGAAAAAAGGGATCTATTTAAGTATTTACTGTTAAAAAAGTTTCAGATGATTCCGCGTAGTGCCCATATCCCATGCAAATAAATAAATAAATAAATACCCTGGACATTTTACACTGCGCTTCTAGTCCCAAACTAAGCAAAGCTTGTACTATGGGTACTAGACAACGGATATAAACATACTTAAATACTTTTTTTTGTAAATACATACTTATATACATAGAAAACACGCAGTCCAATACAAACAAATATGTTCATGCACACAAATGTTTGTACTGTGCGGGAATCGAACCCGCTACCTCCGGAATAGTAGTCCGTTTCGAACCACTACACCAAACGGCCGACAACTTAATTACACCCTTACCCAAAAAGTGACACCTACGATGAACCTTGGATTAAAATGACATGACATATTCTATACTAAATGATAAATTTAAGCCAGAGTTCAACTAGGGTCAAGGGTGTAACTTTTATTAATAAGGGGGAAAGTTTTAAGGATATGATCCAGATGGACTCTAGGACGAAACAACGTATCATCTATCTACACTTCAACACTAATAATATTATAAAGAGGAAAACTTTGTTTGTTTGGTTGTAATGAATAGGCTCAAAAACTACTGTACCGTTTTTAAAAATTATTTCACCATTCGAAAGCTACATTATCTACGAGTAACATAGGCTAAATTTTATTTTGGAAAAAAATAGGGTTTCGTAAAATTGTAGATAATGTAGTCCACGCGCGCGAAGCCGCGGGCGGAAAGCTAGTATTAAATAAAACAATTAATTTTATGTACTCACACAAGCCACGGATAAAGCGAATAACCACAGCGCGTACATGACGAAGGTGCGCCGGAGACTGCCGGTCAAGGCTGATTCAAGTCGATTGGTAGATGGGACTGTAGGCAGAAATCTTGGCAAAGATAAACTAGCAGAATACACTGCAGACAGAAGACCTGTAGCGTCTTTGAACATTTTTTTTTTATCCACAACGAGGAAGCTCTTGGCCTGTGTCACACCTGATGGTAAGTGACGATTAGGCCGAAGGTGGAAGCGAGCTTCACCCGGAATCCTCAACCACGGAGGAACTGGCTATCTTACCTTCTAACTGCCGGAACACAATAATGCTGTTAACATTGTTGTTAGCCAGGCGGACTTAGAACAAGCCCTACCACCAACCAAACCGAGCAGAAAAATCTGCTCCCACTGGGAATCGAACCCGGGTCTTACCACTAGACTACAGAGGCGGTTAAAATTTGGATACACACAGGGTCCTTGGGGGAGATCTTTGTCCAGTTCAGTGGAAGTCATTTGTCTGAAACCAGTAGGTACTTATTAAATTTTATGCTGAAACGAACGAATATTAACTTAACTAGCTCATCATCCGGTCTCTTAGTCTTCACTATAGGATTACCTTCTTTAATTTCATCATCATCATCATTTCAGCAATGATTTCCACAATGGCCGCTTGGTGGCAGTCTGCATCCAGCGCCTTCCTGCTACCTTTCTCTAATTTACAAGAGGCAAATGGCGGATTTAGCCTACATTCCCCACCCTGGCTAAATGTGTTGTGGAGCTCTATTTTGCCTCTTACACCATGGGTAAAGTGGTCCCATTCTACTCTGCGGAAACCACATGGTTAACTACCTACTACATTAATAAATAAAAATTCAACAGCAGCTGTGTAAACGCTTAATGTACACATATTTGAAATACAATAATCAAAGACCAGCTACCTAATTACCAGTAATTCTAGCTGAAGTAACTAAAATTCCGTTTTTGCGAGTCGCTTTTTCGTGGGGTATTTTTAACGATCGGATCACTAAAAAGGCAATAAAAATTATGATCTCATGTAGGTACCATTGTTCGCCAGAGTTTAAAAGCCTTTAAAACGCACCTGAACATACCTAATCTTTGTCTCAAGCAAGCTTTTGCATCACTGATTAACTGGTTTCGCATCCAGCTGGCATTGAACCCTGGGTAACAAGAGTTTGTTACAAAAGAGCTTACAACGGTTGCTTGTTAGGGGTCTATACTTATTGGTAGCGATTAGGAGCTAATGGTAGTATAAACAATGCCTTTTGTACTGTGTTGGATCATGACCATGTAAGACGCACTTGCTTTAAGAATGGTCATTTTATTGGATTAGTTTTTTACCGCGTCTTTGCGTGGATTTCTACAGGTAGGAAAGCGTTGTTTAAAAGATGGAGCACACTTAAATCAAACGGATCGTAATCGTATAAAGTGGAGGTCTGTTATTCTTTGTATGGAACTCCGTAACAGCAATCTGCAACGCACACCTGCACCGTAACGTAAACGCCTCGCCTCGCGGTTGATAGCTCGATTTAAGCATAAGCGATTATGTTGATCCCTTTCGGATTGATAATAATTTGTGCTTCGTCCTTTAACCATTCACATTCCGCTTTCTTTGCTGCTACTAGGTGCTTACTAGCTGACCCAGCTCTTGGCCTGTATCTCACCTGATGGTAAGTGACGTGACGATCAGGCCGAAGGTGGAAGCGAGCTTCACCCGGAATTCTCAACCACGGAGGAACTGGCTATCTTACCTCTAACTGCCGGAACACAACAATGCTGTTAACATTGTTATTATGGCGACAGACTTAGGTAAGATGGTGGTAGTTAGCCAGGCGGACTTAGAACAAGCCCTACCACCATCCAAATCGAACAGAAAAATCTGCCCCCACTGGGAATCGAGCCCGGGTCCTCTGCGTCTGAAGCAGGTGGTCTAGTACCACTAGGTAGAGACGGTTATAGGATTCTAATGGTGAAAGAACTTTTCCCATTGGTCCAGTAGTTTCGGAACTTATTCTACATACAAACTAACAATCAAATCTTATTTGCTCTTTACAATATCAGTGTGGGTAGATGATACGATTATTATGTAATTAGCTCCGTCTTTAACAAATGTTTAGTAAAAACTAATGAGCTATTATTTACTAATTATATTATCGTAAAGATAGTAGCGGTCACTCACCACAGCACAGCGCTCACAAGTCTTCTTAATGTGATCAAACATAAACATAGAATCGTTCTTCAAGTTTTAAATCATAATAATCTTTTAAGTACTTAGATGATTGTGTCATATACTATCGACCTAGACCAGGTTTTTGAAGGTCCATGGGGGCCCAAGAGATTAGGTAATTCTGCATTCTTGAAACCTGTGAAGCGCCACGTCTATCCTGGACCTACCTTTAACAATTATCTAAGAAACCCAGAAAATAAACAAGCAGTCTTCGTGGCGAACATTTTTGATGTGGTCTAGTTACCTAACTAGAAAACCAGCGTCGTGTTCTTCCTTACCGTGGGCCACGCCATAATAATGAGTGGGATCCCATTGCAATGCGCATCGCGTTGCGAAAGGGTGGCACTGCTTCACTATTCCTTTTCTTGTAATGTTTTATGTGCTATTTCTGTCTTTTTTTCTATTCACTTTTGGTTTTTTGTGATATTCATCGTAATAAATGTTTCTTTCTTTTTTGCTAGAAGATGTTGTTTTACTAAAACTAGTTTTACTGGTCGCTGTTTCTACCCTTTTTTAGTTCACAATTGTACCGTTATTCATGTTGTCAATCCAGTCAGTTATATTCCGAGAACCAAAGGTCACGGTTACCCACGGAATTAATAGTGATTAGTGAACCAATATGTTATGTAATTATGTTTTACTTCTTGTTTTGTGCGCTAATTTTGTGGTAAGTTTAGTTTTGAAAGCATTAACTTAAATTATTTCTGTACCTTTAATAAACATAACACTGTCATTTTTGTTTATTTATAAGGTGTAATAATATGCGTTCCGAAATTCACACAACTCCAAAACTGTTATTTTTTAATCTTTTCGACAAACTCCCTCCCTTTTTATGATCAAAAACCCTGAAAATGTTTTTAATTTTTGTCGCGTTTTGAATGAAATTGTAAAACTGATATTTACGTAAAACGTTATTCAAGTTATTTTGATCTTTTAATTATTTTTTTCCAGTTTAGCGATGTTATACCGGCACCAAAGTTGAAACTCCGTGATGGAAGAGAGATACCTAGCTTGGCACTTGGAACTTGGCTCGGCAACAACACCCAGGTTGGTAAAACTTTTTGCATGACTACCTACCTATCAAAGTAGTTCTTATGTTATTTATAAAGACGGAGACAGTCAGTGCTAAAGTAGACGCGTAAACCACTAGAAACAAGTAAAATTACTTAAGTCTACAGACTAACTAAGTAGGTACTTATTATAAAATGTATTGGAAGCCTTGGGGAAGGCCTTTGTCCAGCAGTGGACGTCATTTAGCTGAAATAAACGAATGAACAAACTAACTACAAGTATTAAATAACATAACACGGTGTTGCTGCCATAACTAGCTTTCTTTTTTTAGAGTGCCCGATATTTCAGAACGCATGTGCTTCCTTTGTACAAGAATGATCCAATCTAAATGAAGATAGTTAGTTGTTTTTTTTTTAAACATACGCAGCGGGTAGGTTAGGCCCTTAGTTTCTTCTCCTCAACCACAGAGGAACTAGCTTGGCGCATATGAGCTGATCATCATCATCATTTCAGCCACAGGACGTCCACTGCTGAACATAGGCCTCCCCCAATGTTTTCCACGTTGATCGATTGGTAGCGGCCTGCGTCCAGCGCTTCCCTGCTACCTTTACGATGTGGTCGGTCCACCTTGTAGGTGTTTCTTTGCGAGATCGAATCAGAAATGAGGAAATCCGTAAACGAACTAAAGTCGCTGACATAGCCCGACGGAGCAAGTTGAAGTGGCAATGGGCAGGGCACATATTACGCAGAACTGACGGCCGATGGGGCAGCAAGGTTCTGGAATGGAGGCCGCGTACCGGAAAACGCAGCGTGGGACGTCCACCTACAAGGTGGACCGACGACATCGTATGAGCTAATAGGTATAGGTAATTGCTCTTTTGTTTCTTTTCAGGGTCGCATTGAGCCTCACTCCACCGAAGTAGAGGATGCAGTCTCCGCCGCCATAGACCTCGGCTACAGACACATAGACACGGCGTACGCTTACAAGGTGGAAGACCAGGTCGGGAGGGCCGTTAATAAGAAGATAGCGGCGGGGGTGAAGAGGGAGGAGCTGTTTATTACTACTAAGGTACTGTAATGTAGGCAGGGTAAATTGCACTCTGGTAACCGACGATCTATCGTAGTTCGCGAGAAGCGCTTGATAAAGACAACGCAAGTCCATCGGCTTTGTGGAAATGCTTGGGGAGGCCTTTGTTCAGCCGTGGGCGTTTTAGACCGCTTGGAAAATCTTTGGAAAGAATTTATCCATTCCTTTAATTGAAATGAACTAAGATACCAGTAAAGTGGTTAAATGTTGAAATCGGTTGAAACAAGCATATAAACTTATGAAAAAAAGTATAAAGCGATTGATAATAGGTACTCATGGTCGTAGATGGACATCAATCTCACGCTATAGTTCCAAAATACTGGACACCGTGACTGGACTGTCCTGTCGATGACATTGACAGTGGGGCGCCACCGTCAATACCGGATCGCTGGTTCAGATTTTTGCCATGTTGGAAACCATATAGTTGGACGATGGTAGCGCCCCCCTGTCATTGAGTTTGGCGGGACAGTTCAGCGTGGGTCATCTATACGTCTGACGTCTTTACTTTTTTGACATTATCTATCGGGCCTATCGGAAGAAAGAAAGCAACTTGTGATACCTAAGTATATATATATAGATGACCCACGCTGAACTGTCCCACCAAACTCAATGACAGGGGGGCGCTACCATCGTTCAACTATATGGTTTCCAACATGGCAAAAATCTGAACCAGCGATCCGGTATTGACGGTGGCGCCCCACTGTCAATGTCATCGACAGGACAATCCAGTATTTTGGAACTATACCTACAATCTACATACAAGAAATTTTTAGGTACCCTAAATGGACTTTTATTTATAGCTCTGGAACGACCGCCATGCCCGGGAGGCAGTGGTGCCGGCGCTCAGGGAGTCTTTAGACCAGCTCAAGCTTGACTACGTCGACTTGTACCTGATACACTGGCCCGTGGGACAGTTTGTGAGTAAAACTACTTAAGACTTTTTACGCTGCACTTGCTAAAGCCGGGTCCAGGCGAGTGTATTGTAATGTAACACGAATTCTACGTGTGGACGGCACTATGAGCATGTAAAGTGCTGCCCATACTATTTCCATTACATTACATTCGTCTGCAACCTTTACCAGATCGTCGGTCCACCTAGTAAGTAGGAGGCCGGCCCACGCTACGCTGGGAAAGGTCGCGGGAAGAGCCTGCATGCGGGCAGCGCAGGACCGTTCATTGTGGAAAACCTTGGGGGAGGCCTTTGTCCAGCAGTGGACGTCTTTCGGTTGAAACTAACGAACTACTTTGTATAAACATTAGTTTTATAACCTATCGAGTTAACTGCGCACCCGGCGGCTGTGACGTCACATCGACGCTCTGGTACAGACGGGGCGAAAGCGGTGAAGTGTACTTAAGTGGGAGAGAGAGAGAGTCACATGTCAGCGAGGTGCGTAGTTAAAGTTTAACTTTCCCCCGGGACAAACTTGACCTTCACTGGTTGGGTTTTTATTGGCGGTCAAGCTGTAGATCCTGGCTACACAGGAGTTGCAGCGGTGGGAACGAGAGGTTGGAATATAGTCCCGTGGGGTGCGCAGTTAGCTCGATCGGTTGTCATTATGTTTAAAGTAGGCAACTTGAATAATTTCATACAATCCTTTCAGGGTAATCAGAGCTACGACTACACAGATTACGTCGACACTTGGCGTGGAATGCTGGAAGCCAAGGTAAGAACATAAAATAAATTTATTTTTTTAAAGATATTATTAGTAATTTGTTACTAATAGTCCCGATAGCCCCTCGTGGTAATGTGTTACGAGTGGGCTCATCACAAAGGTCGAGCGGCGCCACGGCGGATTCGAACCAGCGTTCCTCGGATCTCGAGTCGGCCAGTCCGACCCCTTCACCGTTCGGCTATCGTGGCTTTTCTTTCTGTTTGGAATTCCGATTTTTGCCGTGTTGGAAACTATAGATGACCTAACTGAGTAAAATTTCGCAGGCGCTCGGGCTGGCGCGTTCAGTCGGCGTGTCCAACTTCAACCAGCAGCAGATAGACCGCCTCGCGGCAGCCGGCCTGGAGCTGCCGGCGGTGCTGCAAGTCGAGGTGAGATAAAGCCTCTAAAGGGCACAACATGTTAAAAGATTTTGGCACTATACTTACTTTTTATTAACTTCGCCGTACAAGGCTTAGCGTCAAAATGGGGACACGTAAATTTTTCAAGTGGATTGAAGAGCAGTGCAGTTGAATATAAGATTTTAAACTTTAGCGTTCCATTTCAATTAAATAGTAAGACACGGGTCTTAACGCGACGTTTATTGATGAGTTACTTATGTAAGTACATCTGTCTTACTGTGCAGTTGAATTTACTGTTTCTGTGTTTTGATCCGTTACAATACATAAATAAACACACAGATGAAAGTAGGTACTAATTACATACCTATACCCTCCACAACCCTACTAGCGTAGCAGCCGAGATCTTAAACCACTTCCCAAAATAAGTGTTAGGATCTGAAATTGAATTGAAACATTTAACTGAAATTGCGTAAGATCATTAGCCTGCCTGGATGCGGGAGGTGCCTGGATGCGAGCGGTGTAGGACCGGTCTTTGTGGAAATCCTTGGGGGAGGCCTTTGTCCAGCAGTGGACGTCTTTCGGCTGAAACGGAGTATCATTACCAAAATTTTGATCTCTTTTATTTAACAGATAGGTATGTGGCCTACACTCCCCACGTAGGCAAGCCGGGTTCGGCAGGCCTATTGGTCGAAAGAGTGAGAGTTATCTCACTCTGCTCTACCAAAACCACACAGAAATACTTTTTTCATTCATTGAAATTCATTCTTTAATCATTCTTTTCAAATTCATTGCTTGTACTAATTTAATTAGTCTAAACAAATAAAGTTAATTTTGATTTTTACTATGATCTACCGTTCTTGATTGAACCTCAACCTTCCAGATCAACCTGAACCTCCAGCAGCCGTCCCTCCTAGCCTACTGCCGCGACCACCACATCGTAGTGATGGGCTACACGCCCTTCGGCTCTCTGTTCCCGTCCAAGGCGAGGGAGGACGCGCCCCCACCCCGGGTCGATGACCCCGCCCTGGTGGGGATGGGGGAGAAGTATAATAAGACGGTTACGCAGATCATAGTGCGGTATTTGGTGAGTTTTTAACTCAATTTAACTTAAAATTAAACGACAATAGCCGAACTGTGAAGGTGTTGGACTTGTCAATTTGAGAGTTGAGATCCCGAACGCGGGTTCGAACCCTGCTACACTTGGACTATTGTGTTAAACCCGCTTGTAAGACAAGCACATAATTAGCTTAGTGGGCGTCCATTTTTAGGGGGGGGGGGGGTCCAGTAAAACCTCACATCTCACGTGGGGGAGAGGGGGGGTGTCGAGAAATATCACGTATTTTTTTCCACAACAAACAGAGTAAATCCTCCAAAAAATAGCCGAAATTGTCTCACGTAATTAATGGACGCCCCCTTCTTCTTTTTTTCTTTTCGAGGGATTAACGAGAAACTAGATAATTTGTACAATAATTTGTATTGCACAAATTACAATACTATTATTTTTTTAAATACAAAATTGCGAAAACTAATGAGACACAAAATAGTCAAGTTTCTTTCTAAGCTTGTGTTAGAGTAACAAATTTAAATTATTTTTTCATAATATTTCAGTTGGACCTCGGTATCATACCAATCCCAAAGGCGCTGAAGCCGGCCCACATCGCTCAAAACTTTGCGGTCTTCGACTTCAGTCTCTCGCAGGAAGACAGAGACTGGTTGAAGACCTACGACAAGGGTTATAGGACCATACCGCAGCTGAAATGGCTCGACCACCCATACTATCCGTTTGAAAAATCGTAAACGGTAGGTAGTCCAGTCATTTAAGCTTAAATTAGGTAAGAATCTCGGAATTAGAGATACCCAGCTGTAAGTCTGTAAATACTTGTATATTGACACCCTAAAAGTTGTCTCAAAACCTACATATGGTAGGGTGTAAGCAACTATTAAATTTTAAGGTCAAAGGTCACAAAAATCGGTTTTTTGCGCCTTTTTTGGAAATATCTCATTTCCTATGAGTTTTTTGCTATTTGTATTTATTATCAATATTGTAGAATACTAAATTCTCTACAAATTTTGTTTANGTTACAACAAGGAATTCCCGAAATTCCCACAGGAATTAGCGGGAAAATCCTTTTGTATGAAAAATCTAAACCGCTTAAGTAGACCTGAAGTGATGCAGTAACCGCGCGCTCTCCGCCCTCTATCTCGAAAACGGTTCACCGTATAAAAAAAGTTTTTAAACAAAATTTGTAGAGAATTTAGTATTCTACAATATTGATAATAAATAAAAATAGCAAAAAACCCACAGGAAATGAGATATTTCTAAAAAAAGCGCAAAAAACCGATTTTTGTGACCGTTGACCTTGAAATTTAATAGTTGCTTACACCCTACCATATGTAGGTTTTGAGACAACTTTTAGGGTGTCAATATACACGTATTTACAGACTTACAGCTGGGTATCTCGAATTCCGAGGTGAACTTACTATAATGACTGGACTAAGGTACCTACTTAGGTAAGTAGTAGGTAGTTAGGTACGTCTTCAATCAATGTCAAAATGTAGGTACTTAAAATCATACTCCAATACTCAAAAATAAATGTTTAAGAATAAATAAATGTATTAACCGTAATTATCTTTTATTTTCCTGAGTTTTTATTTATCAAGTTTTCCATGATTGTAGTGCAAAATTAGGTGTAAAATAATCGTTATTTGATTTTTCGGATTATGCGCCATCTATTGTCATTTTCAATAGCTATATTGCAAACAGAGTTGTGCATCATAACTATCATAAGCAAGACGTGGAGCTCAGCAAAATGAGCTCAATTTTTCGCACATGGATACCGGTTTTTTATAGTCTGTCGCTTGTCAAATGCATGAGGTACATCACTATAACCGATCAACAAATTTTTTGACGTGTGTGGTGTATTCGTGGTCGCGATGTCTGCGTTAAATAATTTATTAGTGTTATCGACAATATCCTGCATATTAGTGTTTGTAAACACACAATCAGTGCATAGACGATTTGAATACAAATATTCTTTCAAGCCTCCTTATTTAGCACAAAAAGATGGATCAGTTCCTTTCTGGGAGTATGGTGGCAGTGAGTATAAACTCTTTTCTTATTAAAATCCCTTGACTGGGGCTCGGTAATTGGGTTTTACGAACTGTAAAACTAATAGGCGTTTGCTCAGATGTGCAAAATGTGCATTTTAATTTATAAAAATAGAATAAAAATGATAAAACAATTTGTTGTTACGGTCCAACTTGGGATGACAGCGACACGTCAGTGAAATCTGTCATGTGAGAAAGAGGTGGCTAGATTGGGGTTTTCTCGTGTGTGAAAGAGACAGGTAGATGTGGTAATTGTCAAAAATCGTGTTTTTGGTTCCACGACGGCAAATGAAAATGCCGTGAACTGTGAAATTAAGGAATTCAAAAATGTTGTCGCTGACCTGAATTAATGTCTTTAATGTAGGTTAAACCCTGTATTAATTTCCCAGCATATGACGATGGCGAAATTCAAGAAAAATACTTTCACATTTTAATAATGCAAATATTAAATTTTAGCATTTCCCCATTTACCCGTTGGCGTATCCAGGGTCATTTTTCAGGGGTGGCCTGGCATGTCATGATACAGGGTTATTTTGGTAGGCATCAGGGAAAAATATGTATCAACTAATCAACCAGAGACTAAATCCGTTGCTGCAAATTTTCAAATCGACTATGAAATTGCTTCTTTATATTTACTAGAACTAGCAAGAGTGATTTACATAAGTTCAATACAAGAAACAAAAATAAACTTGCCGTTCCAATTTCAGACTGCACAAGATTGGTGATTCATTCAGGTGTATTAAACTTTTCAATAAATTACCACAAACTGTTGTAGAATTTCCCATTCATAAATTTAAAACACATATCAAAAGCACCTTAATAAAAAAGGGCTACTATTAAGTTGATGATTATATAAAAGATAAAAATGTTTGGAATGTTTAACTACCTAGCTCGCATCAATACTTATGACTATAATTTGTATATTTTAAAGACTGTAAAACCTTGAAAAGGAGGCTGACAATAGTGACTGAGTTTCTTGCGCTGCTTCTTCTCAGCACTGGCCCATATATTATTGTCCCGAAGCAGTGGTAGGGTTAATATTGGGACGTGTAAAAGTGCTTTGTATTTTGATTTATTACGTTGAATAGGTCCACTCTGGAACATGCATAATTTTGCCAAAATGTAGCTTTAAACTCCTGTATGTATTACCTTCCTTGTGTTTCAAGCTCAAAACATAAAAAAGAGAAAATGAAGAGCAATGGCCTAAGACATGCAGAGCAAAGTATTGTCAGATTCGCTTCTTATTGGTTATCAAATGTTAATATAATTTGTCTTTCTGAACTATTTAATAAATTCTTATTTCCATGTGCTTCTTATCTCTTATCACCATTGTTTTCATAACTATTTCCTGATCTAATTATTTTACGAGTCAATAAAAGATAAAACAAGGTTTTAAAATTAAATCGCTATAACAAGAAGTAAGTAATGGTTTTAACAATAATGTGTACGTATTTTGAGTAATTATTTTTAAAGTGTACTTAACAAACCTGTTTTCATGTGACCATAAAATTTAATGTCTTTTGTTTTTTGCAATCATCATTAACAGATCATTCATCACCTTTTCTAATTTAACAAAAGCTTGATGATTTGGCCTTCACCATTTAAACTACTCCACTAAAATAATTGGTTGGAATTATTTAATCCCCCAATTCTATGATCAAATGCTAGAGAGAGAGTTTGTCTCATTATCTTATTTTAAAAAATCCTTCAAAATATTGTATTGCATGTTACATAAAGCATAAATTTTACCTAGCTTTAATGCATTACTATTTTAAAATACAATACTAAAACGTCAGCAAGAAATTAAAATATTCACTCCACATTAACGAAAAGTATGTCACAAAGTGACTCATAAAGCAAAATAGGACTTAACACTTGCGAATAAAATTTAAAGTGGAACGAACAGAATTAGTATAGACCAAGACAAATTGAAACACTATCGACTATAGTTCAGTCGACATCTTTAGCATAACAGTGTAAATTACATCGATGTAGCATATCTTACAGCGTAATACTTTTATGCATGACTATCGAGAATTGAAAGGTAAAGTAAGAGTTTTCATAGTTTGAAGGTGATTGCATATTAACGTTTAATATTATCCAATAAATATTTTAATGAACTGATTCCTGATTGTGCAGTGTTATCACAATCGTATTTAATTTGATATTTTATATGAATAGTGCCTGAATTAATTAGTTAAATAGGAAAATTGATTTTGTTTGTATGCTGTTTTTCCTTGATCCGATCTCATTACAGTTAACAGGACATTAGACTACGATTTTGTAACAAAGTAGCACATATTCGTTTGTCCGTTTCCGACAAAAGGAAGTCCACTGCTGGACAAAGGCCTCTCCCAAGGATTTCCATAACTACCAGTCCTGCGCTGACCGCGTCCAGGCACTTCCCGCGACCTTCGCCAGATCGTCAGTCCACCTAGTGGGGGGCCTGTCCACACTACCTAGTCCGTGGTCCGTCCTCCACTACATTACTACCAGCAGTGTCTTGGACAAACTTGATGTAGCTAAGTTATAATAAAGGATTGACTTTCAGTAACCAAATAAAATGCATTTTTGTTGCCACTGAACTTGAAACATCTTTTTCTAAAATAATAGATACCATCTCAAAGCTTCTTCTAGTATAACTACTAAGTTAATCTCAATAAAACAATATAAACTACTTATCTGCCTGCTAATCCGGTGTTAAGTTGTAAACCGGCTCCCTTAACGCCACTGATTAGCTTATCTATCAGATACTTGACGACTTTTACAGCATAACATAAAACTGACGTTTGTGATAATATTCCCATTAAAAACGCAAATAAAACTATTTTATTTATTTTAAAATGTCTGTTTATACTTGTAAAAGATAATGAGTGTATTAAATATAGTTTAATAAATAATGTATTAACTTTTATCAAGTTTTTTCTCCAAATAACAAAATAATCAGATCCAAATAGTTAGAGGGTTCCTTGCGTCACGTACCTACGTGACATCGAAAGTTGCTACATCGAATGTCACGGCAGCGAAAACGCTGTGTCAAATGCTGGACGCAGCGAGCGAATGTCTTGACATCGAAAGGTTGTAATATGATAAATCACGAAAACAGCCCTCAAACGCAACATTTTAACAATAATTTTCAGCCGAACTAAGTTAAAATGTAATGGAATTCTACAACTCGATCAAGTTAACTGCGCACGTCGCGACCGTGATGTCAGATCGACGCTCTAGTACAGATGGGGCGAACGCAGGCAGGTGTGCAGATAAGTGAGAGAGAGAGTCGCATTCCAACGAGTTGCGCAGTCAGCTCGATCGGTTTGTACACACGGCCACACTGTTAACTATCCATTTCCGTTTTTTCTCTCGCTCTCATCAAATGGTGATTCTTTGCGATAGAACAAGACACTATGACCTGCAATAGGCAGTTAACACTGTTGCCGATAGTACATAGTAAAACCTTAGATCCTAATGTTCTCAAATGAACTTCCTTCTACCCCATTCCAGATGCGATCGCGTCGGGTGAGAGCGTGCGGCTGGCTCCTTCTATGCGCAGCCAGAAGGGCGCCATCTGGTCCAAGCACCCGCTGTCGTTCGACTGGTGGGAGGTGGACGTGATGTTCAAGGTCACCGGGAGGGGCCGGATAGGAGCCGACGGGCTGGTGAGCACACTTTCTGCCTTTAACATAAGGGGGACCCTGGGCATTTAGGAGAGTCCCTTTAGCTCCAATAGTTCTAAGATTAAGTCACATACGGCCTGGCCTGGTGAGTACTCCTTTTACATAAAGGGAACCCTGGACATTTAAGAGGGTGTCCCTTTAGTTCCCTCCAATAGTCTGATATCAGAGGACAGACGGGGCGTATCCAGCTTCTGGGCAAGTGTTTGGTGAGTACTGACACAGCTTAACCTACTTGGATCCTGGACGTATAAGTGTTCTTTTAGTTCCAATAGTACGGTCATCAGGGCACATACGGTCCTGACTTTGACATACCTAGCTTCTGGGCCAGGGAAGGGGGCATATTATTTTGTGAGTGAGGGAGTCTTTAACGTACTGGGGACCCTGGGCATACAAGGGAGAGAGCGTGCGGCTGGCTCCGTCCATGCGCAGCCAGAAGGGCGCCATCTGGTCCAAGCACCCGCTGTCGTTTGATTGGTGGGAGGTAGACGTGATGTTCAAGGTCACCGGACGAGGCAGGATAGGAGCCGACGGTCTAGTAAGTACTGGGGACCCTAGACATATAAAAAGGACTCTCTTTAGCTCCAATATGGTGTACCAGACAATGGTATACTTCCCTATTAAAAGGTAGCCAAGGTAGATTCTTAGTTTAAGAGGAGGAGCAGTTGCCCTTCCCTGTTAGTTCCCTAGTGAATTGTCACTCGCAACATCATCTTATAATCTAGCGCATCGAACCCTAAGCAGTTGCACCGTAGGTGTATCACGTCCGTGATCTCCAGGCTTTAAAAAATCGGAGCACTGAAACGGGAACTGGAACATTCCAGTCTTCTGTCTCTTGTTGTAGTGAAATATCGTATATCCCAATATTAACTGATTCTAAAATAGTTTTGCCCTAATGGCATTCATTTCTACGACCTGTCCAGCACACGGGCCATTTCCCAGCAGTGGATGGAACTCTGTTGAAACGAACGAATAATCTAATGTCACGTCCGTGATCTCCAGGCATTCTGGTACACAACTCAACGCGGCGACTACACGGGTGAAGTCTTCGGCTGCTCCGACCGCTAGAACATGCTAGCGCTCATCTTCTACCACTTATTGTAGTGAACTATTACTATAAGATTCTATAATATTTTAAACTTTCGCGTTCCATTTCAATAAAAATAATAAGACACGTGACACGGGTCTTAACGCGACGTTTATTAATGAGTTACATTATGTACTCACGGCTTGACGTTTCATCTTGTGACCACTGCTGCAGCATCGCAGCCGAAACGTCAAGCCGTGAGTACATAATTTAACTCATTAATAAATGTCGCGTTAAAACCCGTGTCTTACTATTTTTTTATTATAAGATTCTATTCCCAATATAACCTAATGTCACGTCCGTGATCTCCAGGCATTCTGGTACACGACGCAACGCGGCGACTACACGGGCGAAGTCTTCGGCTCCTCGGACCGCTGGAACGGGCTGGCGCTCATCTTTGATTCCTTCGACAACGACAACAAGCATAACAACCCATACATCATGGCCGTGCTCAACGATGGGACTAAGGTGTTTGACCACAAGAGGTAAGGAAGGAGCATTTATTTGAAAAAAAAAACTACTTTATAAAATATGGCTTAGGCCCGCACGCTCGAGCTGTTCCGTGACTTCCGTGTATGTGTGTACTTAGAAATACTACACAGTCGCAGTTTGAAGCGAACAATACTAGCTGTTTCAAGCTGTCAGTATAGTGCGGAACTTTAACAGTAAATTAATTTTTTTGCTAATATTGTAACCCACTTTAATGTAATACACATAAAAACAACTACAATACAGTAAACTTAAATAGACTAACATATTATAAAATACATGACATCAATGTTTAGTTCGCTCCACCTCCCGAGTGCGAAAAAAAACAATAATGGGTTATTTACATTTTTCTGCAGCGACGGATCCACTCAGCTGCTGTCGGGCTGCCTGCGAGACTTCAGAAACAAGCCGTTCCCGACGCGCGCTCGCATCGAGTACTATCTCAACACGCTCACTGTATACTTCCACAACGGTGAGTACTCACGATAGTGAGCTTCCGTCATTTACAGCATCAGTCGATAATGTTGTAATGAAATGGTAGGGCAAGATGTAATTGGGATGTGTATAGGTGCCTTGAAAATGGCCTACATTCTAATAAAGAGTTTTGATTACAGTCTATGAACCATAGAATTATAACATCTAGAAACCAAGCACGCCCAAGAAAAGTGAGGCACTTTAAATTAGACTATGACTCAGTATGCCGAATATTCCGTGCTTTTACCCTATCAGCCTTTGATGCTTTCTACATGGTCCTTCGAGCCGGATATGAAACGGTGACCTATGGATTCAGACAAACTTTTCAACTGTATGGAACACTGTAGTGCCCAATGATATGTATTAATGGAAGTTTATATCCATAATCCGTTGACTGTTACCCATAGTACACTGCTTAGTTTGGGACTAGACGTCGTAGTGTATATTGTCCAAGCAAGACTTCTCAGCACCAGCCTATATGTTGTCCCGAAGTGGTGCCCAAGCTATATTTGGAACGTGTACAAGCGCCCTGGAAAAAGCCTAAGTACTTGATAAATGATTTGATTTGAAGAATATTTATTAAGGCTGGCTTCCGCAGAATAACAGCGTCATGTTCTGGGTTTTACTACCTCAGAGCATGACATGCTGAATGGTGGCCATTTTACATCATTTTAGAGTACTTTTTCATAGTTTAGACGTGCAGTTGATCAGTATGGGCATGTATGGGAGTGCGCACACTACGCCGATTCGATTTGGCCGATTCTTCATACAAATTAAAATCGGGCACAACTATCGGCCAACTAAAAATCAACGGGGTGCGCCTACTCTAACTTATTCAAACTGTGTTTAATTTTTTTTATGTTCGAACTAAAATAAGTGTTTTCTTTCTATTAATTTATTGTTCTCTCCAGGCATGACCAACAACGAAGCGGACTACGAGCTGTGTTTCCGCGCCGAGAATGTGGTGCTCCCTCGCGGCGGCTACTTCGGGCTGTCGGCCGCCACTGGTGGACTAGCTGATGACCATGACGTCATACACCTGCTTACTACGTCACTGCACACCACGCAGCAGCAGGGTAAGTCATATGACGGAAACATAGCGAGGAAGCGGAGCTGAGAAGCGGAACAAGGAAACGGAGCTTGGTAGTAGAGTGAGGAATGAGGATCAGAGTTGGAAAGCGGAACATAGATAAATGCGGAGCTGAGAAGCGGAGTTGGAAAGCGGAGCTTTGTAATGGAGCGAGGATTGGGACTGGAAAGCGGAGATGAGATGCGGAGTGAGAAAACGGATTGGAGAAATCAAATACTTGAATAAATACATCCGCAACTCCGCTCCGCTTACTTCTTTTTCGTTCCGCTACCTATCTCCGCGTGGTAGACACAGTCTGTATCTCCGCTCAGCAATACACAGTGTCCGCTCCGCTACCTCACTCCTAAGTAAGTAGCTCGTGATGCTTTCGCTCTTGTGGACAGATAAAGTCCGGTCGCCTAGCACAGAATTTCGTCCAATGACCCCAAGCTACCCATCCTTATTGCTTACGCGTATTATATTGCTGTCACTCTCGCACACTCACTGCGGCCGTCCGTCGCACAGTCGCGACAGGAATTTAATTACACGCGAGCGATAAGGATGGGTAGCTTGGGGTCATTGGACGAAATTATATCTGCTTGGCGACCGGATTTTAGCTAAGTAGCTGGTGCTCCCTCGCGGCGGCTACTTCGGGCTGTCGGCCGCCACCGGCGGGCTGGCCGACGACCATGACGTCATACACCTGCTGACGACGTCACTACACACCACGCAGCAACAGGGTAAGTGACATGACGGACAGAATGGAGTGAAGCGGGGAAGCAGAGCGATGAAACGTAGCGAGAAAACGGAGTCACAAAACAGCTGGTAAGCGGAGTGAGGAAATCAAATTACTAGAAAAAATACTGACTGCAACTCCGCTCCGCTTACTTCCTCTCCGCTCCGCTTACTTCCTCTCCGCTCCGCTGTCTATCTCCGCGTGGTAGACAATATTCACAAGACAGCACATTTTAAAATTTAAAATTTAATTGATTTTTATAGATTCTACATAAATATTATTGTTACTACTAAAAATTACAATGACAACGAATATTTAAAAAAATATGTAAAATGAATAATTTCAATTTATTCTAGTGATATTAAATTTGCAATTAAAATTTATTTTAATTAAGCAAACAAAATTAATTAGTGATATTAAATTTGCAATTAAAATTTATTTTAATTAAGCAAACAAAATTAATTACAATGAACAAATTAATAGATAAAGTCTTTAACCAATTTCTTTTAAAAGTATTGAAATTTATATTTGATGAAGTAAATTGCAAATTAATATAAATTTTTAAAAATGTGTTAATAATGTTATAATTTTCGACATTATTCGGACTTCAAAATTACTTACTTAATTTGACCCTTCTACGTTAAATTCTTATTTTCTAAAAAAAAAATACACAAATTACACAGTGGCCACATGTGAATTACAAAGTTAGTTATTTAAGTATTTAAAATGTAAATATTTTTTTTTTATATTCAAAAATATAAGAAATACGTAATTTATTACTTGCTAATTCTTTCATCTCCTTAACGCGAGCTTCATCATCCGACGGCATCCGGAACCTTGACACGAACTCTCCCAGCAGCCAGCAATTAACCAACATCTGACTCGAACTCTCCCAGCGCCCTGCACATCACCAAACCTCCATCTGGCACCATCTACGCCCGGCAGCCAGCATTTCCATTTTTCTTAGTTTTAGATCTTCTTAAAATTCTCCGACATTCCATTTATTTCACTTGTTCTTCAAATTAAATTCTTCATCTTCTTTATTCGATTTTATTTTTCACCAATTTTCGTATTTTAGTCCATTTATAAAAAAAATCACATTATTTATTTAACACCAATTAATTCGTTATTTAATTGCACAGCACTGCCCTGGAGAGTTCACAATGAAAGAGTGTATACTGTGCGATGCGAGTATATTGTGAGCGTCAGTTTACGCAGCAACGTCAAATATATAGCCTTAATTTATGTTAGTGTGAGGGTGGCGCATACACATACTACAACAGACACAGTTTGCGCTTCGCTCAGCATTAGTCCCTTATTGCACTCCGCTACCTCACTCCTGAGTAGCTGGTGCTTGATGACGTCATACACCTGCCTACGACGTCACTGCATACGACACAGCAGCAGGGTAAGTGTTATAATATACACTAGGCAAGTATAAAGCTGTGTGACAAATAGTAGAGCCAGGAAGCGAAGTGACTTAGCGAAGCTGAAAAGTGGAGCGAGCAAACAGAGCTAGATACTACACAGCAGCAGGGTAAGTGTAGTTTGGTTCCCAGTGGGGGCAAAGGGCACAACAGGATCAATGGAAAATATAGCGGAGCGAAGAAATAGAGCTGAGAAACGGAGCGACGAAGCGGAACGAGGAAGCGGAGCCTGGTAGTGGAGTGAGGATCAGTTGGGAAGCGGAGCGTAGATAGATGCAGATGCGGAGTTGGGAAGCGGAGAGAGGAAGCGGAGCTTGGTAGTGGAGTGAGGATCAGAGTTGGGAAGCGGAGCGAAAAAGCGGAGCATAGATAGATGCGGAGTTGGAAAGCGGAGAGAGGAACCGGAGAAACTGAGCGATGAAACATAGTGAGAATATGAAATTACTCGTCGCGCGCTCGCAACCTAACTCCAAGTGTATGGACACAGTCCGCATCTCCGCTCCGTATATTTTCTCGCTTCGCTTCCTATCTTCGCGTCTATAGACACAGTACGCTCCGCATACTTCCTCTCTTCGCTCCGCTACCTATCTCTTCATATATGGACACAGTTCGCTTCTCCGCTTACTTCTTTGCATACTACGCAACAGCAGGGTAAGTGATTAGACCACCTGTTTGTCCCTGGTTTGAATACCAGTGGTGATAAAATTCACAGTAAAGTCAGTGGCACATATAGCTGTACATAAATACATACTAGATTGAGCGAGGTGACGGCGGAGCGATGAGCGAGGTAAAAATCCACCAAAATCTCCGCTCCTCTTTAGTAGTTAGGGAGTTGTGAATCAATTTTAATAACACATAAAATCCGGAAGCGAAATCTGAATGCGGAGAGTGGGGAAAAAAAATTAGTCGCGTGTTGTCTAAAATAATAGACAAACAGTTTCTTTCGCATTTGAATTTAGTGTTATGGCGCAATTACACTATGCGGAAAATTGGCCGAGACGAAGCGCGAGCACGCTCACCGAAGTATGGGCGATACACACCGAAACTAATTGTAGTGCGTGTCTACACTATGTCTCGATCAATTTCCCGCATAGTGTGACTGCGCCATTACGAGTATTTACTATCCTTCTTGAAGTGGGTAGAGTAAGCTATATTTTGGACGAATGGGGATGTTGCCTGGGTCAAAAAGCAAGAGTTTTAATTAGTCCGTCATTTAACTTATCAAAAAATACTCTACACGTATTTTTCACTTTTTCAAACTAATGAAAATTTAAAGAGATAAAGCGCCCCAAAGTTCATAAGAAGAGACCCGTGACGTCAACGCTTGCTTAAAAATGCCGCACGTTGTGACGTCGTGCGCAAAATCAACGCACCATAACTATGTAATTATTTGTTAGATTGACAAATAAAAATATATGTGTCCAATATTTTTTGATATTAAACATTACGGACTAAAAAAATTTTTTTAGGCAACTAGCCTATTAGTGCCATAAAAGGCCCGCATGCATACTAATAAACATTTTGAATTACAGGCGGGCAGCAGATCAGCGCGGACGAGCAGCAGAAGCTGGACCGCGAGTACCAGGAGTACCAACAGAAGCTCGAGCAGCAGAAGGACCAGTACCGCAAGGACCACCCCGACGAGGTCAGTCCACGGCAAGCACCATGCTTTTAGACACCATCTTAATGCCAATCTACTATTTACAGTAATTTTTATTACAAACACCAAGACTTGTAGTGTGACTCAAAATGACCTAAACTGAACTGTCCCACCAAACTCATTGACAAGGGGACGCCACCATCGTTCATCTATACAGGGTGTTAGGTAAATGGGTATGAGCCGACACTAGCCCATGTTAACATGGTCATATAAATGGTATGGTGAAGTCAGATAAATTGATATCTTCATTTTAATTATTTTAATAATCAGAACCAGCGATCCGGTATTGACGGTGGCTCCCCGCTGTCAATGTCACAGATAGGACAGCTCAGTATATTGGGAAAAAGCCTTTACATGTGTCCACTATAACTTGATATTAGATATTAGGGCTTGTTGAAGTTTTCATAGTACATATCTACTTTTTTACTTTAAAATTGTTTCTTTTTAACTGTAATTGGAGATCAGACTGAACAATACCTAAAGGCAATTATTCTAATTTTTTCTCCTTGCAAAACTAATATCTCTCTCTCTCTCTCCCCAGATGAAGGACAAGGAGAGTGAATTCGACGACTGGTTCGAGTCGGACGGCCAGCGCGAGTTCAGACAAATCTGGCAGGGGGTCATGGCCTTACAGGACGCACTCCGTGACGTCAACAAGAAGGTCGACGAGGTGAGTCATCGTCATCATCAGCATTTGGATATTTAGGGTCATTTTTCAGGAGGAACCTGGCCCCTGACTAGCCATGGTACGAGGGTGCGATTGGTATCATAGCTCAAGAGTGAGTCCAATCAACCATCTTCTTCTTTGAATCGGTGAGACGACTGATTCTAGTTCCAACTGATCTGGCAGGGGGTCATGGCCTTACAAGACGCACTCCGTGACGTCAACAAGAAGGTCGACGAGGTGAGTCTGAATACGCCACTGAGGACTCCATTCATAAGGAAGGATCGAGAACGCCCTTTCCTCCAAGAAAATAATTTCAAAATTATAGATTTTTTCCAGGTAAGGCCCGGTCTCCGACAAGGCGGAAAAGAGCGTAGAAATGTTTTGAATACCAATCAGATTTCATTTAAATGAGGGTTATCGCGTATAAAAAATCTGCCAGATGGCAATACGTAGACGCGAGGTCCAAATGCTGCATGATTGGTGGATTTTTGACATGACATTGACAGATATGTCAAATTCCACCAATCACGCAGCTGTTGGAAACCGAGCCTAAAGAAAATTTATCCCTTTGGCACTATCCCCAAGGTTGGGCGGTAGTTAGATTTTATTTGTAATCAGCGAATTGATTTTTTTAGAATATGTGATCATCCTCCATTGCAAAGGGTTGAACCTACATTCCCCACACTAAGGCCCAGAACAGACGGTGAAACGCAACGAAACAGCAACTGCTAGTTACTTTTGAGTTGCATCTAAGTTTCTGCCATAGCGTCCGTTGAGAGACACATGACGCGACCAGTTTGAAACTTTCAACTTCTTGTTCTGGGCCTAACCAGACGGGCTGGGGAGGCTTCATTATCCACAATAAAGATTTTCAATGAGGGCTATCGTTTTTATACTTAGCAGTTGGCACCCCTGGCGATTGACAGGACCTTACTCTACAGTGGCGCCATCTTCATGAGTGCAAATACGATAGTCCTCCTACCACTTTAGCGCTCACCAGTTGGCGCCACTGTCTTCGCTACTAGCAAGTGACAGGACCTTACTCTACAGTGGCGCTAACTGGTGAGCGCTAAAACGATAGCCCTCATTGAAGTTTATTACATATTCCCTTCTCTTTTGCAGGTGATCGGCAAGCAGACCAACTCGCTGTCTCTCCTAAGCGCAGTATACAGCCACACACAGGGACAGCCCATACAGCCTGCCGCGCCTGGACAGCCGCCCGCGCAGGTAAGGCGATTATCACACTGCACCGCGCTCCGCCGCGGTACGCGGGACGACAGATACCGCGCGCGTCACCACGCTGTGTGATCTGCCTTCCCGCGCGGAGCGACGTTGCCCGCGTGCCCCGCGTCAAATAAAGAATGTCCACCGATCCTTCGCCGTGGCAAAATAAATATGCTTAATCATTGTAGGTACAGTCACAGAATAATAATAAGTACTACGTACAGAAGTTTTACTTCGCGAAGCTATTTAAAAAAATGTATGCTCAATGTCATTAACTATATGGTGTAATTTAAGTCTGTCCTGTCTCAAGAGTCAAGCACCATTTTGTTGACAAACGTCAGTGATCGGCACTGCGCCGAAGCTATAGGGCTGACTTCGGTAAAATGATGTGACGTGAGGTGCCAAACTGCGGAAAATGGCGGAGGAAATACATGATTTAGCATGAATTATCATGAATAATATTAACTACTTATTTACCTCTCAGTGTCTTGAGGCAACTTAAAAAAATACATTCTGTGTTTTTATTATTATTTAGGCTTAAATACTGCACATTATTTAGTACACCATTTTCTTTATTTTCTTCCATCATACACAAGAATACGCGTGCGTGAGTCAATGTTCGCTCGTATGTGAGGCCTTGTCGAATAGTATCCTGTAGGTGGGCCATCGTGCGTTTTTTGTTTTCGATGTAAACTCGCGGAGATGAACAGGCCTGGTACAGTCGACTTCAAACTTAATGGCGGCTTCTTCGCCCCTACTCGCCCGCTGCATAAAGTTTGCTTCGGACTGTACATGTACAGAAATACTTTTTGTTTTTGATAGTTTCATACTTCGTGATTCTTTAAGCCATGTATTCATTAAGCAACGTTTGTTTATAAACTGTTCATAAACAATGTTTCATCATCTCTGTAAACAGTTTATAAATAGTCAGTAAAAATAGTTGATGAAACATTGTTTATGATACATGTTGCCGTGCTCCCCGCTATGAGTGGAGAGCAAGTGTAAACGGCCAAGTTTCAGAAACCTGTGTTTATGGTAAACTTGTTTCACACTAGTCATAAACAGTTTATCAACAAATGTTGCCTAATGAATATGTTACGGTCAAAGTGATAAATGTGAAAATTATGAATAATCGCCGGTTATTATGAATAATTACCGCATGATTTGGTAAATGTGATTAATATGAGGTCATTTATGTGTGTATAAAACTAAATTTTTCACTTTAAATCAAAACATTATGTTAAAGGCATCATGGAAAAGTAATATTATGCAAGAAACATTCCAAACTCATTATGCCAAATTATATTAATATATGATATCAAAACGTTCAAAAGTTTGGCTGTACACGAGCACGTACACAAGATGTTGTTCTCTTTTATTAAATTTGTTAGTACTAAGGTTGAAATGTTGAATTATTAAATAATCACTGTTAAATGTGATTAATTTATCACTTTTACCGCGACTGTCTGTAATTATTCATAATAACCGGTTATTATTAATAATTTTCAATTTATCACATTAACCGTAACAAATACATGGCTTTACACGCTGTATAGTCTACGCCAATACCACCCCTATACACCCGCAATAAGCGTCATTTCCCCGCAGATGCCGTCGCTGCCGATCGGGCGGCACGACTGGGACGGGCTGGTGGCCAACAACCAGATCATGATCAACACCATCGCCGAGCTCAAGTGAGTGCCGCCATCATTACGCCCGTATTCATAACCGCGTCTCTAACTTTGGATTTAATTAAAGACTTTGTGATCGGCGTTTTTTTTTAGATTGTTTTACTGTCGTTGCTTTTTTTACTGTGCCCTGTATTCACAACCAAGGCATTGACTTTGGATAAGTTGTCAAGTTTTGACGTTTGTAATTGTAATAGATCTTTTTTTTACTTCGTTCTTATTCTATGTTGAAGATTGAATTCATAATTTTCAAACTTAAGACATAAGTAAAGTAACATACAATGAAAAAAAAATCTTGTAAGCCTTGAAGTTGCGTAACAAAAAAAATACCTTTTAGCCATTTAAAGATAAAGATATTTATATTTACCAGAACATGTGTGACATTATTGCAATACAGAAATATATTTTTGATGTTAGTAGGTTTTGTTGGTATCAACACGTCTTTAGAGTTTGTATTTTAATTTTCCTTTAAAAAAATAGCTATTTGATACAAGAGTCGTGACATATTTTATTTATTACATAATTAATTACTTTTTGTTTTTTTTTTGTATCTGTTAAATTCTCAATTTTTCTTTAATTTTCATACCACATGTTATCTCAATCCAAACTAAATTCTACTCCCACCCGCAGAGGGTTCATAATCGAAGTGGCGCGTAAATCAGACGCTCTGATAGCGGCCAGCGGCGGCGCGCCGGCTACGGCAGGGGCCATCAACCCGCAGTTCCTGAGCGAGATGAGGGACTCCATGCACCAGCTCAAACAGTCGGTCGCTGGCGTGGCGCAGAGGTGAGACTTATTTTATAGTAGTATATACAGGGTGTTAGGTAAATGGGTATATGAGCCGACACTAGCCCATGTTAACATGGTCATATAAATGGTATGGTGAAGTCAGAAAATTGATATCTTCATTTTAATTATTTTATTTTTCATACAAATCTGATTTTATAAAATTAATTTTGTACGAAAATTAAAAAAATTAAAATGATGATATCAAATTTCTGATTTCACCATACCATTTATATGACCATGTTAGCATGGGCTAGTGTCGGTTCATATACCCATTTACCTAACACCCTGTATACTTAATAAGCAGTCAAGGAGAACGTGAAATGTCAACTTTTGTTAAATCAACCCTTTAAGTTAACCTGGTTTCTGATCGGCCAATTTATCAGCAACTTATCAATAATAAAGTTTATTTAATAATAAATAATAAAGTTTATTTCGGTAACTTTTACACATTTTTTAATACAAGTATTTGGGGCTTCCCATTAGCAACCAGTTTTGCTTGTGTTAGGAAGCTCCGCTCTTCTATAGTAATAGTAATATTATTATTCGTGCACTTACACTCAGGTAGCAGATAAAATCGTTAGTGGTAAACGTAATAGCGTAGGCAGACCTCCCACTAAGTCTAGGTGGACCGACGATCTGGTGAAGGTCGCGGGAGGCGCCTGGATGCGAGCGGCGTAGGACCGGTCTTTGTGGAAATCCTTGGAGGAGGCCTTTGTCCAGCAGTGGACGTCTTTCGGCTGAAACGAAAAACATAATATCCCTGATAAGTAGTTTTTTTTTTTTTTCAAATATTATGAGTAATTTGTAGGACCTGAACACAACTGTATTTGTAGTTCACGTTAACCCTTCCATTTAAGCTGTGTTAGAAATGTGTGTGTTTGTTTGTGTGTTCACCACAATCGCAATCATTCAGCGGATGAGAACTAGTGACTATAGAATCGGCAGTGAAATGACCTTCGAATTACCATTAAAATTAGTATGATGATAAAACATTTAAATAAAAATTCATAGACATCGCCATTCGTGATCAAATAACTTTTTCAAAAGGCTTGTTAAATGTAATTTTTTACAGTGCTTCACATCTAGATAACGCTATAAAAATGGCAACACCCAAGCCGTGCAAAGCCAACAACCGAAAAAAAAACTGTAAAAGATTGGAAGTTTATGATTGGACTTTATACCTATCATCATCATCAACAGCCCTTTACAGTCCACTACTGGACTATGAGCCTCCTCCACTATAGTGGAGGGTTTTGCCATAATCCCCACGCTTGGCAGGCGGGTTGGAGATCGCAGTTTATATGATCGCAGTTCAGTCTGCACATATTTGATGTACTTAAATTTGACTATTCTTACCGTTAGATAATTCCTGGCAATAAGTGGTGACTGAGTTTGTTCCGGCGTTTCTTCTCAGCACTTGCCATATGTTTGTCTCGAAGCGCTGGTAGGGCCCAAAAGATAAGGAGACATGTAAAGTGCCCCATAAGGGCTACCTTTTTCTTTTTTTATTATTTTCTATTGACGTTCATAAGTGCCACTTGTGGTCTAAACTGAATAAATATTTTTGATTTTGATTTTTTTGATTTTGATTTTGATACCTATACTTTTTTTTTATTTACACTTGCATTTTTTTGCGTGTCTTGCAGGATGTCCAACGCGCCTCAAGTGGTGCAGCAGCCAATGTCGTCGTGCCAGGACGTGTCGTGCGTGAGCCTGACGGGGCTTCTGGTGGTGGTGGCGGCGCAGCTCACGCTAATGTTCTTCTACGCCGTCTACAAGTGAGTCACGCTTTTCACTTTATTTGTGTGTTTTGGCAGAGTAAAATAGGCTCAAAGAAAGAAAGAAAATAACTTTATTTTGGCAACAACAAATTCTGGCAACAGAAATACTCAAAAAAAAAATTTAACTAAGTTGCCAAATAAGGTCACCCATTCAGTAACATCTTGACAGTGTGACTGCCAATACACTGATTTTCAGTGGGTGCCTTTTATGCTGATCATGCACTTTTCTCGTGGAAATAGTAAGATAAAGAGGCTATAAGGCACTAAGATAATATGAGGATACTAGTGAGTGACGCTTTTCGTAGATTGAATATGACCACTCACACTCTTCTCGTGGATATCGTAAGATAAGAGGCTATAGGCTATGATAAATTATTAGGCTCTAACTTCTGATACATTTTTCGGTTGATCTAGGGTGGTCCTCCTCTCTCCTAATTGCCGTGCCCTACAGGGCCCATAATGTTCTAATTTTAAGTACATAATGGATGCAATAAAATATTGAGTATTGAGTCTAAGCTACTAAGTTAATATGAGGCCTGATACGAGGGAGTGACGCTCTTAGCTCTCTTTGCTTTAACTGTATGGTTCTGGCAGAATAAAATAGGACCACAGACACTTCTCGTGGGTGTCGTAAGAGTTGGTTGTGATTTTATGTTTACTAATTTTTGTGTAATAAAATAATAATGTTTAAAAAAATATATTTGGCCATCATTCTGATGTGGAAATTATTATTTTCAGAGAAAGAAAAGAAGCGCAAGCGAAGAAATTCTTCTGAAGGGAGTGACTGTGTAAATGAAGCGTCTATTACTATACTGCTTGCCCTCTATGTCACAAATATTACATTAAATAATGTTACTCTTATCTTGAGATTGCAATTTTTACCAATTTTGTTTACCGAATTGAATGCAACTTTTTTATGTTACTGTTATTGAAAATTTTGTCTTCCTGCATTTATTATTGCATTTTTTATCGGTAAACAAAATCAATTATTTTATTTTTTAATAAGAACTGTCATTCCTCAGAGTATTATTGTTATTTTTTATCTGAATTTTATACTGTACTTCTTTTGATTTTAAATCTAGTTAATTGTTGTGTTATTTCATTATTTAACGTGGCAAGTAGTATGTAAATAGTAGATTAGTATTTCAAATTTTTTACCATCTGAGTGTGTTTGAGACGTAAGAAAAATAATATAATTCTGTACATAAAATATTTATTTTTTTATTTTCTCTGTCTTTTTTTTATATCTTTGTGGCGCTCTCAATTCTGACTTATAGGAAATAATTTGTGAGTAAATTACAAAATGGTTGTAACTAAAATTTTAGTTTTTTTTATAAAAAAATCTTTGGCGTTCAATATTTTTTTGGTTTTGTTCGACAGAAATGTTTTTCTTAGTGCTCAACTATGGGACTACAAGGATGAGCTTATTGTCATCCTAATTAGAAAATCATATTCAACGGTAATATTTAACACATTTTTTTACAAATTAACCGAGAGTATTAAACACAATTTATTTACGAATAACTGCAAATCGAACCTGAATAATAAAAAATGTGCTAAATGTTACCAATATCAAAATTCGGTCTCTATTTTCCATATCGAATTTGTAAAATATTATTCATAAGAGATACATTGTTTATTGTTCAACAATAAAAATGTGCCAATTATTTAATTGTTTTATTTAGAAACATTTCCCTCGTTAAATTCTGCGGGTAGGTGAAAGAAAAGGATTATTCATCGCGCAGACGTCGCCGCATGGCGCATCTTTCAGTCTGCCCGCGACCATTAAATCGAAACGTTGGGAAGTATTTGTGTATTGCTAATCAAGTAGAAGTAGTAATGAGAATTAAGCAAAAATGCAACATGCAAATTAATTTTAAATGTAATAATCCTTGATGTGGTTAGTAGACTTAGGAGGTAGGTAGGTAAATCAAGTTTCCATTTCGTTATTTTGGTTCTTTTATTGATTGTACACCGATTTGGTTTTTTTTTTTGATGAAAATAGTAATTTTTGTTTTGTTCTTGTGTTCATAATCTAAAAGCGCCATATTGAGATCAGGTTTGGTAATAAGGGTCATTCAAAGTGAAAATATTGTATAGATGACCCACGCTGAACTGTCCCGCCAAACTCAATGACAGGGGGGCGCTACCATCGTTCAACTATATGGTTTCCAACATGGCAAAAATCTGAACCAGCAATCCGGTATTGACGGTGGCGCCCCACTGTCAATGTCATCGACAGGACAGTCCAGTATTTTGGAACTATAGTTCAGTGCCGCCATTAAAAATTTAAAAATAAAAGATCTGTCACCTGATCTTCTCAATATTTTATTGAATAATAGTTCGTATCTCGTTGCATTAAAATTCAAATTCAATTGTCAATTATATTTCTATTTTGACATTTACCCTCAATTGCCAGCCATGCCGGTAAAACAAAATTAAAGTTTATTTTGCAATTTTCTTTCCCAGTAACTAAATCAATCTAGATTATGGTGAAAGCTTACAAATCTAGCGTAAACATACAAAACCAGTTGATCATCAGTCCGTTTCTTATAAGTTTTGTTGTTTTGTTTTTGCAATGGCGTCAAAACATAAAAAACCATCTGAATCCGAAGTCGCGTTGGTAGCTATTTATCGGTTGAAGTTCTACAAAAACCAGAAGAACTGGAAGTTCTGCCAGGATGTGTGCAAGAAGGAGACTACAGTTCCTAAAAATAATAAGGAGCCCGCGAAAAATGCGAGTAGTTCAAAGTAAGTCTTACATTTGTTTGAAAACTTCTTTTGTGCTTATTTTACTGATGTTTTTGTCGTGATACTAGGCGGAAAACATTGATATTTTCACACCCTAAGGTTATCCGGTCATTATTTAAAAGTTCTGATATGAAAATGTACAATTTTGATTTACTGAACGCACAGATTTGGATTTGCCTGAAGGTCTATTCATAAGTACTTAACTAAATGAAAACATTAACTTATACCATTGAGTACTTATACCTACAGTTCATTTAGATAATAGGTTGGTAATTTCACTGTGTAAACCTACTCACAAAATACTTTTTTCAATATAGGTAATTTACAACTTACCTCCATTATTAATATTATTCCTAGTTAAACTTGTTCTTTTATTATTCTAAGCCGTGTGGTGACAGCAGAGTAGAATACATATTTGTCACCAACCTCTACTCTTCACACGGGTGTCGTAAGAGGCGACTTAGGGACTACACATCAAACAGAGAATGGGCAGCAGCGCTCTCTGAAAAACATCAATCTTATAAACTGCGATCTCCAACCCGCCTGCCAAGCGTGGGGATTATGGCAAAACCCTCCACTATAGTGGAGGAGGCTCATAGTCCAGCAGTGGACTGTAAACGGCTGTTGATGATGATGAACTTATTCTAATAAGAAAACTTTATTTTAGAGCGGACCTCAACAAAACGTATAATTTGGTACCAGAGCCGGTTCTGTCAGACCTTAACGATGCCTTCTTGGATCCAGATCCTAGTAAGTTTATAAAATACACCCCACAACAATTCTGATTAAACAATTAAATTAGGGAAATAATTTTCTGTATAAGATAATTCACAGTACCAATGAAAGACAATACATTGTTGTATAATGAGCGAGATGGTAGACAATGATTTGCCTAAATGCACTGTCTTTCTCCCACGGTTTGAGCAAAATTCTATAATCTGTGATAATTTTATTTATTTTATTTGTTTAACAATGGTTCAACAGCATTAAATTGTACATAAATGTGCAGGAAGATACAACTTGAACATAAGCCAATTAAAGTAACACATTCTACTACTAAAACATTTTTAAATAAGTTACCTAACTTTTGAAGGGGATGTCCCTTCATGTTCATGGATTCACAACAATGTAACAGTCCATACAATAATTGTATGTGACTCTAAAATTATCTGTAGTTTAATATCTTTTGTTGGCTCAATAATAAATAATTCCATTTTTCCTTAAAAGGAAATGCTATGCATAAAACCTAAATACCATTTTGCCAGCTACTCTGCATCTGTCCCCAACATCCTCTTTAGAATTGTTCAATTGATGGATGGAGGATGCTAGCACCCATATTTTTGTACACCAAAATCATATTTACATTCCTTGCAGAACAAAACAGACTAATTTATATATTGTTTGACAAAATGATACTTAATATATGTAAAATTAAAAAAGTACCATTTTCTGCTAATATTTAGTTATTCACCTGCTAACTTTCCAGGCAAAATCTTCACAGGAACTCCACCAGATCCAATAACTACCCAAATATTACACAACTGCCAGAAAGCAATCCCTGAAGCCTTCTTAAACAAATGGTCAGAGTCAGACAACCAGTGGCCAGAATCAGACAACCAGTGGCCCGAACCAGACAACCAGTGGGAGGACCCAAAAATACCATGGCCAGAATCACAGTACCAGTGGCTGGAACCAGAGAAGCAGTGGCCAGAGCCAGAGAAGCAGTGGCCAGACTTAGAGAAGCAGTGCCCAGAAGTAGAGAAGCAGTGGCCAGACGTGACCAAGAGCTGGACGAATACAAACAAGGCCTGGTCTGTGCCAGAAATGCCGGAGCATGGCTGGCAGTATGCTGCACAGGTGAGAAAAGAAAATGTCCTTATTTTTTATTTTTTCATAAAATTAATCAGTTATTTGTAATACAAATTATGTCATTAATAATAATTTACAATGTTTCTACGTACTATGTCAAGACATACATTGTTAAAATTGTGTTAATAATTTAATGCAGTAATACATAGTTACACATCTATGTGGCGTGCCATTGATTTAATGACCGTTTGATGTGATGTTTTCACGGTAGTGATATTCCATATAGCATCTTTCCATATCACATAGATAGGGAACTCCTTCTAAAATCAGTTTCATCTTATAGTAAGCATAGTAAGCATTTCAGTGATCCCATAACTGTGCGCCAAAAATAGTGTTTAACCCTTAGAGGAGGAGGGTGGAACACCCTCACCCTGATAACTATCACTCACTCCTAGACTGACTGGGGTAGCATTTTCGTCAGCTCAATTGAGTTAACTTTATTCTGTCCTCGGTTATTGTATAAAGGGCGGGCCAAAAATCTGAACACTGCGTGCTAGGAATTTTCCTTATGAACACGGGTTCCATCTGCTGGTAAAACTATGTAAACTAAAACTTAGCACGCGGTGCCATCTAAAGCCCGGTCTGTGAGCCCGTAGAATTTTGGTCCAATGACCCCATCCCCATCCTTATCGCTCGCGCGTAATTATATTGCTGTCGCGACTGTGCGACGGGCTCCCGCAGTGAGTGTGCGAGCGCGACAGCAACATAATTACACGAGAGCGATAAGGATGGGTAGCTTGGGGTCATTGAACAAAATTCTACGTGCTCGCAGACCAGACTATAGTGATGTGATATTATTGAATTAGCCCTGTTGTTTTTACATCAGTCCTTTGTTTGTCAGGAGTGGGCCCGGCCGGGCTCGTGTGTCCCGGCGGCGCCGCTGCGCGCCTACGAGATGGACAAAGGCTGGCCGGAGCCCTGCGCCGATGGTAAGTTGAAATTATATTTGTTCAAAGTCAAAGTCAAAATTTCTTTATTTGTTTAGACTAATGAATAGTTCTTACAAATCGTCATTTTGCTCTTAAGGAGCCTCTACATGTCTCATAATCTTTTTACCCTACCAGCGCTTTGAGACCAACATTTGGCAAGTGCTGAGAAGAAGCGCCGCAACAAACTCAGTCACCACGTTGTTTTGTTGTTGCATTACTCATAATCGGTCAAAACCACTTTTGAATGCAAGTCAGTCATCATAAGTGATATTGACCAAGGGCATCATTGAAAACCACTTATGATTGTTTTTTTCAGTCAAAAGTGGTTTTGACCAATTATGCGTTTTGATTGTACCTAACATTGAAATTGTACTCTGAACAGCAGGGCTCACGTAACGACGTTTACGTAGTTTTTGATTAGAATAGAATAGAGAAACGTTTATTTTGCTGCCACATCGAAACACATTACATAGTTTCGGGTCTATCTGTCACTATTGCTTGTGCTAGCATCTAGCTTGGTGCAAGAGGGATGGAAATATTTGAAACAGATCCGGGCCTCTTCAAGGCGAGACTGAATAGGCACTTACAGGCCATGTGTGTACCATCCTAGACTGCATATCACTTAATATCAGGTGTGATTGCATCAGCTGTGGTACCTGCTTTGTTTTGCATAAAAATAGTAAACAAAAGAAAAATAAAATTCGCATCACTTTTTTGCGAATAGTCTTGCAAGTTTAATAACACTTTTCTGGTTCTCTTTTGATTTGCAACGGAGGGAAGAGATTTTTGATTAAGTTTTAAGACAATGAGGATTGTTCATTATTCCGTTCCAGATAATCCGTACCCAGAGCCTCTTCAGCCAGAAGCGGTGCTAAACGCAGCGGATGACTGGCTGGGCGACGCACAGCGCTGGCCCACTGGCGAGGTAATCCCAACTAATATTATAAATGCGAAAGTAACTCTGTCTGTCTGTCTGTCTGTTACGCTTTCCCGCTTAAACCTCGCAACCGATTTTGATGAAATTTGGCATAGAGATAGTTTGAGTCCCGGGAAAGAACATAGGATAGTTTTTATCCCGGTTTTTGAAACAGGGACGCGCGCGATAAAGTTTTTCTGTGACAGACAAAATTCCACGCGGGCGAAGCCGCGGGCGGAAAGCTAGTCTACTCTAAAGTCCGGTCGCCGAGCAGATAGAATTTCGTCCAATGACCCCTAACTATCCATCCTTATCGCTCGCGTGTAAATATTATTTGTTATAATTTAAAATTTAGATCGTAACTTACCATCAGGTGAGATACAGGCCAAGAGCTTCCTCGTTGTGGATAGATAAAAAAACAATGGTAATAATTATTAATTCAAATTCAAATATTTATTTGCACAATTAATATTGAGCATCTGAACGTGGACAGCATAAGACCGGTCGTTGTGGAAATTTTTAGGGGGGAGAGGCCTTCGTCAACAGTGCACGTCATTTTGCTGAAACGAATGACTTAGGGGGCGTCCATTAATTACGTGAGACTTTTAGGGGGGAGAGGGGGGTCTCGGAAAATATCAAGTAATTTTTTCCTCAAGAAATAGAGTAAAATTGACAGAAAACTGGGTTATTTTAACTAGTAAAAATGTCATTTTTTATGATGACAATGTCATTTTAAACAAATAAAATAAAAATGCCTCCGTCTGCTTTTGTGAACACTAAAGATGTTTTTTTCAAAATCGTTTGTGCTAGATTAAGAGTGATTCAAAAATAGCGAAAATTGTCTCACGTAATTAATGGACGCCCTCTTTTCCGAAGATATCAATTTTCTGACTTCACCATACCATTTATATGAACATGTTAACATGGGCTAGTGTCGGCTCATATACCCATTTACCTAACACCCTGTATAGTTGTTCGTTAGTCTGATTAAAACTCGAGAACGGCTGGGCCGAATGAGCTGATTTTGGTTTTAAAATGTTTGTCGTAGTCCAGGGTAGTTCTAAACGGTGAGCAAATAAGGAAAAATTGCGATGGCTTATTTATTGCCTTTAAGGCGGAACAGAGTTCGCGGGGTCAGCTAGTTGTCAATAATTATTTTCAGTTAAGTTTGCGTTTGTACTAAAACTATCTGTTTATTTATACATTGAGATAAAACGCAGGTTAATTCAAATCGTTAAGGGCATAGCCAATGCTATATCGAAGGCCCAGAACGGACGGTGAAACGCAACTGCAACGAAACAACTTTCTGATGATTTTGATGAATGAAACTGAAACTGAAAGTTTCAAACTGGTCGCGTCATGTGAGGTCTCTCAACGGACGCTATGGCAGAAACTTAGATGCAACTCAAAAGTAACTAGCAGTTGCAGTTTCGTTGCAGTTGCGTTTCACCGTCTGTTATGGGCCTAAGAGATTTGAGATGATTTCGATGTTTCTTTCTCTCTAGGATGGTCGCTGCATGTCTTCGGACAGCATGGTGTCGTTCATGAGAGGCGCCGCCGCCGCGCCACACTCTACAGAAGTCGACCTTAATCTGTCCGGTAAGGGAACTTCATACTTTGTCCGAGTCATAAAGTTAATATTCCTTTGGAATACCTAGGGCACTATTTAAGTTGTGAGCCTCGACAACATAACGTGTTGTTAGACGACATCTGATACTTTTAATGAAAAGTTTGACATTTTTGACTACAACCTTATTCAAAACTTTTTATCATTTGAGCACGTTTTGTATTATTAACATTGAATTGAAAATTATCTTTACTACAAAAACATGGAATTGACTTGCGGAAATTTTCGCGCGAAGATTTATTATGACTTTCGACGTGGTTAATCAATACAAAACTGAAGCGGTCAGCTAAATTTATCTTTTGGTGATAAAGATCTGTCCTTTACCATTGTAAAACGCTAGTTTAAGAAGTATAATATTGTATGTCATTGGCTCACCAGTGAACTTTGCGAAAGTCGTCCAAAATGACTAATAGTGGCGGAAAACATTGATGTTGTCAGAAAAATGGAACAGAAACCTCGTCATGTGATATATCGTAGGATTGAGATAATCCTAGGCATTAATTCCACTAGCAGTAATAAAATATTGTATGACCATATTATGGTTAATACGTTTTTTACTCGCTGGATGTCCCAAAAATTTTCAAACGCTCAATAGGACGCTTGAGTCGTTTAGTCCTTGAAAATGTTTGATAAATACGTTTAAAAAGCTTTAAAAGCCGTTTTTAAAATTGTGACAGTTGACGAATTAAGGATCTATGCATAATGATCCTGAAAATAAACAGCTATCGACTATGGAGGTGTTTTAAGATGAACCATTTCCAACAAAAGTCCCATGCGCTCGGAACACTTTAAAACTTACGGTTGCCTATTTTTCCGAAATATCCGATTATATGACAGAAACGTTACTAGAGAAATTTAGAATGGTTAATTCTTAATAGTAAACAGCCACTTTTTTTCCAAAAGTCTTCAGTTTAATAAGGGAAACTGACCAGCATAGTCGAATCGCCATTCGTGACGAAAATGTGAGCTTTTACACGTCTCGTCAAACAACTGACTATTTGAACACTCAAAATATGAAATAAACAGGTCCAACGCTACAAAATTCTTGATTGGAATCTAGGCACTTCTTTTGGTACCCATATATTAAAATTAAATGCGTGAACAGCGATTTATGTAGCCAGAAGCAACTGTCGGTGCGGTCAAAAACCATGCTTTGGAGGTGCCTCAAGCTGAGTGGAAAAAATGCTATGAAAAGTGTTTCGGACACATTAAAAAGTACATAAATCATGAAAGACAATACCAATAAACGCAATCAATACCATTTTAATAATAAACTACTTTGTTTTCATAGTTAGGCTCACAACTTAAATAGTGTCCCACGTAGAGCAACAACTACGAGCTGTCAAACGAAACCGATTTTGGATGACATTTGTGTGTCAGTGTCAGGATTATTTCACTGTTTTGTACATTAATTGGTTTTGACTGAACCAATCACTACGTTTCTGAAGCACTATTTCTCAGAAACATCCACGATTTCACTTACGTAAAATCTGAAAATATCTCAGTGCCACTGAGTGCCTCTGAACTGTCAAATTGTTGCAAAAATGGTTCTGTTTGACGTCACGACGGCATCACGCATCTCTTTTTATCACACAGTGTTGCTGCTAGTGACATCTCGATCGCTTTTCTTTGTCGCTCTATTCCGCTAGGTATAATGTGTAACTGTTCCCCCAATGATTTCGATTTCCATAACACTTACTCTTCTTACCCTTACTTATTTATATCTTCTAATACGTCCGTATTCGCAAACATTACTATTGAGGTCTCACAGGGTGACACACGATCCAATCACAGAGCTCTATACAACGCTGTGCGTTCGATTTGCAGCTTCACAAAAAGCAAACATCGTTTGTGCATACGGGCGTTACTTTCGTCCTCATTTACTTACGTCCTTTTCCTTCCCTCTAGCGACAAGCGAGCCAGATGTATTCAGCGCGCGCGCCGCGTGTTTATCGCGAAGACAGTTAGCGGGTGCGGTAAGAAGCCACGCACTTGCTTTAAGGCTGCTGCTGCGAGAAGCGAGCGCTAGAGAACAGGTACTTAGTTACATATCCCTTTTCTTCTAGCAAGCAATGCTTCCTGCCCCTCAGATTAAAGAGCCGGGAGTTAAGGAAACACTGAACAGGTTCTTACTTCCTCCCCCCCTAGCTAGTAGAACTTCCTCCCCCTAGCAAGCGTCGTTCCCTCCCCCTAGCAAGCGGCGTTCCCTCCCCCTAGCAAGCGGCGTTCCCTCCCCCTAGCAAGCGGCGTTCCCTCCCCCTAGCAAGTGGTGTTCCCTTCCCCTACTTAGCAGCTTTTCCCCTCCCCTAGCAAGCAGTGTTTTATCCCCTTTTCTCTAGCTAGCAACGAGCTGGATGTATTGAGCGCCGCGTGTTTATCGCGGCGACAGTTAGCGAGCGCGGTGAGAAGCCACGCACTTGCTTTAAGGCTGCTGCTGCGAGAAGCGAGCGCCAGGGAACAGGTATTTACCCCTTATTTTGATTTCCCCCCCCCTCCCCATAAATAGAATTACTACACTCAACATCAAATAAACCGCACCTTCCGCGACGCGAACTTTAAAGATTTTCTTCTGACACAATCATGGTACCCCAACAATATTGGTGTTATTTGAAAGCCCAATAAATATCCTTAAAGAAAGATACATTTCATTTCTAAATAAATGATTAACATATACCATAAATGTGACTTGAAAATAGACCTCACTTTGGGTTCACATCTGGGATCAATAAGACCAATTTTTATGGTTATAAAACCAAATAAAGATCTCACGTGTCCTCTTTAACAGATGGATAGCGATTAATCCCAACTTAACAGTTTTGTAGTCATAAAAAATGGCTATAGCGTAACTACCTATTTTTTGAAGAAGTGACTCTGGATCCTTGTAAAGACACATTTTTGGGGTAAAAACCTTTCCTTTAATGAAATGAAGTTTAGAACTAGGCTTTCAAATGGTACCAATGTTGGTGGGAAGTGGGGATGCATACGTTTGATAAGTGCTTGTCACGGGAGGTACGATTTATTTGATGCCGAGTGTACTTCTGCTTCCCCTTCCCTAGTCATCAGCGACCTAGATGTTTTCAGCGCGCGGGAGGGAGCAGGTTTTTCCTCGTCCTTCACATTCCCCTAGCTTGCAGCACACTAGATTCCAGGGACCGCCAGAGGGAATAGGTCCTTACTGTCTCTCCCCTACCTTTAGTTTGCAGCGAGCCAAAGTTTCACATTTTTAATTGTTTTTAATGGGTTGACAAAATATCCGCCTTCGGCGATGAACTTTGCATGTGAAAGAACCCCATTGTATCCGAAATCTTACTAATCAAAAGCTGAAACCATAACTTGAAATAAAAAAACTTTTTTCATATTAGTCATTAACATTTTTAAGAATTAAATGGCCACTAACATGTCTGACCTAAGCATTGACCCCAGGCCCACATTTTACGAGCCACCCACACGACGCCCCACGAATGCCCCACGCGCGACGTGGGCCCGCAGCCGCGCGGGGCGTGCGGGGACGGCGCGGGGCGTGGCCGGGGACGACTCCAGCGGGACAGGATCATCGGGATCGGCATGGGAAGACCTTATAGGCTGTGAGGTTTGTTGGAGATGTTAGTTGATTGAGAAAAGTACGAAAAATGAATCTTAGTTAAGCTTGTGGAAAGTGGGAAAAAAATTATGTGGTGGAGGACTCGATTATTGAGAAAAATGAGGAAAATTTGGAACAAATTTTGGAGTGCGGAAATTATGGTTATTGTAAAAAGTTTGCGAAAAAATTGAAAGTAAAAATTCGCGACTTAGAAAGTTGAAAAACAAAATTATATTTAATAATCTTGGCAAGGTTGTTGGTTGTTGTATTTATTTAAAATCTATGAAGTGTAATGAAAATGAACGTGGTGTAACGTTTTTTGTGAACTGACGGCTGTCACCGTGACATCTGTCAAAAAGCCACGCCCACAAAATTCACTACTTCTTAGTTAAAAAATCTGACCAATTTAACAGTGAAAGCCTTACAATGATTGTTTTTTTTTAGCCTTAACACAAGGCAATAAAGTTTTTAAATTATACTTATCTAAATTAGTAGTTAGTGTTTAAAATGACGTACTGATTAAAATTAAGCTTCAGTACAAATTACATTGAATATAATCCTTTAAGTTGTAAATCTCACGGAACAAAGTTCTTCCAAGTTGTGATTTTGCCAAATAACTGAAACTTTTGATCTCTATCTATATATATAAAAGAAAGTCGTGTTAGTTACTTCGCTTATAACTCAAGAACGGCTGAACCGATTTAGCTGAAAATTGTCAGGGAGGTAGTTTAGAGCCAGGAGAAGGACATAGGATACTTTTTATCCCGTTCGAAATTAAAAAAAAAGTCTGCTTATTTATTGCCATTAAGGCGGAACAAAGTTCGCCGGGTCAGCTAGTTTGTAATATTGTTGTTGATTAAAAAGTTTATTCTTGTAGGTAGTTTGGAGTTATATAAATTCTATAATTTGGAGACAGCTCAAAACACAGGCTTCTGAAGCCAATGACTTGAGTTTGAATCGAGTCTTGTTGAGCATAGTTTAGAAGAAAAATTAGTGTTGTTTATGGATGTCTAAAACATAAAATTGTTTAGTGTGTAAGTCTTACTTATTGCTGGGGTGTTCAAAAACGTGTGACATTTTTTTCAGAACTAGGTACTATAGTCCGGTCGCCGAGCACGTAGATTTTTGTCCAATGACCCCAAGCTACCTATCCTTATCGGTCGCGCGTAATTGTATTGCTGTCGCAGCTGTGCGACGGGCGGCCGCAGTGAGTGCGCGAGAGATAAGGATGGGTAGCTTGGGATCATTGGACGAAATTCTACGTGCTCGGCGACCGGGCTTTAAAAAACAGTGTTCCCTTAGTCTTTATAGTTGTTATTGTTACAAATACTAGTTATAAGCTTTTTGTTTAAGAAAGTTTTTATATTTTCTGCCACCTGACTCCATGTGTTTTCCCCTGATTTTTTGTAGACCCTTACGATTTTCATCGCGTTTGTCCCTTTATCATCTTGAATTCTACATTAGACCTAAGTATTGAGGAATTCTTTGGCTAAAACAGCATTAAGTATAGTTATTAACCGCTTTAATTTTGGTATGTATCCTGTAAAAGTGTCGCGCGATTGTCACCCTTAGAAAATACTTGTCTCTTTTACTCAAATTGGGCTACTACAACGAGTAAGAGAGACAGCATGAGTGCCATAGTAACCCGATTAATATTATAGTTCCTAAAGTACAAATTGCTAGTTGTATAAAAGTTGATTTTGCAAATTTTAGTCGAAATATGTTTATCTATTGTATTATCCTAAAAAATGTACCTATTTGATTTCGCATTTCGTCCATTTGCGACGACAGTGTGACATCTTCAATTAGATTAACACAGACGATGTCACGTTGTCGTCGCAAATGGACGTTATGTGTTTCCAATTACGCTCACTAGTTGTCGCCACTTCTAAATAAGTTTCTGTCTCTTGCTTGTGGCCAAGACAGTGGCGCGCCAACTGACAAGCGCTGAAGCGATAGGAGTCGCAATGAGGGTTTTCGCGTATGAAAGATCCGCTAGATGGCGGGAGGTGGATGTGGGGTCTGACTGCTGCGTGATTGGTGGATTTTGACATATCTGTCAATGTCATGTCAAAAATAATCGATCATGCAGCATTTGGACCTCGCGTCTACGTATTGCCATCTGGCTGAGTTTTCATACGCGAAAACCCTCATTGCAATCACCTAATTTACGTATTTTGACAGTCAAGATCTCGCTGACGTTCAGAAGTCGTCCCATCGAAAAACAGTTCTAAATCCGTATTCACAACGATAATTTTAATAGAACGATTTCTCGATAGGATCGCAACTCAGCGATTTGTTGTCATTATTGTTTAGTTACGTCGTCCCATTGAAAAACAGTTCTAAATCAGTATTCATAAGTCATTTCGATAGAGCGATTACTCGATAGGATCGCAACTCAGCGATTTGTTGTCGTTGAAGTTTTGTTACGTGAATGAGGCTATTGGTGGCGCCACTGTCGTATAAGTTCCCGTCACTCGCTAGAGGCGCCAACTGGTGACCGCGAAAAAAGAAACTGTCATTCGAATTTGTAATTTGATTCCTATCTATAGAGTGTATCTGAGATTTTAAGATACCATCTCTTTCCATTATCAAAGAAATGAGAGAAACAACAGTATTATTTGTAACTGTGTAACTATTTCCTGATTAGCAGGAGCATCGTGATTGTGCAGTTTTTGTGTTAAAATCTCCTTTATTATTGTAAGTATCATTCCGAACTTAATGTCATTGTGATATTATATTATTTTCTACTATTTTTCTGTTTCATTTGAAGTACTAGACTATTTTGCAAATAGTGTATGTAACACATTAGCGTACCTCAAATTAAATACACATTTTGAACCTTCTTCTTTGGGTATGTCTGCCATCTTATGCTGTGCTTGTGTGTGCTTTGTGTTATTATAGATGGACAAAGCCCGCGGAAAAAGCTATAAGAAATAAAACCAGATCGTCAGTCTTATTACATTTATTGCCGCTTGCCGTACGATGTATTTATTTAATTATTAATTGTAGATAACATAATAAATAAAGTTAAGGTTACATCCTAGTAGTTAAAATAGTCAAAGAAAATTATCACTTATTCCTCGGAATATTTGCCAAATGTGTTATACTTTGGAAACATAAACAATACATGAAATATAATATGGAAAGCTACAAGGATATACCCGAAACTTTATCATAAATATATAAAAAAAATTGCAATAACTTCTGTATGTTGGTTTTAAAAAAATATCTTTCATCAATCATTAATTTATTTTTAAAGTCAATTGAAATACTTTATATGATGAATATTGTTGAACACAAAATACCTAATCGAACATAAAAGTACATAATTCGTAAATTTCTCTAAACAAAAAGTTAAAACTTACAATACTAATACATATACAAAATTAAACTAAGAGGCCGGAATAAACGAGATTCTTGAGTTTTCAATTAATCAATTGGTTCGTATACATGTTTAAAATTATTATCTACAGATTCCAACATAATTTTGGGGCACATGTAATATTTTCATTATAATATGACAGTAATAATTGATTACTTGCCATACCAGGTGAAACATCTTGGCAATACCTATGCAATGAATCTATGCAACATAATTCGCTATTTGATGTACTGAAACATAACTCTAAAATCCAAATTTGGGACAAAATGTACCTTTAAAGAAAGTGTGACGTTATCACTTATTCTTTGGAATCATTTTAGATGTAGTTTCGCATTTGTCTATCGATAAATAATACTAATTAGACGTTTTACACAGCGCCATTTAGTCCTAAACTAAGCAAAACTTGTACAATATGTAGCGGGAAACGTGTTTAAACATACACTTATGTGCTATTTTAATACATAAAACACACCCAGACCAATACAAACAAGTGTGTTTAAATTCAAAAATGTTTTTGTTGCAGTAAGGAACCACCATATCTGGTGGCTGTCAAATTGACATTATCAGACGTGTCATGTCATGTCTCACGTTTCTAGTGTCACGAGTCGCGGGTAATTTGATCCCGAGGGAATACTCAAGAGTGATCAAACAAAAATTCTACAAACTGAACTAGCGATAACTAATAATACAACACAAATATTTAAACAGCTAGCGTTTCTAACTAAAACCTAATATATTCAATAATTATCTTAAAACTGCGAATAGCGTCTTTTGTAAACTTCATTAATTCTTAGTTAAAAACTAATTCAATACTAGGCGTCATTAGTTAATTTTTGTTTTTACTAAACAGTAGTTCAATGCAATATAAACTGTACGCTATAATTTGAATACAAAAATAAACTCTTTTCATAATACTTTCAATGATGATGAAACATAGCCGATGGCAAGTTACAAGTTAAATCTTACACTGAATAACTATTTGGTTTGATACAATAACAATTGAAAAACTATCAAAAAAATATTTGCAGAGTGGACTTAGTGCCGATAATTTTAATCTGTGGTTTTAAAACCACAGACAAAAAATGTCATAGACAAACCAAATGTCATCTTAAATTCTCTTTTTGAGATTCAAAGCCAGCTTTGGGAAATAAAATTCTATAACCAGTAAATATCTAATAAAGTTAATCTATTCTAAAAGCTTATTTATAAGTACACTTGTGAGCACCATAATTATTAAATCACTACAACTATTATACACGTGGTTCGACAAACTTTAGGCGAGGAACCACCCTGTATATCGATATGTCGTTTTACTTCTAATTCGGAGAAGCAGTGTCCATATTATTCTATTTTATTTTTTGTGTTAAGTCCACATTACGAGACACAAAACTATTTAATTTTAACCTCCATTTTACTCTGTGATAGGTCAATTTAAGTATTTATTTAGACCAGTACCTCTAGCATGAACAACTTTCGTCTTCGAATCGTTTGCGTATTCGATAAAATTCGAAACTCAACCTTTGAATTAAACGATAACGTGACGATTTTGATTCTCAAAATAAGTTTCGTACATCCATTTCTCATACTAAGTTCACTTTACGTCACGTTCACAAGGGCACTGTTGCAGTTTTCGTACTAAATCTTTTGATGGCAATTCGAATACGCAAACGATTCGAACTCGAAAGTTTTTCGTGCTAGCCGTACAGGGGTGGCCAACCGGTCGACCGCGACTATTCGTCCAGTCGATCGTGGCAAGGCAAAAAATACTAAGTGATTGTGTACTAAACTATGCTGTTTCATTTAAGATTTCAAGAAGTATGTAAGTGGTTCGCAAAGGGTTTCGTTAGTAAACAGTGGATCTTATGTCTAATCAAGTTGGCCGCCCCTGATTTAGACTAATCACGCGTTTGACTCTATTCTTAGTCGTATCGTAATACATAGGGTTGGTTATTGTGTGTGAGACAGGTACTTGTATGCGCATTCGTGTGATGAGTGTATTTATTTATTTATTATTAATTTACTGTGGACTAACAGTTTTACCCAAATCGTCCAACAGCGTATTGTGTGTGTGATTTTCTGTGGTGATATTATGTGCTTTGAAATATCTTTTGCGAAACTATTTTTAAATTAGAACGAACTTATGGTCCAACAAGAACGATGTGCTGTTAAGATATTTACACAATATGCAACTGAAAGTGGCCAAAAAGTTGACAACACAACCTTATTCCAATGAGGGTTTTCGCGAATGAAAGATCCGCTAGATGGCGGGACGTGGATGTGGGGTCTGACTGCTGCGTGATTGGTGGATTTTGACATATCTGTTAATGTCATGTCAAAAATAACCAATCATGCAGCATTTGGACCTCGCGTCTACGTATTGTCATCTGGCGGATTTTTCATTCGCGAAAACCCTTATTGTAATGAAGACGTGTTGCGAACTTTTTGGCTACTTTGGGTGTCACGTACTATTTGACGCTGAATGTGGTATTTATGTTTTGTGCGTGTTAATTTGGTATGTGCCTGAATGCAGAAATTCCTGTGATACTTTTAATCTTGTGTGTTGTCTGCGTGTCACGCTTCGCCGCTGCTGTCCGACGAACTGGACTCGTCCGGCTCGCTGTCCGGCCGGACGGTGGAGGCGTCCGCGCGATCATCTGAATACAATTTGTTTTATTAAATAAAATTACTCCTTTTTTTTCCTTTTTCCTTTTTCAAAATGTAAAAGGCAGTCTGGACGACGACATTACAAATAAATAGCATTTACACACACGGGCACATAGCTCGCAGAGCTGATGGCCTTTGGGGCAGAAAAGTTCTCGAGTGGCGACCACGGGCCGGGAAACGTAGTGTGGGCAGGCTTCCCGCTAGATGGACTGACGATCTGGTGAAGGTCGCGGGATGGCGCAGGACCGGTCGGGAGTCTTTGTCCAACGGGACTATTCCCACCTCTCGTTGCCACCACTGCAACTCCTGTGTAGCCAGGATCTACAGCTTGACAAGTAGTGGCGTTATTTGGCTGAAACGAACGGTTATGAAGATGAATATAATATACTGACCGTCTCTGGCTCGCGGCGGCAGCAGCCAGGCGTGCGCAGGCGGCGCGCGGTACAAGCCGTGAGACGCGTTGCTCGGGATGGACAGCTCGCCGAGTAAGTCACTGGAAGTATTATCACAGAATAATAATAAGTACTACGTACAGAAGTTTTACTTCGCGAAGGTATTTAAAAAAATGTATGCTCAATGTCATTAACAATATGGTGTAATTTAGCCTGTCTCAAGAATCGAGCACCATTTTGTTGACAAACGTTAGTAATCGGCACTGCGCCGAAGCTATAGGGCTGACTTCGGTAAAATGATGTGACGCGAGGTGCCAAACTGCGGAAAATGGCGGAGGAAATACATGATTTAGCATGAATTATCATGAATAATATTAACTACTTATTTACCTCTCAGTGTCTTGAGGCAACTTAAAAAAGTACATTCTGTGTTTTTATTATTATTTAGGCAGTTAAATACTGCACAGTATTTAGTACACCATTTTCTTTATTTTCTTCCATCATACACAAGAATACGCGTGCGTGAGTCAATGTTCGCTCGTATGTGAGGCCTTGTCGAATAGTATCCTGTAGGTGGGCCATCGTGCGTGTTTTGTTTTCGATGTAAACTCGCGGAGATGAACAGGCCTGGTATTATGAAAATTGATTTCGTATTGAGAATTTCGCTGTAAAAAGTATTTATTTAGATGGTATTTTAACGGTCCACCCATAAGGACTGACGACCTGATAAAGGTAGCAGGAAGGCGCTGAATGCAGGCCGCCTCCAAGCGGCCATTGTGGAAATCGACGTCCTATGGCTGAAAATGATGATGATGGTGATGATTTTGACGGGTCACCACCGGTCCTGTTGGTTGCCGACCTTGCTCCCTTTTTTGCTCTCCCTACCAGAAGGGCAGAGCTTACCCACTAAAAATCTGATAGGTTCCTAAGGAGCTTTTAGTGGAACAGTATGTAAGAAGTCACCGTTATCGTTCGTAATCTGTTCTGGACACTGCCGTACTCAAGTATGCGTTATGTCTATAAGTCAGCCAGCCTTATTTTAAACTAAATAACTGTGTGCAGCTGTGGCAGCCTTTTAGTAAGACAACATTTAGTTTGTCTATATTTAATTTTCAAGTATTCTTTCGATCCTGTATGCGGGCAGCGCAGAACCAATCGTGGAAATCCATCCAGCAGTGGCTGGAACGAACGAATTGTTCCTTGTAACGTACTCTCTTCCCCAACTTGTCTGGCCGTGGGGATTGTAGATCAAATAAGTTTATTGGCGCCGACTATCTATAAATATAACTCAAAGGTGACACTGACATAGTGATCTATCAACGCACAGCCCAAACCACTGAACGGATCCGGCTGAAATTTGGCATGCAGGTAGATGTTATGACGTAGGCATCCGCTAAGAAAGGATTTTACGAAACTCCACCCCTAAGGGGGTAAACCGGGATCCACGCGTACGAAGTCGCGGGCGGCCGCTAGTTAGTAATAACATACTCTTTAACTATCCATTGCCTGTCATGTCGTCTCGTTCTTTCGCAAAGAATCACCATTTGATGAGAGCGAGGGCAAAAATAGAAATGGTTAGTTAACAGTGTGGCCGTGTGTACTCTGATCTTCGAACTCGCGGACTCGCCTCTTCACAATCTCCCGCCATTCTGGACGTTGTGCTGCCAAACCTTCCAAGGCTTTCAACTGGGAGGGCTCAATGTCGCATCTTTTCATGTGCCGCTTCTGCACATCTTTGTACCTCAGTTGACCGCCATGTTTTCGCTTACCTTCCTCAAATTCAGAGTAGAAGATGCGCTTCGTCCCTCTCCTCCGCCATACGTGATCATCATCATCATCAACAGCCCTTTACAGTCCACTGCTGGACTATGAGCCTCCTCCACTATAGTGGAGGGTTTTGCCATAATCCCCACGCTTGGCAGGCGGGTTGGAGATCGCAGTTTAAAAGATTGATGTTTTTCAGAGAGCGCTGCTGCCCGTTCTCTGTCTGCCACCCTTACCCTATATAACCTGTAAATAAGAACTGACCTGGCGTGTCCGGGGCGGCGCCTCCAGGCGAAGAACTCGTCACCGAGGTTGAAGGTGAGGTTGCTGCGCATCACCACCTTCACCGGCAGCGCCGGCGCCGCCGTCGGGCGCGACCGGGACCGAGGAGACGCTTCGTCGGCTGCGCGAGGACAAAAAAGGTCAAATAGAATACAGGGTGGAAACTATGTCCAGGAAAAAACAGTTCAATACTTAGCTACAGGGTGGAAACATAAGACTTATGCTCTTTGAGCACTTTCAGAACAGTAACCAGTTTTTCGATATCTTTACAGTTTAGAAATAATTGATATTTCGAAGTCTTATAATAAGTCACTAATGCCCATTTTCACCATCAATCCCTAATTTTTAAGTGACCCCTATGGTAACATATAACAGGTATTTTTAACGGGCATTACTGATCCTGAAAGTACATCACGAGCTCTATCAAAACGGTACAACGGTAAAGGGTTACAGAATAAACTGGATCTATCCGAGAACTCTTATGTTTCAAGCTCAAAAAACAAATATTCCGCAGCGAACAGAAAAAGAATGGATCAGAAATCTCGGTGCATTCGGTGTACGTACATACATAGAAAAACACATACCAACAGAATTGAGAACCTCCTCTTTTTGTTGAAGTCGGTTAACAAAGAATACATTTTAATAAACTGGTAAATAACCACTTATGGGTGGTAGGTCACCTGAACATTTGGTATAAATAAGAATTGAGACTGATGACATCGTAAAGGTAGCGTAGGAAGCGCTGGACGCAGGCCGCTACCGATCGATCAACATGGAAAGCATTGGGGGAGGCCTATGTTCAGCAGTGGACGTCCTGTGGCTGAAATGATGATGATGATGATGATGAAGAAACGGGAGAACTCACCAGTATCAGTTTCGGCCGCTCGCATCTCAATCTCGTCCTGCGCCTGCTGCTGCAGCGCGCGCTCGTTCGCGTTCGAGTATGACGTTAGCTGCGCGCGCGCCGGCAACTAAATGGCAATGCCAGATTTTGTATGGAAAGTGGCGTCTTTTTTTTTTCGCGCGGCCATCGACCAAACTTTGTTTTTTGATTACAAAATAGTGTAATAAACCAAACTTACTATGGCATGTATACCTCTAAACTCAGTCTGAACTGAGTCACGAGCATTAGAACTTTGATTATTTTCATACTAGATTTGCTTTTTGTGCGCAAGTTTTGTAAGAAATTGCAACAAAATATTGCGCTATTTTTTATTGCGCTGATTCTGCTCCATACTGATGTCTGGAGCCTTTAATAGATGATATTGTTTGTTTACACATACAATCTCACTATTTTGTTGCAATTTCTTACAAAACTTTGCGCGCAAAAAGCAAATCTAGTATGAAAATCATCAAACTTCTAATGCTCGTAACTCAGTTCAGACTGAGTTTAGAGGTATACATGCCATAGTAAGTTTGGTTTATTACACTATTTTGTAATCAAAAAACAAAGTTTGGTCGATGGCCGCGCGAAAAAAAAAAGACGCTAATTTCCGGCATTGTCTTTTATCAATATTATTTAGTTTTCACAGTAAAGTATACCAGTATAAGATTTAAATTGAAAAAAGTGTGACGAACACAACTACTCTGGCAAGAGTGTAGCGACGAAGAAGAGATAAAATTTAAATACGTATAACGTTTTGTGAAAGGCAATTTTTATTGGCTGACAAACATAGTGCTATGTTCAGCAGTGGACGTCCTATGGCTGACATGATGATGATGATGATACTCAATAGTTTATTTTGCATAACCACATTAGCATTCACATTTTAGGTCTTACAATTTAGGCAGTTATACAATGTGGATCCAGTTAGGGCACAGCAACTTTAGGAAGGAGACAGAACGACGATCTTAATAGTTTCAAAGAAAATGTACACATTGAGTTTGGTGGAAATGTCATTATTAAACAATTCGATAATTATAAAATAAAGATAGAATTAATGAATTATTAAAATGGAAAAATATTGTTAAAATGTCATGCTAATTATTGTCAAGTGTTGAAATGTCAGGTTAAATATCAAGTGGTAAGCTAACTGCTTACCACTTGATATTTAACCTACTAATTTCTAGGTCCTACTAATTTATTATTCAGGTCAACATTAATGATGATGAAACATAGTGAAGGAGTCCAAAATGAGAGGGCCGATGTGTAGCAAAAAAGTGTACTATAATATATACAGGCGTGATGTACAAAAAATACGAACACATCGATGGATAGAATAACACCGTCTTACTTTAAAACCGCGATGCAGCTTTTAACCTACCGCCATCTAATGGTGAGCATTATAACTACTTCGTAAAGAGGTTTGGTAATGCATGTTGGAACCGCAGCATGGCGCTAGTAGTCTTGATCTATTATCTTAATATGGTATATTTACAGTTTTTTAATTTTGGAGCTTAAGCTTTTGGAGCTTAAGCTAAAGCTTATACCCACGTGATTTTCGATAAAACATAGAATATTGCGACCTTGGTGTATTACAATAAGATTTAACATACGTTGAGGGTCCCTAAGCTAGACTTAAAGAAAGAAATAAATAATAAACAGACTAACCTGTTCGTCCAAGTCATGGTTGTGGTGCTTGTGCTTGCAAGCGTTGCGGCGCACGCTACCGTTCTCACTGCGGAAGCGCGACTCGCCTGCACACAGTATAGGAAGGCCTTTAAAATTACAATAAGATAAACCACAAACCAAACAAAAAAGGAGGAGTGAGTATCTATCTAAAAATATAAAAGGAGAAACTGACTGACTGACTGACAGATCAACGCACAGCCTAAACGGCTAAACGTAGGCACTTGAAATTTGGATGGGACGTAGCTTAGGTACCGTAGAGGTGCACTAAGAAAGGAATTCCCGAAATTCCCACGGGAACGGGAATTAGCGGGAAAAACGGGATTCACGCGTACGAAGTCGCGGGCGGCCGCTAGTATATTTATAAATAGTAAAGTACATATAGCCGCTGGTTGCTTGCTATAGACCTCAAAATAAGACTCAAGGTCACCCAAAGGTCGATGGAGCGTGCTAAGAAACTTCTCTGCGTGACTGAATTAGAAATGGGGAGACCCGTAGGAAACCAACTAGGTGAATCAAAGATCTGAAAGTTGCGGGATGCAGTTAGATGCCGCAACACAAGACCGGCTGTCGTAGAAATCCTTAGGGAAGGCCTTTGTCCAGCAGTGAACGTCATTTGGCTGACTGAAACGAACGAATGAACTTTAACTTAAAAATACCAACCGAATTGAGAACCTCCTCCTTTTATTGAAGTCGGTTAACTAAAGTACCTCCTACCTTTATGAGGTTGTCGATCCACTTTGAGGGTGGATATCCCACACTGCGTTTTCCGGTGCGTGGCCTCCACTCCGTTACCAACCGGGCAACATGGAAATCATTGGGGGAGGCCTATGTTCAGCAGTGGACGTCCTGCGGCTGAAATGATGATGATGTAACTTAACTAGATCCAATGCCACTCACCCATAGGCCACTGCTCGTAGCTAGCCCTGTCCCGCTCTACCCCGTTGTCCTGCATATCTCCGTCCTGCTTGGGCTCGCCGCTCGCCAGCATGGGCGCTTCTTCGATCGACGCGGGCTCCACCTTCAGGCTGTCTTCGTCGGAAGATACTTTCTGCATCCTGAGGGTATGAAGTTGATGGTTAGGTAGGACTAGCGGCCGCCCGCGACTTCGTACGCGTGGATCCTGTTTTACCCCCTTCATAGATTTTTTTTTATACAAATGTTTTTTCCCGCTAACTCCCGTTCCCGTGGGAATTTTGCAATATCCTGTTGTAACTAAGCTTTAAGTTTACTAAGGTACCTGCATGCCAAATTTCAAGCGTCTAACTTAAGCTGTTTAGATTTTTCATACAAAAGGATTTTCTCGGTAATTCCCGTTCCCGTGGCAATTTCGGGAATTCCTTTCTTAGTACACCTCTACGGTACTGCACTAATACCCTTCCAAATTTCAAGTGCCTACGTTTAGCCGTGTAGGCTGTGCGTTGATATGTCAGTCAGTCAGTCAGTTTCTCCTTTTATGTATTTAGATTTATTGTGAGTTATCTCTAATGGACGGAAGACTTGTGGCCTAATTCACGTATTTTGACAGTCAAGATCCCGCTGACGTTCAGAAGTCGTCCCATTGGAAAACAGTTCTAAATCCGGATTCACAAGGGTTATTTCGATAGAACGATTACTCGATAGGATCGCAACTCAGCGATTTGTTGTCGTTGAAGTTTTGTTACGTGAATAAGGCTACTGAGTAAGCTACGAGGCCGCCCGCGACTTCGTGCGCGTGGATCCCGTTTGACCCCCTTCCGCTTTCCTTGTGGGTTGCGTCGCTCTCAGCAATCTCGTTGACGTCACCGAGTGCGTTGAGTTCGGCGGCGGGCGCGGGCGGCGCTGTGGTGCTGTTAGTGACGTCACTAGGCTAGTTCTATGACTGCACTGCTCTCACCTGTCGTCATCCCTCTCTCCCGTGACAGTCTTCTCTCCTAGTAACTTCAATAATGTGTCTCTGTCGGCCGCGTCGCTCTCAGCAATTTCGTTGACGTCACCGAGTGCGTTAAGTTCGCTGACGGGCGCGGGCGGTGCTGTGGTGCTGGTGGCGCGCATACGTTTGCGTTTACGCTTCTGAGCGCGCTGGAAAGATGCGTTAAAAAAATTCAATAAATATTACTAATACCTAATACCTCATAACCATGCGCGTATACAGGGTGGAATTTTGTAATGCCACCTGGAGGGAAAGTACTCTTAATACTGTAGATAGAAGATTTTACTGAAAGAAAACATTCCATTATTTTTTAAAAGAAAGAGAACTGCATTCAAAGATTTTCGAAAAATTTTCGAAAATTCACTACCATGCCATACAATTTTCTGTACATAATTAAAATAATTTAAGATTTCATGGTTTTCCTTTCATTTGATTTACAAAGTTTGTTAGAGAGATTTCATCCTTATACTTAACCCTAACGATCGATGCAATAAAAATACAGGGTGTAATTTTTAACAGATTTTAGTTTGTTCGATTCCCGGATGTGGCAAGCAAATTTTTGGAAATGTTTGAATGCAGTTCTATTTCTTTTCAAAAATAAAGGAATGTTTTCTGTGAGCTAAAATGTATATCTACAATATTAAGAGTACTTTCCCTCCAGGTGGCATTACAAAATTCCACCCTGTATAGTGAGGAGGCCGAGAATGGTCTGGTCCCTACCTACTTTGGGCTATCGATTAGAAGATGACAGTTGATAGTACTCATGATACCAATTGCACCCTTCACTTCTCCCGTATAATGGCATGTCAGGGGCAGCCTTTCCTAAATGACCCTGGATACGTCAATGCGCATAACTATATAACTAAGTCCGTGCCTGAGCTTGAGCTATGGGAGCGGCACGGGAGAGTGTGTTTTTGTGATGTCAAACGTCAGCGAGACAAACTGGCACGATATATTTCCCGTAATGAAAATGATAATGGGAACGCGGGTTCGGTCCCCGCCGCCGCTCGACTATTGTGGTGAGCTCACACGTGACACAAGCATATTTAGCTTAGTACGAGGGGCTAACGGAGTTATTAGTAATTTGTGCAAAGACAAATTACTATGTTTTTTTAACTTATTCTTCAGTCAAAAGTTAGTTACTATCCGACGGTTGAAAAATCTGTCCTAAATGAGGATTGAATTAGCAATCGCATCCTTTAAGTAGGTAGTATTTAAGCTCAGAACAGTGTCTATTTGCACATAGTCTGGCATACTCACGACGGGCGCGTCGTTTATATTAAGCTAAGCGTCCACATGTCGGTATCGTACGCATCGGACGTATCGCACGCAACGGATCGTAGTATTATTTATATGGAAACTCATATAAGTGCGTCCACCTGTCCGCATCGTACGCATCGCACATCCGATACGATGTGTTTCGTACGATGCGTTCGTTGTGTACGATACCAGGCCTGTTCATCTCCGCGAGTTTACATCGAAAACAAAACACGCACGATGGTCCACCTACAGGATACTATTCGACAAGGCCTCACATACGAGCGAACATTGACTCACGCACGCGTATTCTTGTGTAGGTATGACGGAAGAAAATAAAGAAATGTGCAGTATTTAACTGCCTAAATAATAATAAAAACACAGAATGTACTTTTTTAAGTTGCCTCAAGACACTGAGAGGTAAATAAGTAGTTAATATTATTCATGATAATTCATGCTAAATCATGTATTTCCTCCGCCATTTTCCGCAGTTTGGCACCTCACGTCACATCATTTTACCGAAGTCAGCCCTATAGCTTCGGCGCAGTGCCGATCACTGACGTTTGTCAACAAAATGGTGCTTGACTCTTGAGACAGGCTAAATTACACCATTTTGTTAATGACATTGAGCATACATTTTTTTAAATACCTTCGCGAAGTAAAACTTCTGGTACGTAGTACTTATTATTATTCTGTGGTTATACCCCTTACTCGTAGTTCGTAAAATCTGTTGTTTGATATCATGTTGATAGATGGCGTTTCACGGCTTCCCCCGCATGAATATTTACGAACGTCAAAAACAGTAGTTTGTCCAGCGCTGTAGATTTTAACCAATGACGATAGATGGCACTTTTTAGACACGTCTTATATATTTATTTGTTGAAATTTATGTCACATATCGTCATAAAATAGCCTATATGTTAATCTGGGTTATAAACAATAATACTGTAAAGTTTCAACAAAATCCGTTCAGTAGTTTTTACGTGAAAGAGTAACAAACATCCAGACATCCACACAAACTTTCGCATTTATAATATTAGTAGGATAGTAGGAAGTAAGATGATGTCAAATAGCCTATTGATGAGCTCAAATGTGTTATCCCTTTTCTTTTGCTGATGCTTAACGATTTGAGTTGAGGTTTATTGAACAAGTGTGAGTTGTATATTAAACAGTGTTATTTTGTTTAAAATCAATTTGTAGAGTAGGCGCACACCGTTGATTTTTCGTCGGCCGATAGTTTAGTCGGGCAGTTGACCGATTCTTCATACAAATTAAAATCGGGCACAACTATCGGCCAACTAAAAATCAACGGTGTGCGCCTACTCGTAAAGTTTTATAACTTATCAGAATACATATAACCAGACGCAGGTTAGCGTACCATCCCTATATTGTCGACATTCCACCAGCTCGCACTAAGTGATGATGATTTTATTTTATAATGCGAACAGCTAGGGACTGGAATTCGCTGCCTGCTGCTGTCTTTCCCGAAGACTATAATCCGGGCGTTTTCAAGGCGAGAGTGAATAGGCACTTACAGGGCAGATATGTACCATCCTAGACTACATCCCACTTAACATCAGGTGCGATTGTGGTCAAATATCTGCCTTGTTATGCATAAAAAAACTCACGACGGGCGCGTCGTTGGCGGGCGCGGCGGTGACCTCGACGAAGTCCTCGATGATGATCTTCTTGGAGATGGCGGGTGGTGCTGGTGTGTCGGGCAGCGGTTCGATACGCGCGTGCTTGTGCTTCTTGCTGCGGTGCCGCTTGGTTGGCTGCGGACATAAGGGTTGTCGAGTGCTTTTACTTTTTACCCGACTGCGCCAGAAGGAGGGTTATGTTTTTCGAGTGTATGTATGTATATTCCTTTAGCACGGCCTACAGCCTAAACGCCTTGACCGAGAGGTGTCGTTAGATTTGTCTTAATCGTGAGAGTGACACTGGCTATATTAAAATTGAAAAAAAACAAATTGGCGGATTTTAGGCGCCATATTGTCTCAAAAAAATTTAATTTTTTCTTAAAACTTATGGAGTGGGTTATCAAAATAAAGAGCTTTTAAAGTAACTTACAAAAATGTATGCCAAGTGCCCCTCTCTCATGGTTTCTGCAGAATACCAGTGGCCGTAACGTGCTCCCGAGTACGTTATGGCCTCATACTGAGCAGAGACCAATTTGGTACAACAATTGTATTATTTCACTTTTTAATGTCAATGTGTATCATTATTTTAGTACCAAATAAATATTTTTTCTTTCTTTCTTTCTTTCAAAATAAAATTATTATAGAAAAAACAAAAAACCGAACTGCGTAAAAATGAACTAAAAAGATAAAAAAAGACAACTTAAGGCCCAGTTTTTTTGATTCATAGTTAAAATGTTAAATTTTGCTACTAATGGTTAAATATTAACAAAATGTTAACTAATAATTAAAAAATGTACTACGAATCAAAAAACTGGGCCTAAAGCGGTTGCCTTTATTCACCTAGATGAACAAACGCGACTTTTATATTAGTCATGTGTACTTTTTTTTCGTCAGGAAATGCCCGGGGGAACCAGTGGGTTATCATATATGTGAGGCTCTCCCTGCCAGATGGGCAAGGCCTACTGACTAAGACCTGACGGTGTCCTCCCACTGTTTGGGACGGAACTGCGAGTAAATACACTCGCACATAATAATTATACACTCACACACAATTTCACACTCACATTCAATATCACACTCACACTTACACACATACTATTATGTGAAATTTCTAATGGACATTTTTTTGAAATTTTTATTTTGTTTTAGGCACGCATTATATCGCAGACTTGCTAATGTAGGTATACATATTTCTTTCTTTGTTACTTGGTAGGGATGAAGCCTGGTAGCCCAAGACACAGGTCTTTCCTAGTTTGGGTACCAGTCTCCCATATACAACATTATAGCATATCTATGTATAAATATACTTAAGTATTTATTAATGTTAGTATTAAGCTTGTTTTGTATGGGAGAAAATAAATAATTTATTATTATTATTACTGTCCGAGCTAGATGGCCTAGACATTATTCCGCGGCTCCACCCCAGACTGGCTCGCTCTGTTTGAGCAAGCGACGACTGGCTTCAAGGGTACCTCCCCTGTTCTTTGATAACGGAGCGCGTGAACTTTTATCACCCGTGTAAAATGGTTTCGAAGTTGTGAATGTGCAATAAACACGATTTATTCGAAAGTGGGAGTTTTACCGTTGTAAAATTTAATTATTTATTATTTAAATAAACATTTACTTTTTAAAAATTGACGATTTTTTACTTGATCACGTTTCAAGTGAGCCAGAATGGTCCTCGTCACGTTGCTTCACTTTTCTTGCGAGTACTATCTATCTAGGACTAGCTGACCCGGCGAACTTTGTTCCGCCTTAATGGCAATAAATAAGCAGACTTTTTTTAAAATTTCGAACGGGATAAAAAGTATCCTATGTCCTTCTCCTGGCTCTAAACTACCTCCCTGACAATTTTCAGCTAAATCGGTTCAGCCGTTCTTGAGTTATAAGTGGTGTAACTAACACGACTTTCTTTTATATATATAGATTTATTAATCTATGATTATGATGACGATTTATTAATCTATGATTGTGATGATGGGCAGAAAATATAGTACGCAGAACTGACGGCCGATGGGGCAGCAAAATTCTGGAATGGAGGCCACGTACCGGAAAGCGCAGCGTAGGACGTAAGGTAGCGGGAAGGCGCTGGATGCAGGCCGCCACCAACCGGCTATTGTGGAAATCATTGGGGGAGGCCTATGTTCAGTAGTAACCAACCAACAATGAACCAACGAGTCCATATTAAAAGAGCTCAACATCACCACGCGGCTCGCCACTATAATTATGCCTAAAGCGTACCCTCTGTTTCTTTGGACACATTATGGAAGGGGGACGCGCTCGGGGCAGGGCACCGACGAGATCGGACGCGGTGAGGAAGACGGTGGGCGGGAGTTTGCATCGTGCGGTCCACACAGCTTATGACCGCAGTCTGTGGAGGAACACTATCTGTGGTCGCGATCCTCATCAGTGAGGGACCGAGGAAGAACAATAAGAAGAATGTTCAGCAGTGGACTTCCTGTGGCTGAAATGATGATGATGATGATGCTGACGTCATATTTACCTGCGCGGGAGGCGGCGGCGTGGGCTCGGCGAGGTCCAGCTTGTGCAGAATTTTGGCGACGCCGCGCTCGCGCCGCTCGTCCTTTTCAAATTCAAATTCAAATTATTTATTTGCTCAAAAAATAGGGTAAATACATAAGTGGTGTTGGTATTTTATTAAAAGTGCATTCCTATTTAGCTAATGTCAGTTAGCATGCAAATTACAATTGATCATAAAATAATGTCGATTGATTACATAATATTATATTTATATTATGATTATAATATTATGCATGCTGTGGTTATCGTTTGTGTGGGAGCAGTTAGCTAGAGACCTTTGGCTTATTTTTTTTTTTAATTGTGTATAATACTGTATCTCATGTTGATAGCCCAATAAAATAAATAAATAAATAAATATTGATTAAAATAAAATTCATTAGCATATTTTTTCAGTCAAATACCTTCATCTCCGTCACCTTGTTGCGCTCGAACACGCGCCCGTTGTTGATCACCTACAGAATGTCAATAAATGAAGTTAAGTGACAGATAGGATAGACTACTCAAAATTGGGAAAAATGCCGTTTTCCACCTTCCCATTATTTTATACTAGCTGGAATTTTATATGTCACAGAAAAACTTTAACGCGCGCGTCCCTGTTTCAAAAACCGGGATAAAAACCATCCTATGTCCTTTCCCAGGACTCAACCTATCTTTATACCTTTCATTAAAATCGGTTCAATGGTTTAGACGTGAAAACGAGACAGACAGAGTTACTTTCGCATTTATAATATTAGTATAGATCAGTAAGTCTGCCGACTAAGACCTGCGAAGCGAAAACAATTGGCATCAATGAGGTGCAAAATGAATTGATGCTAAAAACAGACTGGTGAGTAAGGTCTGACTCTACGGTAAGCTATAACTTGAGAATGACTAACGATTTCATTTATCTATTTTTAAAGTTTTTTTAATACTTGGTAAATTCGTCGAAAGTGGAAAGAAAATTAAGAAACTTACGCAGAAATTGGATTGTTTTAAAAAACTTAACGACTGTATCCACTTTTAGCGTTTGCTAAATGTGAATTTAGCAGATTTAAATAAGCTGACTTAGTCAATATCGATTTTTATTTGTATGCAGTCGCAGGCTAGGCTAGCTTGAATAAAAAACCTAAGTCCTACCTTAATGTCTTTCTCGTTCAACACAGTGACCAGATCCCTCACGAAACTGTTATTCGGGTACAACTTCTTATGACTGCAATGTATGTCCACTTCTAAATGTTCTTCACTATGATTGGCCAAAGTTCTGACGAGTTTCAGAATGAACTTGTTCTTAGTATGTTTCTTGCGGGCGCGCTTCTTGCCGTGTTTCTTCCCGCGGCGTTTCTTGTGCGTGTGGCGGCGGATGGTTGTGTTGGTTTCTATGTCGGTGGGCGTTTCTTCGGTGTATGAGAGGAGGGAGCGGGATATTCGTCTGCAAAACACACAACAAATCTTTGAATGCAGTTTTCTTTCTTTTCAAAAATAAAGGAATGTTTTCTTTGAGTAACATTTTCTATCTACAGTATTAAGAGTAATTGCGGTACAAAATTCCAACCTGTATATTATAAACGCGAAATACCATTCACTGATTTATCACGAAATCTCAGAAACTATAGCACCTACAAACTTGAAATTTGGCAGGTAGTCATAGTCATAGTTCTTTATTGCATCATGCTGGTAGGTTCCTTATAAGGTGTAGACATCCGCTAAGAACTGATTTTACGAAACTCCACTACTAAGGGGGTAAAACGGGGTCCACGTGTTACGAAATTGCGGGCGGCCGCTAGTACAATTATATATTTTTTAAATGTTCATTTTAAATTATTAATTTCTACACACCTTTGCCTTCGAAGTTTGCTCAGCCTCTGTTCCTGTTCGCTTGGCTCCTCGTCTTCTGCGAAAATGGCGGAATTATACTAACAAACTCCTAAAAATACTTCCAAGACAAGTTAGCTATCCCCGGGACTACTCATTGGAGGTTTCATTGGAGGCCAAGCTGTAGATATTGGCTATACAAAGTTGCAGACTGCAGTGATGGGAAAGTGTGGTGGAATAAGTCCCGTTAATGATTTGATAATGATGGATGACGATGACTTACTATCTAGCCTGAGGTAGTTGTTCTGGTTATAGCGATCGCTACAGATCTGCCTTCTTTTGTCAAATCGATGCTCTTTTATTGTTATACGATATTCCATTTTTGCAATGTGAATGAGTTTTCGCGATATTCATTTGTTTTTGAAGTCAACTCTTTTTTTTTCATCTATGATTCGATGTTCGATTGTTTTTTGGCGACATTTTGGAACGATATTATTACGTTTCTTTTTTTTAACGCACATCATTTGTTTATCGATTAAAGATAGTTACATACAGTTTTAGTACTCAACAATCTTCCATTAGACCCTCCTTCTCTTGTCATGTGGATGTTCTTTTGTTTTACGATATTCCATTTTCGCAATTCTAATGAGTTTTCGCGATATTCTTTTGTTTTTTATGCAATTTTTTTTCATGTTTAATTCGATGTTCATTTGTTTCTTTGCGACATTTTAAATCTATCTCTCATTTTTACTTTTCTTTATGGTGTCATGTTGTTTAGCTTTGAGGTACAGTTTTTTGGTTTTATAGTCTAGTTTATAGGCGTGGTTAAAAGCAATAATTACTCACTGTCTAGCCTGAAGTCGTTGTCCTGGTTATAGTCAATCTTCGTGACGTCAGCGCCCGCGTCATAGTCCGCGTCCAGACATAGGCCCGTAGCGGCGTGCTGTAGCGATCGCTAAAGACCTTTCTCCTTTTGTCAGATCGATGCTCTTTTGTTTTACGACATTCCATTTTAGCGATTTGAATGAGTTTACTCGACGTTCATTTGTTTTTGAAGCTAATAATTTTCATTCGTAGTTCGATGTTCGTTTGTTTTTTGGCGACATTTTACATCGATATTTTGCTCATTATTTTCATTTATAATACGATTTTCGATTGTTTTTGGTGACATTTTACATAGATCTTTCATTTTTACTTTTCTTTCTTCGTGGCGTCATTTAGTTTTGCATTTGTTTCACTTTGAAGTACAGTTTTTTGGTTTTATAGTTCAGTTTAAAGGCGTGATAATGGTGGAATATTACTTACTGTCAAGTCTAAAGTCGTTGTCCTGATTATAGTCGATCTTCCATCTTTGCGCGGGCGCGTTCGACCCGCACGGGCGCGCTATGACGTCAGCGCCTGCGTCATAACCCGCGTCCAGACATAAACCGGTAGCGGCGTGCTGTAGCGACCGTTATAGACCCGCCTTCTTTTGTCATGTCGACGTTCTTTTGTTTTACGATATTCCATTTTTGCAATGTGAATGAGTTTTCGCGATATTCATTTGTTTTTGACCCTATTTTTTTATTCGCTTTCTTTTGTTTTGTCGACGGTCTTTTGGTTTTCGCTATTCCATTTTCGTTTCCCGACATTCATTTGTTTTTGAAGCTAATTCTCTTCATTCATAATTAGATGTTCGTTTGTTTTTATCATTCTTTTTGGTGACTTTTTTATAACAGTCTTTTTATTTTCATTTTCTTTCTTTGTGATGTGACGTCATTATTTGGCAAAAAGGTGCAGTTTTCATGATTTAGTTTGTTTTAGAGGCTGTATAAAAGCTGATAAAGTTAATAGTAGTGACTCACTGTCTAGCCTGAAGTCGTTGTCCTGGTTATAATCGATCTTCCATCTTTCCGCGGGCGCATTGGACCCGCACGGGCGCGTCATGACGTCAGCACCTGCGTCATAACCCGCGTCCAAACATAGGCCCTACCGCATGCTAGCGACCGCTATAGACTCGCTTTCTTGTGTCATGTCGATGCTCTTTTGTTTCAGGTCTTTCCATTTTTTGCAGTTGGTTGGTTGGTTTTCGCGACATTCATTTGTTTTTGATGCAAATTCGTTTCATTCTTAATTCTTTTCGATGTTCGTTTGTTTTTTTTTTGCGACATTTTAAATATTATCTCTCATTTTTACTTTTCTTTCTTTAAGGTGTCAGCGCGCGCGTCATAGCCCGTGTCTAGACACAGGCCGGTAGCGGCGTGCTGTAGTGAGCGCTAAATAAGACGCGCTTTCTTTTGTCAGATCGATGATCTTTTGGTTTTCGCTATTCCATTTTCACAATTTGAATGAGTTTTCGCGATATTCATTTGTTTTTGAAGTCAATTCTTTTTTTTTCATCTATGATTCGATGTTTGATTGTTTTTTGGTGACATTTTGTAACGATATTTTTTTACAAATCATCATTTAGTTATCGATTAAAGGAAGTTAAATATAGTTTTAGCACTCACTGTCTAGCCTGAAGTCGTTGTCCTGGTTATAATCGATCTTCCATCTTTGCGCGGGCGCGTTCGACCCGCACGGGCGCGCCGTGACGTCAGCACCCGCGTCATAGCCCGCGTCCAGACATAGGCCCGTAGCGGCGTGCTGTAGCGATCGCTAAAGACCTTTCTCCTTTTGTCAGATCGATGGTCTTTTGTTTTACGACATTCCATTTTAGCGATTTGAATGAGTTTACTCGACGTTCATTTGTTTTTTACGATATTCCATTTTAGCAATGTGAATGAGTCTTCGCGACATTCATTTGTTTTTGAAGCTAATAATTTTCATTCGTAGTTCGATGTTCGTTTGTTTTTTGGCGACATTTTACATCGATCTTTTGCTCATTATTTTCATTTATAATACGATTTTCGATTGTTTTTGGTGACATTTTAAATCGATCTCTCATTTTTACTTTTCTTTCTTTGTGGTGTCATTTAGTTTTGCATTTGTTTAACTTTGTGGTACAGTTTTTTGGTTTTATAGTCTAGTTTAGGGGCGTGGTAAAAGCAGATAAAGGTAATATTAGTGACTCACTGTCTAGCCTGAAGTCGTTGTCCTGGTTATAATCAATCTTCCATCTTTGCGCGGGCGCGTTGGACCCGCACGGGCGCGCCATGACGTCAGCGCCTGCGTCATAACCCGCGTCCAAGCACAGGCCCGTAGCGGCGTGTTGTAGCTGACCGGAGGGAAGGTAGCGCCATTTCTAGAACAATGGGAAGGGGCTTACCTAAGTCTGTCGCCATTACAACAATGTTAAGAACAGCCGGCCGTTTGGTGTAGTGGTTCGAAACGGACTACTATTCCGGAGGTAGCGGGTTCGATTCCCGCACAGTACAAACATTTGAGTGCATCAACAATGAACATATTTGTTTGTATTGGACGGTGTTTTCTATGTATAATAAGTATGTATTTACAAAAAAAATATTTAAGTATGTTTATAAATATCCGTTGTCTAGTACCCATAGTACAAGCTTTGCTTAGTTTGGGACTAGAAGCGCAGTGTAAAATGTCCAAGGATATTTATTTATTTATTTATTGTTGTGTTCCGGCAGTTAGAGGTAAGATAGCCAGTTCCTCCGTGGTTGAGGATTCCGGGTGAAGCTCGCTTCCACCTTCGGCCTGATCGTCACTTACCATCAGGTGGGATACAAGCCAAGAGCTTCCTCGTAGTGGATAAAAAAAAAGAATTTTAAATAAACAACTCGGAAAAATCGAACTGCCTAAGGCGAGAATCGAACCTTTCGCTTGCCGGGCGACTGCTCTTCCAACTGAGCTACTTAGACACTGGATGAGTTTAAATTGGATACTTGACACCATTAACCATTCATTCAGAGACAGAATTTTTTTAAGCACACTTTCCTGTAGCCTTAAAAATCGAGTTATTTTTCAATTATTTGTTTTAAGTAACTTTAAAATCAATTATTTGTTTTAAGTAACTTTAAAATCATAACATTAACTCAGAATAGTCTTTAAATAGACTTCGGACGCAGGTTGGCAGTAGTAAGGACAATCTGGTCAGGTGGGGATTCTTGGATGGCTTAAACATGGAGTGCAGGTGCGGTTTTGTTCCCCAGTCGATGAGGCACCTGATGTCGTGCCCTGAGTGCCCAAGCAACTGCACTCAGGAGGATTTGATGAGTGATATTGACAACGCCACTCTTGTGGCGAAGTTTTGGGCTGACACTGTAGGTTTGTTGTTGACACGAAAAGAAGAAGTACTCAGAATTGCTTTACAAAACATAAGGGTTTGGGGAATTATAATATATCTTTTTTTTTGTATTCATACCTGTCCTCTAAGTTTTCCGTGACAGTTTGACATTAGCACACGTCGCCCTTTTTCAATCGGAGTATCTCTGTAACAAAAATATAATTTAAACTACATCCAGCATTGTCGTACCATGAAGGGGTCCTACATCCAAAAGTATTAAACCTAGAAGGGGACTTGTCCCCAACACTGTCAGCTAGAATGGGACTTGTCCGAAAAAGTTACATATCTAAAAGGGGACTTGTCTCCAACAGTGACATCACACCTAGAAGGGGGACTTGTCCGCAATAGTGTCGTACCTAGAAGGGGACTTGTACCCAACAATGACATACCTAGAAGAGAACTTATATCCCACAACGTCATACTTAGAAGGGAGACTCTTAACAGTGTCATACCCGGTAAGAGACGTGTATTGAATTACAGTGTCATACTGTAAAGGATACTATATCCAATAGTGCTATACCTAGAAGGGGCTGATATGCAACAGTATCACATAACAGGGGTCATGTATTCAATAGTGGTGGGGCCTTGTCCCCAAGTGTCACACCTAGAAGGAGACTTGTACCCAACAATGACGTACCTAGAAGGGGATTTGTCCCCAAGTGTCATACCCAGAATGAGACTTGTCTCCAAGTGTCATACCCAGAAGGGGATTGGTCCCCAAGTGTCATACCTAGAAGGGGCATTGTCCCCAAGTGTCATACCTAGAAGGGGATTTGTCTCCAAGTGTCATACCTAGAATGAGACTTGTCTCCAAGTGTCATACCCAGAATGAGACTTGTCTCCAAGAGTTATACCTAGAAGGGGCTTTGTCCCCAAGTGTCATACCCAGAATGAGACTTGTCTCCAAGTGTCATACCCAGAATGAGACTTATCTCCAAGTGTCATACCCAGAATGAGACTTGTCTCCAAGAGTCATACCTAGAAGGGGCTTTGTCCCCAAGTGTCATACCCAGAATGAGACTTGTCTCCAAGTGTCATACCCAGAATGAGACTTATCTCCAAGTGTCATACCAAGAATGAGACTTGTCTCCAAGAGTCATACCTAGAAGGGGCTTTGTCCCCAAGTGTCATACCTAGAAGGGGCATTGTCCCCAGGTGTCATACCTAGAAGGGGCTTTGTCCCCAAGTGTCATACCTAGAAGGGGCTTTGTCCCCAAGTGTCATACCTAGAAGGGGCTTTGTCCCCAAGTGTCATACCCAGAATGAGACTTGTCTCCAAGAGTCATACCTATGTCCGGCTAGTGTAGTGTCCGGCTAGTGTAGTGTCCGGCTAGTGTCCGGTCACCTGGAGTGCTGCAGCTCGGCGCAGGCCTCCTCGTCTCGCAGCTCGCCGCGGGCGGACAGGCTGAAGTACTGCGTGGCCTGCAGCGCGCCTCGTGTCTAGTGTCCGGCTAGTGTAGTGTCCGGCTAGTGTAGTGTCCGGCTAGTGCAGTGTCCGGCTAGTGTCCGGTCACCTGGAGTGCTGCAGCTCGGCGCAGGCCTCCTCATCGCGTAGTTCCCCGCGCGCGGACAGACTGAAGTACTGCGTGGCCTGCAGACGCGCGTGGCACGGGTACACGCCGAGCGGGGACGCGCTGCCTTCCCGCTGGAGCGTGTCCAGGCACATGTTGGTGGCTGGGTTCACGAACCTGAATAACACATCAAATAAAGTATAAAGCATAAAGTTTTTATTATTTTTATTATTTTTTATTATTTATTTATTTATTTATTTAAATAATGCATAAAGGATGTAAAAAGATAAAGAGAAAACCTGGTGATGATCTCGGGAAGCGAGAAGCGGAAGGTAAAACTAGTCATTATGGGCATCTTTGGGGATGGCTTTCCAGCAGTGGACTCTTTTTTGCGGAGGTAAATATAAAATAAATAAATAAATATCCTTAGACATTTTACACTGCGCTTCTAGTCCCAAACTAAGCAAAGCTTGTACTATGAGTACTAGACAACGGATATAAACATACTTAAATACTTTTTTTTTGTAAATACATACAAATTATACATAGGAAACACCCAGTCCAATACAAACAAATATTATGTTCATGCACACAAATGTTTGTACTGTGCGGGAATCGAACCCGCTACCTCCGGAATAGTAGTACGTCTCGAACCACTACACCAAACGGCCGGCAAGTAAAAAGATAAAAAGAAGACGTGGTAAAGGTCTCAGGAAGCGCATCCAAGCGGGCAGTGTAGAAATAGTCTGGGAATCTTTGGAGTGGCTTTCAGTTGAACTTTGGGGAGATCTTTGTCCAGGAATTGGAAGTCTTTCAGTTGATCCTTGGACAAAGGCCTGACCAGCAATATTTCACTAGAAAATGAAGGATATAAAAACCCATCACGAAGCTAGATTCCACGTGTTCCCCACATATTGATGGTAATGATTCCTGAACCTGTTAAGAACCTGAGTTTTACTTGAACCATATCTGGGAAACCTGTGGTTTTTGAAATATTGAAGGTCAAACTCATGAACAATTTTTTTTTTCAAAACCACACACGGTAAATAATTTGTTACAACTATCACACTAACAAAAGGGGATCAAACACTACACAAATAATTTCTTAAAGTAACAAACATACCTCCCGTATCCGTACACGTCTCTGACGGGCACAAATTTCTCTTTATACACGTTGTCCAGGTACCACTGGAAGCTTTTGCACTTCAGTTTCTCGCGGAGAATCTTGCGGTGGGTCACGTCACCGATTTTGGGGTTTTTCTGAGAAAGAAAAGGTTTTGTTAGTCTGGCATTTTGAGAAAGGGGACAAATCCCCTTTTTATGGACATCCTCTGAATTCAAATTGAAAATTGGTGAATATTTTAGGAATGGTAAAACGATGGTTCTTTCATAGAAAAATAACACATTCATGGACGTAAAAGGGCCTTTTCTAAGTTGGTAAAGAAACGGTTTAGTTAGTCTGTAATTTTGAGGTAGGGAAAAAATCCCCGTCTTATGGACTTCTTCTGAATTGAGAATGTTACTAGGTATGCAAAATCACTTGAAACCTATGTTACAGTTAAGCTTTTACATATACAAATACATTTGTTTTTATTTCATTCAAAAATACCAAGTAGTTATGATTTTATAGGCATTCAAAGTTCGTTTAAATATCGAGTCCCGCCGACGGTCACGTGACCCCGCGTGACGTACATTCACAGTGTCCGCTCACTAGACAACGGATATAAACATACTTAAATACATTTTTTTTTTTTGTAAATACATACTTATTATACATATTAACATCCAGACCCATCACAGAAAGTAAAATTTAACCAAACCCAAACTTGATGCGATTATGTCGTTTTATTGCGAATTACCTTCCAGCTCCATCATCAGACCCTGATTACTGTATAGAATTGAAGTACTCATCATTACAAAACGAACGAGCCCAAACTCGATGGATTTAAGTCGTTTTATTATAGAGTTCCTATGGCCACCTTCTAGCTCCATCATCAGATCAGCTCCATGTCATCATAATATTGCATGGTCATCCAAATCACACATAATTTCAGCTTAATCGGTTGTCCGGAAGTGGGTCTTGATTCAGCTTGCAAGATTCTACCCATACAAATATGAGCCAGTAACTGTACTATGACGTCACGCGCATAAAATGGCGGGCGGGCCGCCGCCCGCTCTTTTAAAATTCAATATCTTGGAAACTAATTGACGTATCGAAATAATTCTTTCACGTGTATTTTTTATTTTTCACAGAGAATACAGAAAGCTAAAATACAAAATTAGTGAACATTCTTCATTCAGATTAAAAATTAAAGAGATTTCAGGGACCGTAAGTTATTTTTTGATACAGTTCTTTCATGGAAAAGTAGAACATGTAGGCTGTTTAAGTTCCTATTTCTTACGGAATAAGGGCGATTGAATGACAAGATGCTCTAGTGTATGTAATATGAAATTACCCTCAAGTCCGGTCGGTGCAGGTAGAATAGTTCAGCATACTCGTCCATCCACACTTCGGCCATTCTGGCTGTGTTGATACCTGTACAAAAAGTATATAACATTAAAATAAATTATTACTAGCGGCCGCCCACGACTTCGTACTCGTGGATCCCGTTTTACCTCAGGGATGGAGTTTCGTAAAATCCCGTCTTAGTGAGGAGCACCTACGTTCTAAAAGAAATCCCCATGCAAAAAGACAATGCCGGAAATTGGCGTCTTTTTTTTTTCGCGCGGCCATCGACCAAATCATGTTTTTTAGACACAAAATAGTGTAATAAACCAAACTTACTATGACATTTATACCTCTAAACTCAGTCTGAACTGAGTTACGAGCATTAGAAGTTTTATGATTTACATGGATTTACATACTAGATTTGCTTTTTGCGCGCAAGTTTTGTAAGAAATTGCAACAAAATAGTGACATTGTATGTGTAAACAAGCAATTCCATCCATTAAAGGCTCCAGACATCAGTGTGGAGCAGAATCAGCGCAATATTTTGTTGCAATTTCTTACAAAACTTGCGGGCAAAAAGCAAATCTAGTATGTAAATCATCAAACTTCTAACGTTCGTAACTCAGTTCAGACTGAGTTTAGAGGTATACATGTCATAGTAAGTTTGGTTTATTACACTATTTTGTAATCAAAAAACAAAGTTTGGTCGATGGCCGCGCGAAAAAAAAAAGACGCCACCTTCCATACAAAATCTGGCATTGCCATTTGAGACTCCTAACACTTGTAATTTCCAAGATGTTGTGATGAGTGAGTCAGTGACCTTTCGCTTTTATAGATGTCTACAATACAATTTCGTCGCCATTACTTATGTATTGTCGCGGACTATACCTACATATTTACGGCAGAGTAGAAGAGAACTAACTCCAATCTTTCCGTGGTTGTCCTGTCTCGCCAGCGTAGGGAGTGTTTTTTTTTTATCCACAACGAGGAAGCTCTCGGCCTGCATCTCACCTGATGGTAAGTGACGATCAGGCCGAAGGTGGAAGCGAGCTGCACCCGGAATCCTCAACCACAGAGGAACTGGCTATCTTACCTCTAACTGCCGGAACACAACAATCCTGTTAACATTGTTGTTATGGCGACAGACTTAGGTAAGATGGTGGTAGCTAGCCAGGCGGACTTGGAACAAGCCCTACCACCAACCAAACCGAACAGAAAATTCTGCCCCCACTGGGAATCGAACCCGGGACCTCTGCGTCTGAAGCAGGTGGTCTAACCACTAGACCACAGAGGCGGTTAGGCGGTGGAGGCGGTGTAGGCCAAATCCTGCATTTGCCTCTGGTAAATATGACCTGATGATGATGACACTTACCGTGCGTGTCGGACTGCGCTGGTAGCCCGTAGGGGTGGAAGCTACGGAACATCACCCATTTCTTCTCGTTGATGTCGTAAGACGAGACTAAGGGACAAATGTGCACTCCCCAACCCGTCTGGCCAACGTGTGGAGTGTAGGCCAAATACTCCATTTGCCTCTGGTAAATTAGATCGTACTTCTGCAGTGATGACAAAATATCTTGATGATGATAGTTACCGTGCGTGTCGGACTGCGCTGGTAGACCGTAGGGGTGGAAACGTCGGAACACCACTCTTCCCGTGGATGTCGAAAGAAGCGACTAAAGAATAAATATCCGAATATCAGGCCTCCCCAACCCGTCTGACCAGCGTGGAAAGTGTAGGTCAAATCCTCTCGTTAACTAGTGTGCTCCTGTAGTGGACACTAAATGACGTGATGATGATGACACTTACCGTGCGTGTCGTGTCGGACTAAGCTGGTAGACCGTAGGGGTGGAAGCTTCGAAGCATCCCCCATTCTACCCGTGGATGTCGTAAGACATGACTAAGGGACAAATGTGCGCTCCTCAACCCGTCTGGCCAGCGTAAGGAATACCGTAGGCCAAATACTCCATTTGCCTCTGGTAAATTAGATCGTACTCCTGCAGTGATGACAAAATATCTTGATGATGATAGTTACCGTGCGTGTCGGACTGAGATGGTAGAAGACCCTAGGGGTGAAAGCTTCGGAACACCGCCCATTCTTCCCGTGGATGTCTTAAGCGGCGACTAAGGGGGAAAATGAGATCAGGTCTTTCTAACCCGTCTGGCCAGCGTAAGAAATATGGTAGGCCAAATACTGCATTTGCTTCTGGTAAATTAGATCGTACTCCTGCAGTGATGACTAAATATCTTGATGATGATGAACTTTATCGTGCGTGTCGGACTGCGCTGGTAGACCGTAGGGGTGGAAGCTGCGGAACACCACCCACTCTTCCCGTGGATGTCATAAGCGGCGATTAAGGGACAAATATGCGAACATCAGGCCATCGCAATCTATCTGGCCAGCATGGGAATAATAGGCCAAATCCTGCATTTCAATTACAATCATGTATCTTACCATTATTGTATGCCCATGCGGCGGAACACAGCTGATCTATCATACAAATTTAATGACCTGACTTATGTACCTATGATTTCACAATAAACACAATTTGAATTTGTCTCTGGTGATGGTCGGGCTCCTGCAATGATGACTATAATAGTAATAGTAATAGTAAATAGTATTTATTTTCTCATCACAAACATTACAATGACACAAGTTTTTAAGCACATTAATTACAATTCAAAAACAAAGTTGTTTGTGTGAGACTGATGCCTGTGATAGGTATTTGCATACCTGTAGTACAGGTCATCAGGCTCCCACCACCCCAGATATTGGCACAATTTATAATTAATTAGAGAACCGATATTATATTATATTATTGACTCAGACATGGTAGTGATGTACTATATGCCATGATGATGACTAAGTTACCATGCGTATCGGACTGATCTCAGTCCGATCCAGCCTACCCATCGCGGATGTCGTAAGAGGCGATTAAAAAAGAAAGAAAGAAAAAATATTTGTTTGGTATCAAAGATATTAAAATCAAAATCAATCAAAATCAAAATTATTTATTCAGTTTAGACCACAAGTGGCACTTATGAACGTCACTAGAAAATAATAAAAAAGAAAAGGTAGCCCTTATGGGGCACTTTACATGTCTCCTTATCTTTTGGGCCCTACCAGCGCTTCGAGACAAACATATGGCAAGTGCTGAGAAGAAACGCCGGAACAAACTCAGTCACCACTTATTGCCAGGAATTATCTAACGGTAAGAATAGTCATGCAATAAATAATTTGAATTTGAATTTAGTCAAATTTAAGTACATCAAATATGTGCAGACTGAACTGACCACGCATCCTTGTCATCAATATAGTCTCGAACCTTGTAGTACCCTTTGGACATAAGGGTATTTTTTATATGTATCTTAAATTTGTTTATTGGCAATTCGACAAGGTTGTGTGGTATTTTGTTAAATATGGTAATACATTTCCCCAAGAATGAATTACCTATCTTATGCAACCTAAATGATGGAACAGCAAGTTTATTCTTATGTCTCGTGTTAAATGAGTGGACGTCACTTTTCTAAAGAGACAAATATGCGAAAATCAGACCTCCCCAACCGGTCTGACCTGCGTGGGAAGTGTAGGCCAAATCTTGCATTTGCCTCTGGTAAATATGACCTGATGATGACACTTACCGTGCGTGTCGGACTGCGCTGGTAGCCCGTAGGGGTGGAAGCTGCGGAACACGTGGCCCACCCGCGAGCAAGGGATCGTCTCCAGGGTGCCGCCGCCTGGAACATAAGGAACAATACTGATTCTTATTTGTGGTGAACCCTTAACACGAGCACACGAGCTAGAAGGGTTAGCGGGATTTTAACGCCCGTATTCACAAACGATGCTTGCTTAAGTAAAGCAGCAAATCGAACGCACAGAGTTGAATAGAGCTGTGTGATTGGTTTGTATGTCATCCTGTGCGTTCACGCGCACTGTGAGACCTCATAGTAATATTTGTTAATACGGGCGTAAGTTTTATTCTTCTTCTTCGTTCGACGGTTTTATACTGGACCATTCCAGACCAGTTTCAACGTAAGCAAAGAAGGAGTGTGAAAAACGCCAGCCTTTGATAGAAAAATGTTTGGGAAACACTGCTGACTACGTCATTAGAAAGAAAGTAAGAAAGAAAGATTCATTTATTACAATGGACATCACACAAATACAGGCAATTACATAGACATGACAGTGGCACATAATAATGGAACAAGAAAAACCCTCATTACAAGTGAAGGTCAAGTTTGTCCCGGGGGAAAGTTAAACTGTCATTGGACCCGCAACGAAATTAATCAGAAGAACATAGGAGGATTTCGAAGTTAAGGTTAGACTTGCCTCCAGTGCAAAGCGTAGAGACCATTGGCCGCTCCCACAGATTTCCATACCACCGGTCTCACGCTGGCGCATCCAGATGCCCCCGTAGCATCTGGATGCGCCAGCTGTATGATGCTGCTGGATGTTCTGTTTTTGGGCATATTGCTGCGACACCGGCCCCGTCCCCTTGTCACATCTCCCTTTAGTTTCTGTGATCTGTACCTAGGGGATACACGGGATGCCAGTAGTATCAACCTATCAACTCACACTGCCAGATGCGGAAGGACATCTCGAGGTTCTCGCCGCCCCAGCCGGCCATCTGCTCGTCATACGCTCCCAGCTCCCAGTAGTACGCGCGGTTGATCGCGAAGAGCCCGCCCGCCATCGTTGGAGACCTACAGAAAGATTACAGCTTTATTGCATAGAGAATAGGGTACAAAATAGGAACTTCATTAGTTTGACCTGTGGACCAAGTAGAAATAGGAGAAATTCTATAATTTGAAGAGGTGGAATGAGATCTAGTCCAGTCAATAAAGCATTATAGATGGAANATCTTCACTTCGCCTCGTCAGAACCGTGCTGGTTGGTACATGAGACTCACCTCCGTCATCCTCGGGCTTCTTCCACGACAGCTTGCAGCCGCCCTTGGTGACGTCAGCTACCTTCAGGCCGCCGGGCTTGCCTGGCGCGCACAGTGATCTCCACTTCGCCTCGTCAGAACCGTGCTGGTTGGGACATGACTCACCTCCGTCATCCTCGGGCTTCTTCCACGACAGCTTGCAGCCGCCCTTGGTGACGTCTGCCACCTTAAGCGGGCCGCCGGGCTTGCCTGGCGCGGACAAGACTGTGATCTCCACCTCAGCCTCGTCTGAACCGTGCTGGTTGGTGGCCAGAATACGGTAGGTGCCGGTCATGGCACGGATGGATTCCTTAACGTCTAGTTTTGTGTTGTAGTCTACGTTGATGACGTTTTCTGTGACCTGGGGAGTGGAAATTGGGGGGTTAGAATTGTAAGTTAACTAAAAAAGTCACGCAATGTATAGTGTTTAATTTTATAATAGGCCATTTCTCTCTAATATTATAATCGGTGTAGGGGAATAGGGGACCCATCAAAGCCAGAGAGGCTCGCTGGAGAGCTTGACTCTAGCCTGAAACGGAACTGCGAACGAATGTCCATTGTCCAAGCTAGTAAAAGGTGGACCGACGACCTCATAAAGGTAGCGGGAAGACGCTGGATGCAGGCCGCCACCAACCGGCCATTGTGGAAATCATTGGCGGAGGCCTATGTTCAGCAGTGGACGTCCTATGGCTTAAATGATGATGAAGTTAGTATAGTAACTTGCGGCTCCGTTTTATTGGGCTGTGGTGGACACCGTCGGGTCTTAGTGGGTAGGCCCCGCCTGCTCACTAAAGGCCTCACATTGGCCGTATTTATTATTTCCCGACGTAAAAAAAGCATAGCCATTACACGGTATAAAATGTAAACCTTCCTCTTTCGTATGCTTCAGTTTTGAGTAGACTGATAATTCATTAATTATCACAACCACAGATCACAATGAAGACAGCAGCGACGTCATAATGTAAAAAGTTAAATTGCTTGCGTAGTAGGTACTAAAGATTATTCCAATGTTGAGTAATGATACCGCAGTGGATAATGAGCTTCTTTTTGTAAATTTGAATTTCTTTGTGTTTGTGAATTTCTAATGCGACACTGAGTTCCGTACTTAGTTGGCATCTCTCTATATCTACATATGATCAAAACTTACTTCCTTCTCCTCGCCCTTCCATTTCTGGAACCACTGCACCTTGGGCGCTGGCTCTCCCTTCACGTTGACGTCGAAGAAGATCGGCTTGCCAGCACGCACTGCCAGCGCCTTGAGGTTTGTACGGTCGATGCGAGGTTTCACTGGGATAGATACATAGATTAATATTTATTGCGCACCAAAAACAAAGAAATATATTGAAACGGCAAAAGTTAGACTGCCTTTCGACACCAGAGAGAGCACAGTTTGAGATAAAAGGGGAACTGGATAAGATTCAGATAGTGCATTTGACATTTTAAAATGAGTATGGAAGTTTTCTACATTGTATCATGTATGTCGAGATACTAGAGACTCAAACAACACAGTCGAAAGAATGGTAAAAAGTAAAGACGTAACGCATTCGCGTTGAATAGTTAGACTTAGTCGCAAGTGGCGCCAATTAGTGAAAACAACTACGAAACCAGTAATTCCTCCGTGGTTGAGGATTCCGGGTGAAGCTCGCTTCCACCTTCGGCCTGATCGTCACTTACCATCAGGTGAGATACAGGCCAAGAGCTTCCTCGTTGTGGGTAAAAAAAAAAAAAAAAAAAAAAAAATTTAATTAATTTTATTATTGACAATTTCACAATTTGACATGTAATGAATATTATAAATGTTTGTTTTTAATTTTATATGCCTTAAATAACTTAAATTCTAACAGAGAGCCTACAAGAGACTGCCTCCTAAACACCTAAGCGTTAAGGTCGAAAATGCTATAATACTCACAAGCCTTGTGCCTGATGGTGGTCATCTTGGTCGGCTCCGAGGCTTCGGAAGGTCCAGCCTTGTTCACGGCGATCACGCGGAACTGGTATTCACTGCCTTCTGGCAGACCCTCAACCTTGCCTGAGTTCTGAGTTCCAGGAACCTGGAATGAACATTTGTTAGACATTTTTAGTTACATCGTATATCGTATCTAAATCTAAATCGTAAAGTCCGACTTTCCGACGGGCGGCCGCAGTGAGTGTGCGAGCGCGACAGCAATATAATTACGCGCGAGCGATAAGGATGAGTAGCTTGGGGTCATTGGAAGAAATTCTACGTGCTCGGCGACCGGACTTTAGTAACGTTATTTCAGACTTTACCGTCAAATGCGCGTCACTATCTTAATTTGATGGACACAGAAAAATCCACGCGTGCACAACCTAGTTTATTAAAAGCTTACGTAAAGGATTTTTTATTTTTCCAGCTCTAAGCAGGTAAAATAAACCTGCAGTCTCATGCATAAGTAGGTACCTACTGCTACTGTCTCGCTTGGCCTTTTTGCAAAATTTTAAAGAAGTTGCGGAGTTTTAACGTCTAAAAATGCTCATATTCATATGTTATGTATTATATGTATTCTCTTTTACCTCAGCAGCGTTCTCCCAATCGCCGCCCTTGGGCTTCTTCTGTATGATGTACTTCTGAATAGGCGCGCCACCGTCCGACTTGGGCGGGTCCCACTTGATCTCAGCGCTCTGGTTGTCGTGGTCAGCCACTTCGACGTTGCCGGGCTTGTCTGACACGTCTGGTGACAAGTAAATTAATTACAATCATTTATTGTTTCCCACAAACAAAAATTAAAAGTTAAAATTAAAGTAAATACAGGAAAAGGCCATGAGGTTCAGCCAAAGCTGTCTCGATAAATGTCAATAAGTATAAGTTAGAAAACATAGTGTGGGCTGGCCTCCCACTCGGAGGACCTAGTGAAGTTCGCGGAAAGCAGCTAGATGAAGGCAGCGCAAGACCGGTCGTTGTGGAATTCCTTGGGGGAGTATTAGTTGTCATTTGGTTGTACGATGAGCAGATCTTATTGACCTGACTGGTTAGCATGGGAAATGTAGGCTAATTAAATCTGTTTGAATCTGGTAAATTCGAGCGTCAAGTTCCTGCAGTGGAAACTAAATGACCTGATCATGATGATTAGTCGGAACAGAAAGACTTTTAGATAACCAGGGCGGCGCAAATAGACATGATGGTAGCAGTAACACAATAAAAATTTTTTCTCACATTTTTATTTAAAAACCATCCAGTAAAACTATATTTGAATTTAGTGATGTCACCAAAACAAATCGTTAAGACAACATGTAACGTGACGTCACGCTCAGCTTAAAATTTAGATACACACAATTTAAAAGCTTGTATCATTTTTACTTCTAGTTCCATTCCAATACTGGTTTTACACAGAGCAAATAAAAGGAGTCTACATCTAAACTTTTAGCTAAATGTAACTAAATCTGCTAGGGTTGTCACTGTACTCACCGAAGGGATTCTTAGCCAGCGTAGCTCTCTCAGTTTCCAGCGGTTCGGAGTCTCCCTCGTCGTTGACAGCGGTGACCCTGAACTTGTACTGGTGACCAGGCTCCAGGCCGGTGATGTCCATCTCTAGAGGCTTCTTGTCGCCGGCCACTCTGTAATGGAAGGTAGTATGAGTTTGAGTACAGACGACGGTTTATCAAGGTCTTTAATTATGTAGTTCTAATATATGTAAGTGCGCACATTAAGCCGATTTGGAATCGGCCGATTCTTCGGCCAACTAAAAATCGGTGGTCTGCTCCTAGGCTAAAGCAAGCAATATAAGCTGGAAAATGGTTTGGTTCATTCCAAAGTCCAAACTGCAAACCAGAGGTGGAATTGTGTAAAGCGATCGTTATCATTTATTTATTTATTTATTTATTTATTTATTTATTTATTTATTTATTTATTTATTGCACATAATAGATACATTGTATATTGTTAGGTACTAGGTACTAACATACAAATGCACACCCGGTTGGGTACAGCAATACAAATAACAATTTATTATTAAATATTATTAACAATTATTATAAATCTAAAGTCTACCTACTTATAAATTTTATAAATATATCATACAATTGCAAGTAACTTAAAAATATTATAATGTATATAAAGGACTCTTTCTCAGAGATAAAATAAACACATGTGTTGCTCTGTAAAATAAAAGATTTATTTAATATTAATACATTCCCCATTGAAATAAACTAAATTCCTTATTCATTGGCTATAACACAAACCTGTAAAATAAAAGAAACGACATTTAAAGTTNGGCTTAATCCTCGGAAACTATGCGTCCTAGTGACATGACTACTATGAACCAAAAAAAGCATATTCAATTTGCTACAGGTGAGATAGTCAACTTTTTTGATAAATTGTATAGTTTTCGCGGCATCTGCTCTAGAAAGTCTGTAAAATTGGAAATTTTATTTTTGTCTTACATGTTCCCATCAGGAGAAAATCGACTAAATCAACATTGAGCAATCATTCTAGACATGCGGGAGTATGTTAAGCCTAGTTCCAGGGAGGGGACTGCACCGTGCGTATATTTAGACGAACCACTTTGAGCCACTATTGATTCCTCATCACTCAAAAACTACTGTGCATCAACACTTCAAATTTGGCTCATGTGTTGAGACTTGCAAGATAAACATCAGCTTCAAATTTCATAAATATGCCTCAAACGGTTCTTTAGGTATTGACGTCCAAAAATCTACATGTCTGACCTATATACCAAATTCTAACCACTTCTAGATGATCTCGAAGGTTCAAATTTGGCATCCAGAAAGGTAGTTATGTAAATACAAAGGAACAAATAAAAAACCAGTAAATTTTAACATTTCACAGGTGATAGATAGATTTTAGTGTTCTAAATGTAGATTTTTGAACGTCAATACCTAAATAACCGTTTGAGGTATGTTTATGAAATTTAAAGCTGATGTATATCTTGCAAGTCTCAATACATGAGCCAAATTTGAAGAGTTAATGCACAGTAGTTTTTGAATGATGAGGAGACAAAAGTGGCTCCAATTGGTTCATATAAATATACGCACGGTGCAGCCCCCTCCCTGGAACTAGACTTAACATGCTCCCGCATGTCTATAGTGTTTGCTCAATGTTAATTTAGTCGATTTTCTCCTGATAGGAACATGTAAGACAAAAATTAAATTTCCAATTTTACAGACCTTCTAGAGCAGATGCCGCAAAAACTATACAAGATATAGAAAAACTTGACGGTCTCGCCTGTAGCAAATTGAATAAGCTTTTTTTGGTTCATAGTAGTCATGTCACTAGGACACATAGTTTCCGAGGATTAAGCGAAAAACCGAAAAGTGGTACCTTTAAACCCCCCTCTCCCTGCTGGCTCAAGGGCTAAGGGCGGGGACTTTTGCTATGTTCACCACCTAACTAGGCTAAATAAAGTCCCGAGGTCAGAAATTGTTTTCCACGGATTTCTCTCTACACCGTCGTTAAGGCATTCATTGACTGGACTAATCATTTATCAAAGAAGTAGTAAAGCAGAGTTGCAGACATTGAATGGAGACGAACATTTTAAGAATCATTTGGGTTTCATTTCCAACTAATTACAGTGTAAGAGCCACACGTGCTACTTTTACCATCGATGATCGGTGATTGAGTCGGTTTTTCGGAAGCCCGACGCATCCACAACGTCGCAAAAACGCGCGATTCCGATACCGCGTCTAAACGCTTGAATCCGCGAAAACGCGATGTTTATTTATTTATTTAAAGGCACAACCACAGAATACAATTCAATAAAATTACAATGTTGCATCGATTCAGTCGCAAAATCGCCGATTATTCGATGCTAAGAGTAGCATATCCACTGTGGCCCTAAGACCACCGCTAGCTAGACGAGGCCGAGGGTCTATCTTAATTCAAATTCAAATATTTATTTGCACAATTTTGGGTAAACATAATGGTCTTAAAACTAGTATAAGTAGTCCGAATCATGAATTTTATTCATACAGCTTCAGTACTCATTTCTAAATTGAAATCAAAAACTCACCACGTGGGCGCTATGTCCGAGCCGCGCCTCTTCTTCTCTCGCTCGGGCACCTCGATCCACGTGAAGTGGCCCATGAAGGTGAACCCGCCGACCTGCCGCCATACAAGTGGTTAAACTACTAAACTAATAATACGGGACCGACCACAATAAATAAAATAGACTGATATCACTTGTATAAAGCTTCAACCACACCAACGCGTGCAGATCGCCCACGCCAGCGCGATCACGGTGCTATCCACAGATATGGATAGATGCAGCATGTGTCAAAAATTGTATGAAGCCGAGCGTGCCACTTTTTAAACGTCATTAGTGTCATTTTAGCGAATTTTAGTGATTGCCGCAACGTAAAAGTAATCGTATCATCGTACTGCATTTGCAAAGTCATCGAAAGATATCGTGTGACTCGATTCGAAAATTAATTAATTCCGATAAAACTGATAATTTGTTAAATACAAAACGAAAAACATCTTTATTTACCTTTTTAAAATAAATTAATTCTTACAAATCGTCAAATCTCGTTATTTTTTTTTACCCTACCAGCGTGTTAAGACATAAATTTGTCAAGTGCATGAATACATGGATCAGTGTGTGTCTTATTGTTTTGAGTAAGTACGGTTCCTTGGGATCGGTATAAGTGCACCACATACAGGGACCATGGTTTTAACTCTTAAGAGTACATCGCAGGATATGTATTAAAAACAATGCTACTTTATACTTCTTCTACTGCTACTTTATTCTAATTAATTATTTGTTACTTGTGCTGTTAATTACAATTCTCAATCCGTAAATAATTTCTTCTTTCTAACCGTGTTCGTACTACTGTCCTCGTAAAATCATCGTAACCGATTGTTGTAATCGGATTACATGAACATCACTCGACCATGTATGTCCATTTGGACATATCGGAATGGCACGCTTTGACGATCAACTTACTGTATCTACTCTAATCCATATCTGTGGTGCTATCATAGGCCAATGACAGGTCGCGCGGACTGTCATGGGTCGCGCGACTTGTCATTATTGGCCTATGAAGAAGTGAAGTTGAAGGCCTACTATCCAAGAAGTTGTGGCTTTGTCATTGTGGTTGTAGTACATACACTCCAAAAACCCATTTAGAAATATTTGACTTACCTTCTTTAAACAATTTTATAAATACCCATACTAAATACATATTTTTAAAATCGTTTGACTCAGACCATTTACTACCTCCCCAGACAAACATAAGACAGTTTAAATATAAAAAATGCCAGAGCAAAGCGATTTCGAAATAAAACTGTCTCGAATTAGTTTGTCTTGGAGGGTTGATGCGTGGTCTGCGCAAACTTTTGGCTAGATTATTACAAGCTGAGTGTTAAAGTGAGTAAATAAAAAAGTTAAAAGGTTTAGAATACAATAAAGTTTATGTTTAGTATAGTTTGTTATAGTTTAGTATAATGTATGAGAAATTGAGAAGGATGTAATTAATTATGCTAAACTACCTACACAACGCGTCGAACTCGAAACAGTTTTTTCACCTGTGGAGTGTGGAGTACTCACCTACTCAACAATGTTTTCCTTTTCTTCTTTATTCTTACTGATAATTTGAGTTTTCTTAAGATCATGATGAACAATTCAAACGTTCACTATTTCCTAGCATTTTAAAAAAGAACCCACACTGACACAACTTACCACAAGCACAGAATTTATTTATTTATTTTTTATTTATTTATTGCACATAATAGATACATTGTATATTGTTAGGTACTAGGTACTAACATACAAATGCACACCCGGTTGGGTACAGCAATACAAATAACAATTATTAAATATTATTAACAATTATTATAAATCTAAAGTCTACCTACTTATAAATTTTATAAATATATCATACAATTGCAAGTAACTTAAAAATATTATAATGTATAATCATTACAGTTAAAACAATATTTATTTACCAACTTAACATGAAATACTATGTTTTTCCTCCATAAATTCTTTAACATTATAAAAACTTTTACTTATTAAAAATGTCTTTAATTTATCTTTGAATAAGTGATCTTTAGGTATATTTTTTACATTATCAGGCAGCTTGTTATAAATTTGTATACAACGGTAGGCAGGACTATTTCTGAACATTTCTGAATTAGGAGTTGGAAGAAGAAGTTTGGTTTTTCGTCGGGGGTTTTGATCATGCTGAAATAGGTAAGTGTGTTTTCTGACAAACATTGCCGCTTCTAAAATGTATAAGGATGGTAAAGTTAGTACTTTCTCTCTAATGAAATGAGGTTTACAGCTGACTCTCTGTTTTATATTAACGATTATTCGTAAACACTTTTTTTGGCTTACAAATAAGTCTTTAGCATCACAGCTATGACCCCACATGATAATGCCGTAACGCAGCCACGCGTACGCGTAGGCGTAGTATGCCGTGAGGGCCGATTCTTTCGACGAATTAGTTTTTAGTACACCCAGTGCATAAAGAAATTGAGATATTTTTAATTTAACAGTTTCAACATGCTTTTTCCAATTTAAGTGGGTATCTAATGTTATGCCAAGGAGGTTAAATTCACTTATTTCTTCAATATTTATTTTTTCTGTAACTGGACTAAGATTAACTTTTTTCTTTTGGTGTGGTTTAAATTGAATTAGTTTGGTTTTTTTATTATTTATTTCTAGGTAACCTCAATTTAGCATAAAGCACTGTGAGCTAGTAGTTTCAGCTCACTTCGGTAGATGGCGCTATTTCGTATGTTCTTCCAAAGTTTTGTTGATAAGCGACAATTTGAACGGTAACGGATACTTGGAAAAGATATATTTTGCACTATTTTTTCACTAAACCAGGTTAAAAGTAGCTAAAAACATTACAAGTATCATACCGAAGACGTTGCATAGTACTTTATTATGAGTTTTGTTCGGTTTTATCACTTTTACTTCACTTTTTAGTCAATGTTTACAAGTTGTTATTATTCCACATCGTCATGATATTAACTTTTGCCAACAATCACACACAATATTTAAACACTTTTGATCACGTTTAGCAAGTTCTCTCATAAAGTTATTTGTTTTTACTATTTTTAAACACAATTTATTCACGGAGCCTTTGTTTACGTGGCAGTGGCGCCTTTGAGCCTTCGATACATAATAGCTAAGTACAAGTCTTTAACCTAACTCATTTATTATGCGAGGGTAGTTTACGTTCATTGCTTAATATCGGTCCGAATCATACAAACGCTTTTATTTCCTACTCTAATAACAAGATGTTCTTCATCAATGAATATTTTAATATTAATTAGAAAAAGAACAAGATCTTTTTTTAATTAGCTTACTTTCACAATAAATGCAGTAAAAACGTTATTTGGAAAATGAAGTATTATTGGCCTTATTTTTAGTCACGTGTTACTAAACGTGGTGCTATCAAAGTCAATTGTTTCCCGTTTTGTTGTTGAAGTTCGATTCGGAAACATGTTTTTCATCGTAAAGGCAAACCTATTAAACTGTTTTAAAGCACTGTTTAGTCAAGTCTTTGCTTAATGCCTTAAGCCCAAATTTTTCCCTTACACTTCTTCTTCTTATCGTGTCGACGACAAACCTACACAGTGTCAGCCCAAAACTCCGCCACAAGAGTGGCGTTGTCAGCAGCATTCATTAAATCCTCCTGAGTGCAGTTGCTTGGGCACTCAGGGCACGACATCATGTGCTTCATCGACTGGGGAACAAAACCGCACCTGCACTTCTCTTTCCCTTACTAATATAAAGTAATTGTTTTAGTTTTCACCGTCAAATGTTTTTTTAAGACGTCGCTACGCGAGTTCTCCGTAAAGTACCACAGACTCTTCTTAGAGTCCTCCAGCGACTTGGTCCACTTTTAGCTTGGTCCACGGGCCAAGTCGCAAAAAAGGACCAAAGGGGTTAAACGTCATCTATCGCATCATTATTTGAATTTTAATTATTTGAAATGTTTTCATTTACTTGACTCTGGCAACACAAGTGTAAATCGCACGAAGCCACAATGAAAATAAAAAAGATTTTATTTTCCTTTTTCATATTATTCACCATTAATATATTTAAAAACTTGCATAACATTCAGTAGTTGACCAGACTCGCGTGTCCAGTCAAGCATAAATTCTCATATCAATCGACTCGTGCGCATAAATCGCGTGCGAACCGCGCGTGCGTCATTATTCTTTGACAATCGCCGTGTATGCGGTAGTAAGTACTAGTTAATTAGGTTTACGCAGATATGGGCGATGTAGTTTGAGATTGTATTTCTAATAAGTAGCGAGAACGGTAAATGTGAAGGCATGAATGGGTACTAGCCAGATCTTTTTCAAAGACTATTTGCGCTCTAAACATTTTTTTTGCAAAAAAAAGTCTTAAAACTTAGTTTTCATCATCATCAGGTCATTTAATCTCAGCTGTAGGAGCACGACCAGAGGCAAATGGAGCATTTGGCGAGTCTTCCAGCGACTTGGCCCACTTTTGGCTTGGCCCACGGGCCAAGACGCTGGTTTTAATTTTTAGATATTTTTTCGTCCGGCAACTGGGCCCAAAAATCTACTCTAGAATCTTAGTGGATACAGTTGCCGGAAGAAATATTTAAAAATTAATTCCAGCGACTTGGCCCGTGGACCAAGCTGGCCAAGTGGGCCAAGTTTTTATGGAAAACTCCATTTGGTCAACTCTCCCCATGGAAAACTGACGTAAACGGTAGTGAGAAAACATTTTTTTATTTCAATATCTGTCCGGAATTGGGGACTAATAAAAAATTGTATCAAATCGTCACATAATTTCTTGATCATTTATTGTTAAATATTTTAATAAATGATAATTAAAAATAATATAAGTACCTAATAAAAGCTACGCAGGAAATCGATTCGCTTCGCGCATTACATCGATTTGAAACGCCTTTTCTCAGTTGATATTAAATCGATTGTAAGTTACTTACTACACTTACGCTCGCTCGAGTCATAAATCGATAAAATATGTAACATACTCGTAGGTTTGTTGACTATTGTAACAGCCGTATGAATGAAGGCTACCATATTCGCGGTCACCATAGCGCCACTTGCGAATGATAGGACTTATAAAACTCTACAGTCGTTGAGTGGTGCCATGTGATAGTTAAGCTTTTTCTTTCTTAATTTTTTTTACAAGAATATTTATAGCAATTTGTTCACCAACTTCTAAAACAAACAGTTTGCAACAAAATCGCCCGTATATTTACGATAATTCAATACTTTCGCGAGGAAACCAACGCATAGACAACACGACTCATTGACGATGTCAATTTCGATGTATCCATCTAAATTTATATTTGAAAAATCTCGGATGATATTGACGAGTCGGTGATGTAGTTCATCTTCTGTTTCCCACTTGTGCTCATCTAATCCATAAAATACCATTTTTTTACTGTTGTTGTTATTCTCAGAGTTTCGCACGGATTTGAATTGGTTATTCAGATGAGCTATTTCCTCCTTCATTATAGTAAGTTTTCGGTTTAAGTTTTCTATTTCAGATTCCAGGTGCTGATGTTTGTTAGTCACAGATTCTATGCGCTGAGTAAACTCATTATTAATTTGTTGTATTGAGTCCTGGAGTTCTTGTTTTACAAGTGATTTTATTGCATTTGTTAAGAGTTCAACTATTTTATTTTCGTTTTGTTCCAGTTTCTTATCGAGAAGTGTGCTGATTTGGTCAAGGGTGAGTGTAGATCCACTATTAGGCGTTTCACGTCGACATGGCAGTATATGAGACATGCGGGATGTAATTGTGTCACCCAGTAGGCTTTCATCATTCAATAAGTTCTCAGCGATCGAAGTTTCTTCTGTCTCTGCCGACGACGGTTCAACTGGAGAAAGTTTGTTCGACTTGCAATTTTTTCTCAAAGTAACATTTGCGTCTTCTGCATTTAGTGTTACAGATCGTACTGGTGTGTTTATGTTATTTGTCTTCGGTTTGTTACAAATGCAATGCGGACATTTCCATGTTTTTCTATGCTCAGCGTCCAATGTATTATAAAAGCGCTGCTCAGATACATTTGCACAAATCAAGTCGTACGTCGTCTAATCCATATATCAACAAGCTGGAAGCTGGCTTGAAGACATTCGATGAAGCATTCGAAATAGCATACGAATTCGCAAAAATTTGATACAATGATTTGAAATATACGAATTTGAATAAAATTACTTACTGAAGAATTTCTCTTAGGGATTGGATTATTAGAGTCCAAGAAGACCAGTATTTTCACCACCACTTGTTATTAGTTAGTTTCATCATATTGCATGCTGAGTAAAAGCGTGTGTTGACGTGCCGGTTTCCACCCGCTCCTGTTTGTCGCCGGTCCAAACACCAGCCCGTTAACACACGGAATATGTAATGCTTCAACCAGATCAATGCATGCAGATGGCCATCGCCTGCGCGATCATAGACCAATGACAGGTCGCGCGGACTGTCATGGATCGCGCGACCTGTCATTGGCCTATGATCGCGCCAGCGTTGGAGATCTGCACGCGTTGGTGTGGTTGTAGCTTAAGTGGTTAATTTTGCCATGCTATTACTTGCACCAGATCTACCAGGAATACGGACACAACATGCCAAGACAGTCACAGACACCTGAAAGTATTCAGCAGCATCGAGCTGGAAGGTGGACTGGTCGACGACGTCGATGAGCGGCGTGAGCACCGCGTCCCGCTTGTGGGCGGAGCGTTGGAGCAGCGGCCGCAGCCAGTCGGCGCCGACTTCGCAGTGCGCGTCCAGGAAGATTAGCACGTCTCCCCGGGCTGCTTTCGCGCCCTGCACCCTGGCTACCATCAGACCCTGCCTGCGGTTACACTGATCATGAAATGAGGAGATCCGTGGGAGAACCAGAGTGACTGACATAGCCCGCAGAATCGCTAAAATCAAGTGGCAGTGGGCGGGGCACATAGCTCGAAGAGCTGATGGCCGCTGGGACAGGAAAGTTCTTGAATGGCGACCACGAGCTGGAAGACGTAGCGTGGGCAGGCCTCCCACTAGGTGGACCGACGATCTGGTGAAGGTCGCGGGAGCGGATGCAAGCGGCGCAGGACCGGTCTTTGTGAAAATCCTTGGGGGAGGCCTCTGTCCAGCAGTGGAAGTCTTTCGGCTGAAACGAACGAACGAACGATCGTTTGGCATAATCAACACTTTTTTGCTTGTTTGTGTATCCAGGAAGAGTAGCGTGTCTCCCCGGGTTGTTGTGGCGGCTTGATTACTTGCCTGTTAAGCCGGCAATACTTGAAACCTTGCAACATTGAACTTAGATTAAAAATATCGTTTGCCGTAGAACACACCGTTATTAATTTGCGTTTTTGGTCTTTACCAAAACCTATGTGTACCTGTATAAACTTTCAACTTTAAAATTCACTTAATTTTACATAAACTTTTTCAACGCATTTTTTATAATGGGATTTTTTTACTGTAACAAATAAATAATGGAAAACCGGGACGCTTCTCGAACCTAAAGATGATACAAAGAAATAATTCGCAACATGTTACATGGCGTATATCTGTTCAAGCATTTAACAACGTTGCCGAATGTCTTTAGCGTCGTAGGCATAGATGCTGTGAATACGTGAGATTGTCTGTGTATGTTATGTCGCAAATGTACGAAAATATGAGGTATATCGAATGTTGGCGATTGTAATGTGTAGGTATTAGGTACCTTTGCAATTTCAAACGTGTTCATCACTATGGGAAACTATTGTATTAAAATAATATTATATCGTGTAAATGTCCAAGAATAAATTGAAGACGTAATCGGAAATAAGGAGGAAAAGAAAACCTTGCTTAGTATCTAAAATAAACACTATAAATATACTAAACAATTGACCCAAAATACCAAAAAAAAAAAAACACACAAAAACAAACTGCCCAAAAAATACACTGCAACGACCAAAGCTCGATATACAAACCAAAAATTACACACAAATTAAAATTACGAAAACAAAGCCACACTACGCAAAGATGGTGAAAGAAAATAAGCCCCTTTGGTGACAAGAAATAAAATAAAAGTATAATCACATTGTCTTCGTTCCTATTTCTGACAACAGTCAGGAGTAGACAAAATGACAGTTGTGACAGATTCAATTTCGTAAAATTACTCAGCGATCACGAAATGAAGAATGTTCACTAATTTTGTTATTTAGCTTTCTGTATTCTCTGTTAAAAATAAAAAATACACGTGAAAGAATTATTTCGATACGTCAATTAGTTTCCAAGATATTGAATTTTAAAAGTGCGGGCGGCGGCCGGCCCGCCATTTTATGCGCGTGACGTCATATTACAACGACTGGCTCATATTTGTATGGGTGGAATCTTGCAAACTGAATTAAGACCCACTTCCAGGCAACCGATTAAGCTGAAATTTCGCAAACACATGTGATTTGGATGACCATGCAATATTATGATGACATGGAGCTGATCTGATGATGGAGCTGGAAGGTGGCCATAGGAACTCTATAATAAAACGACTTAAATGCATCGAGTTTGGGCTCGTTCGTTTTGTATTGATGAGTATTTTAATTCTATATAGTAATCGGGGTCTAATGATGGAGCTGGAAGGTAATTCGCAATAAAACGACACAATCGCATCAAGTTTGGGTTTGGTTCAATTTTAATTTCTGTGATGGGTCTGGGTGTTAATATGTATAATAAGTTTGTATTTACAAAAAAAAAATATTTAAGTATGTTTATATCCGTTTTCTAGTGAGCGGACGCTGTGAATGTACGTCACACGGGGTCACGTGACCGTCGGCGGGACTCAATATTTAAGCGAACTTTGAATGCCTATAAAATCATAACTACTGGGTATTTTTGAATGAAATAAAAACTAATGTATTTGTAAATGTAAAAGCTTAACTGTAACATAGGTTTCAAGTGATTTTGCATACCTAGTAACATTCTCAATTGAATCTGTTACTTGTTTGTCTAGGGTGCAGGCTAACCTTAACATATAAACGAGTCACTCACCAGTCATCACGCATGATATGAGGCAATGTGAATATACTTTTAAAACAATATTTAAATGAACTCAAAATCTGGTGACAAGAAAGCAGAGGAAAGAACGTCATGATTAATTTTTGCACATCGATAGTAATGCCATAAGTCTATCCTATCGACAAAATATCAATAGAATGGCGCAATTCTTTTAATAAAGGCAACACTATTATTATCATGGATAGAATCTTATCTATGTCATTTTAACCATTAATGTCGTTCGTTTAATTTCAGCTAAAGTCCGGTCGCCGAGCACGTAGAATTTCTTCCAATGACCCCAAGCTACCCATTCATATCGCTCGCGGGTAATTATATTGCTGTCGCGACTGTACGTGTGCCGAAATTCTATGTGCTCGACGACCGGACTGTTGGTAGGAGGTATATACTACGAGTATGTAAACAGACACAACGTTCTTTCTCATTTCAAAGCAGATGATAGAAATGTCAGGGTGTCGAAAACTGGAACGTAGACAAATCACTCGTGCGGTGGACAGACAACTGTGAGACATCGAGGCCTTGCTAGACTAAACAGACACATTGTGGGGTGAGGTAGACAGGTGATCCTTTGGTTACACACTACCCTACCTACTTATGTTGCTGCAATGGTTCAATGGGGTTCATAAAATAGAGACTAATTGGGAATATTGAGATAGCAACATTTACGTCGTAACTTCTAGTATTGTAAAGCACAAAGCACAGACTGAGAACCCGGGTTTATCAAGAAAATATTTGTCTGGAAGAATGTGAAACCCCATATTTCATCTTTCTACTAAATTGTCGGACTGAACATCATCTGTCAGGTTAATTATTTGCAAAAGTTACAGACCCACATCTGTTTACGCGGCATCAAAAGCTTAACCATCAAAAAGACCAAAGGACCACCCCAAAATACCATCTAAGTGCCCTAAAAACCGTGCAAGAGAAACTTCCGACAACCTGGAATGAGACCTGGTCCTGAACGCTGTAGTAGAAGTTGGAGGCGTCGATGACGTCGATGATAGGCACCACCACCGCCCGAGGGTCGTCCTTGGTCCGCTGGAGCAGCGGCCGCAGCCAGTCCGGCTGGCCTTCGCAATGGGAGTCCAGGAACACCAGGACATCTCCGACGGCGTAGCGTGCACCGGCGAGGCGGGCGCGAGTCAGCCCCACGCTGTGGATATACTGGCTCTCAAAGGGATTCTCTAGTCCTGAATACTCCTGATATGGCGAGGTGCTTTCTTCATAGAAAGCAACCTGGACTTCATAGTCCAGTTTTCATGGGTAGCGCTTACTTAGTAGAAACGAAAATAAGTGTAACATTGCTGACTATAAAAGAAGATCTTGAGCAAGGATTTGTTCAGCTTAAAATTTGTATAAGGTGCAACTTTCAGTACTTTTTCAGCACGAGCTTTGGACGTTCTTTGATCATAACTCCTACGCTTCACGACACCCTATGCTATGGACAATAAAGTTGCTTTCTAGGACACGGTCCATGCTGCATATTCGTTGAATTTACTCCGCAAAATAAGACAATTTTCAGGTGTTCTGGTAACATCAATGAGAATGGCGAGAGATGGGTCGTCCTTGGTGCGCAGCAGTGGCCGCAAGGTGCAATTTCTAGCATTTTTCCAACACGAGCTATGGACGTTCTTTGGCAACTCCTACGCCTAATGACACCCCATGGACAACTAGGTTGCTTTGCTTCCTAGGACATTGTCCAAGTCGCAACTATACGCTGATATAAGATCCCTTCTCAAGCTGAATATTTTTTTCCTCTAGTTGTTTTCGTGACATCAATGATTTGACGAGAGATGACGATTTTTTGACATCACAGTAATGGAATGGTAATGCCCACGCAAACTATTTACACTAGTCTAACTATGACTCTTCACACTAAAAATACCCCAATTTTGTAACTACTCTCAAATTGAGTACCTACTTACACTCAAACTATAGTACTTTTATTACCAAAATCTACCCGTTGGCTATACTCGTAGAATTTAAATATCTATGTTGCCCACTGCCCAGTGTAACAACTGACCAAATAACAACACTGATACCTAAACTAGGTATAATACAACTATCATACAAATACCCAAATCGACAACTCCCAAATAAATCTAAATTCTGAACTATGCTCCCAAAATACAATTTGACCAGCTTCTAAATTGTGTAACTCAACATCTCAACAACTCACTGTGTGAATGCGCACTAAGATTAGTGCGCATTCACACAGTGAGCGGTCCGTTTCACAGGTTCGTTTATCGTATGTAGTTTTATTCGGCGATGGCGTATTTACGAACGAGTTCACACACAAAACCTTAGGCCAGGTTTCCACCAAGCCAAAGCCGGCGCGGAGCGGAACTGTGCGGAGCGGAGACGAGAAGTGGAAGTAATGAAATCTGATTAGTTATTGAACACACTTCTCTGCTCCGCTCCCCTTTGGTGCGGTATGTTACCTCCAGTAGCTATAGATCGTTTCATCCACAAAGACGCGCCCCACCCATGTTTGGTCTCGGTCGCGCGGGGAGCGGGGAGTTTGATCCGAGCAATCCGAGCGGCATTATTGTAGTGTGCGTGTGCACTCATGGATGATTTATCGCGTACCGATAATACTCAAACATTAGCGGAAGAATAGTGGGGCGCGTCTTCGTGGATGAAACGATCTATAGTAGTAGTCTATAAAAACGATCCTGTAAATACGGACTTTCTGTGTGAACATGCCCTAAATCCCTCTCAGTTTGACACATACGACATCCAAACATAAGTCTACCCATTTTTATTGCAAAACAGCACCCGTTACAACTGTATAAGACACAATAAGGGACAGCTCATCCCAAAAAAAAAGATACAATAATGTTCGCTTGATGCGCAGTCTTCTGTAAGGTATCTTTTTTTCTTGGCTTTCGCGGTTTGCGTTTAGACTCAACGGTAAGTATCATATTGAAAGGGATCGTAATGAATAGATGTAGGGTTGCACAATCAGGCCGGATCACCTCAAACTCGACCGCGCTGCCCGCGTTATTGTACTCAAGTGTGTCGGGCTCCAGCATATCAATAAGCGGTGTCACAACCGCTGTCCTGTTGTCCTTGATCCGTTGCAGCAGCGGCCGCAGCCAGTCCCAGTCTCCTTCGCAGTGCGAGTCGAGGAAGACCAGCACGTCGCCGGTAGCGGCACGGCTGCCGGCCACGCGGGCGCGGGTCAGCCCTATTCTAACCCGAAGAGAAGTGAGTTGAGTACTATCTACAACTGACATCCTCACCTCGCCTATGGTTCTACCTGCCTACGAACCGAATCATTCGGTTGTTCTCCCAAGGGTGAGCGTGTAAATGAAACTAATCTGTTCTGGTGGAACTATAACGTCCTAACTTTGTATGGCACTGTCAATTCGCGAATCAGTTCTGAGAAAAGCACCTAAGCAAGGGCGTAGACTCTACGCCGTAGAGAATGTGTCACGCGATTGCAGAAAGAGTGCAACGATCATGCCATAAATAGCAACGTAAACGCTCGTTATAAACAACGCCATCACGACCGTCACAAGAAGATTTTCCGAAGAGTTTGCAAGTTTAGTCCTCCGCGCAAGCTGTAAGATAGGACTATCCAAAACACATAATTTCGTATAGTTAAGACGGTCTTCTTATCAATGCGCCATATGTGAAAGAACTACACGGGTACGTGCCAAATAGATTGCTCTACACAATTCTTGACAACATATTGGCCGGTGCTCAGAAGAAGTGACGGAAGAAGTTCAGTTAATCTTCCTTGATCCGTTGCAGCAGCGGCCGCAGCCAGTCCCAGTCTCCTTCGCAGTGCGAGTCGAGGAAGACCAGCACGTCGCCGGTAGCGGCACGGCTGCCGGCCACGCGGGCGCGGGTCAGCCCTATTCTAACCCAAAGAGAAGTCAGTTGAGTACTATCTACAATGAATTATATGGATATCCTTATACCACCCTTGGTTCCTGATCCCTGCTACACAGGAGTTGCAGCGGTGGGAACGTGAGGTAGAAATAGTCCCGTACACTTGGTTCTAGATCTAGAGGAATACACAGGCGCGGGTCAGCCCTAGTCTAGCCTAGAAGAAAGTGAATACTATTTACAACTGATCTCCTCATTCTACCCTTGGATCTAGAGGAAGACCAGCATGTCGCCGGTAGCTGACCGGCTGCCGGCCACGCGGTCGCGGGTCAGCCCTATTCTAACCCGAAGAGAAGTGAGTTGAGTACTATTTACAACTGATATCCTCACCTCGTCTATGGTTCTACCTGCCTACGAACCGAATCATTCGGTTGTTCTCCCAAGGGTGAGCGTGTAAATGAAACTAATCTGTTCTGGTGGAACTATAACGTCCTAACTTTGTATGGCACTGTCAATTCGCGAATCAGTTCTGAGAAAAGCACCTAAGCAAGGGCGTAGACTCTACGCCGTAGAGAATGTGTCACGCGATTGCAGAAAGAGTGCAACGATCATGCCATAAATAGCAACGTAAACGCTCGTTATAAACAACGCCATCACGATCGTCACAAGAAGATTTTCCTGGAAGAGTCTTCAAGTTTAGTCCTCCGCGCAAGCTGTAAGATAGGACTATCCAAAACACATAATTTCGTATAGTTAAGACGGTCTTCTTATCAATGCGCCATATGTAGTGAGAACTACACGGGTACGTGCCAAATAGATTGCTCTAAACAATTCTTGACAACATATTGGCCGGTGCTCAGAAGAAGTGACGGAAGAAGCTCAGAAAATCTTCCTTGATGCGTTGCAGCAGCGGCCGCAGCCAGTCCCAGTCTCCTTCGCAGTGCGAGTCGAGGAAGACTAGCACGTCACCGGTAGCGGCCCGGCTGCCGGCCACGCGGGCGCGGGTCAGCCCTATTCTAACCCGAAGAGAAGTGAGTTGAGTACTATCTACAACTGATATCCTCACCTCGCCTATGGTTCTACCTGCCTACGAACCGAATCATTCGGGTGTTCTCCCAAGGGTGAGCGTGTAAATGAAACTAATCTGTTCTGGTGGACCTATAACGTCCTAACTTTGTATGGCACTGTCAATTCGCGAATCAGTTCTGAGAAAAGCACCTAAGCAAAGGCAGAGACTCTACGCCGTAGAAGACGTGTCACGTAAACGCAACGCAATAGCAACGTAAACGCTCGTTATAAACAACGCCATCACGGCCGTCACAAGATTTTCCTGGAAGAGTTTACAAGTTTAGTCCTCCGCGATCGCTGTAAGATAGGACTATCCAAAACACATAATTTCGTATAGTTAAGACGGTCTTCTTATCAATGCGCCATATGTAGTGGTAACTACACGGGTACGTGCCAAATAGATTGCTATATTGGCCGGTGCTCAGAAAAAGTGACGGAAGAAGTTCAGTAAATTTTCCTTGATGCGTTGCAGCAGCGGCCGCAGCCAGTCCCAGTCTCCTTCGCAGTGCGAGTCGAGGAAGACTAGCACGTCACCGGTAGCGGCACGGCTGCCGGCCACGCGGGCGCGGGTCAGCCCTATTCTAACCCGAAGAGAAGTCAGTTGAGTACTATCTACAACTGCTATCCTCACTTCGCCTATGGTTCTACCTGCCTACGAACCGAATCATTCGGTTGTTCTCCCAAAGGTGAGCGTGTAAATGAAACTAATCTGTTCTGGTGGACCTATAAAGTCCTAACTTTGTATGGCACTGTCAATTCGCGAATCAGTTCTGAGAAAAGCACCTAAGCAAGGGCGTAGTTTCTACGCCGTAGAGAATGTGTCACGCGATTGCAGAAAGAGTGCAACGATCATGCCATAAATAGCAACGTAAACGCTCGTTATAAACAACGCCATCACGGCCGTAACAACATTTTCCTGGAAGAATTTACAAGTTTAGTCCTCCGCGCACGCTGTATGATAGGACTATCCAAAACACATAATTTCGTATAGTTAAGTGACGGTCTTCTTATCAATGTGCCCTATGTAGTGGTAACTACACGGGTACGTGCCAAATAGATTGCTATATTGGCCGGTGCTCAGAAGAAGTGACGGAAGAAGTTCAGTAAATCTTTCTTGATGCGTTGAAACAGCGGCCGCAGCCAGTTCCAGTCTCCTTCGCAGTGCGAGTCGAGGAAGACCACCACGTCGCCGGTAGCGGCCCGGCTGCCGGCCACGCGGGCGCGGGTCAGCCCTATTCTAACCCGAAGAGAAGTGAGTTGAGTACTATCTACAACTGATATCCTCACTTCGCCTATGGTTCTACCTGCCTACGAACCTAATCATTCGGTTGTTCTCCCAAGGGTGAGCGTGTAAATGAAACTAATCTGTTCTGGTGGACCTATAACGTCCTAACTTTGTATGGCACTGTCAATTCGCGAATCAGTTCAGAGAAAAGCACCTAAGCAAGGGCATAGACTCTACGCCGTAGAGGATGTGTCACGCGATTGCAGCAAGAGTGCAACGATCATAACATAAATAGCAACGTAAACGCTCGTTATAAACAACGCCATCACGATCGTCACAAGAAGATTTTCCTGGAAGAGTTTTCAAGTTTAGTCCTGCGCGCACGCTGTAAGATAGGACTATCCAAAACACATAATTTCGTATAGTTAAGACGGTCTTCTTATCAATGTGCCCTATGTAGTGGTAACTACACGGGTACGTGCCAAATAGATTCCTCTACACAATTCTTGACAACATATTGGCTGGTGCTCAGAAGAAGTGACGGAAGAAGTTCAGTAAATTTTCCTTGATGCGTTGCAGCAGCGGCCGCAGCCAGTCCCAGTCTCCTTCGCAGTGCGAGTCGAGGAAGACCAGCACGTCGCCGGTGGCTGACCGGCTGCCGGCCACGCGGGCGCGGGTCAGCCCTATTCTAACCCGAAGAGAAGTGAGTTGAGTACTATCTACAATGGATATCCTCATACCACCCTTGGTTCCTGATCCCTGCTACACAGGAGTTGCAGCGGTGGGAACGTAAGGTGGGAATAGTCCCGTACACTTGGTTCTAGATCTAGAGGAATACACAGGCGCGGGTCAGCCCTAGTCTAGCCTAGAAGAAAGTAAGTTGAGTACTATTTACAACTGATCTCCTCATTCTGCCCTTGGATCTAGAGGAAGACCAGCATGTCACCGGTAGCTGACCGGCTGCCGGCCACGCGGGCGCGGGTCAGCCCTATTCTTGCCCGTGGAGAAGTAAGATTCTTTGAGAACCATCCATGTGTGCTATTGTCTACTTATAAACCTGGTCTCGTCATTTCGATCATAGTTCTACCTGCCTAGCGGTTTAGGAGCCGAAACTTGAGAGAGCGCGTAAATCAAACTAATCTTCAACAGTTCTGAAGGTCCTATACGTCTAGATGATGTATAGCACTGAAGATTCGCGAGTCCGTTTTATGACACGCAATGACGCAGAGGAGTCACTATGATATCGCATCAAAAGTCCACCGATCAAGCCGTGGATATACCGCTATGGTGCGCCACCAGAAGCCCACTACTGGACTAGCAGTAACCTCAGTAACAGCTTCTGTAGCCAAAATGGCGGCTTGTGAAGTTAAATATCATCCAACCAAAAAACTATACCTATGTGGGTAAAGTATAAAGGGGGTAGTTCATTCTTGGGGAACTAAAGTTACTGAGCTTCTTTAGCCACTTCTTCCAAGCACCAACTGATATGTCGCCACGAAGTGGTGTAGAGCAAGCTATATGGGACGTACAAATCAATAATTTAAATTTAAAATACGCCAGCGAATAAAGCCAAACTCACCGGTCCGGCAGCCGCAGTATCCTGATGAGGTCGGGCGGCAGCCGCGTGCGCACGTAGTGACTGAGCTTGCCTTTGAGCTCGGGCAGCGTCGAGTTGTCGTCTACGAGGATGATCTCCTTTAGGTACACGAAGGGCGAGGACGGGTCTTGGCCGGGGTAGCCTGGGGAGAGAGGCTAATTTTAGACTATCAATGACTCCGTGTTTTATGCAAGGGTAGCTTGGTGATATCAGGCTAGTGTTAGGCCTGATTTCCACCAAGGCGGAGCGGAGCAGAAAAGTGTTTTGAATAACCAATCAGATTTCAATATTTCTACATCTCTTCTCCGCAAAGCTCCGCGCCGCCTCTGTCAAATTTTATAGAAAATATACAGCCCGACACTTCTTCGCTCGCTCCGGTCCGCTTTGGTGGAAGACAGGCCTTACAGATTATTATAACCCATATTGTGCAAATAAAGACTATGATTTGATTTGAAAGGCGCCATGTGCAAATGTAATATCATTTTGTGAATTTATTCACCAGATTAACTGATTATTACAGGTTTAGATCAAGTTAACTGTCAGAGAAATATTTTGGGTCTTGTAGGACCCGTAGACCCGCTGGGTAGAACAGGATAACCGTGGAGGACATCTTCGTTCTGCTGTCTAGTATGTACCCAAAACGCTGTCCAATCAGCGTCAATGTACACCTTGCCTCACGTACACCTTGCCTCACAATGTCATCTATATGTAAATGTAGAAGGGTCATGTTGTTAAAAGAGGTTCACTTACCCAACGTCATATAGGCCAGTAGAATTAAACACAAAAATTGATTAAATCGGAAATAATTCCTACAAAAGATTTTTTTGCTTTGATGGCTTCATTGGTTGCCCATTAAGACTCTCCTAAGTTTTCGACTTCGACGGAGTTGTGCTTAAGTGGTGGGGGCCCCCGAAAGGGGCGTTTTTTCGGTTTTCCGGTTATACCGCGTAAAGGACTTACCCTATCGAAAAGTGGTCTTCATGACGGTTAAAGGGCACTTAATCCTGCATTAAATAAGACCAAATTCATATGTTTTGGACAAACCGTTCTCGCGCTAAAGTTCGGCAAAGTAGAAAATATACGTATAATTAATGACCCTCTCCACGTCCAATGGCTTGTTACCCACATGCTTCCAAGCCTTGTAAAGGGTCGCCTTAACCAGTGTAACCCTAACAAGGCTCACGAGTTTGATTCGCTTATCCTTGTTCGTCCCAGCCGTTCCTTAACTGCGGTTGCTGCACCTCTTCCTGGCACTCTGTTAGGTAGCCTTGTTGTTTACTAAATTCAAATTAACTTATTTGCATTAATTGAACGTAACTGAAATTGGATGTTTATTAAAGTAATGTATAATAGATATTAAAAAAAAAAAGAGAGTGAGACGTATGAGTACAATAATTAAGTCGGTGTTATCGCGGTATAGCAGTCTTTTCCATACTTCTATTACAATAATTAACCTTACATTTACTTGACAAAAACTTTCATTAAAATTTATTAACAAGGAAGGGATGTAGTGTTTGTATCTACGTACTAGATAGATACAATACGCTGTCTCACGTACACAAGTGATAGGCAGTCACGTGACGTCGTTACGAGTGGGACGAGTCAGTCGTACGGCAGACGCCGGCGAGTACGGACGTGCCGCAGTGAGACGCTTGGTGTGACGGTGAGCCAGTGTGCACATTTACACTTTCCATAAAGTTGGCATGTTGAAACCACGGCCGGTCGCGGCGAGCACTGTTGACCACGCTCCACAACGTCCGGACCACGACGGAATACGGCTCATTGTGGAAGATGAGGATCACTGNCCGCGAGCACTGTTGACCACGCTCCACAACGTCCGGACCACGACGGAATACGGCTCATTGTGGAAGATGAGGATCACTGATGCTGATGGTAGCTACACAAAACTTGCCGTCGTCTCTCAGACAGCGAATAGGAAAGCCTTTGTACCAGCCAGTAGCATGGTCAGGCAGCTAAGAGGCTGGTCATTTTATGCAAAAAGGTTCACTCACCTAGCGTCATAGTCCTCCCTGTGTTCCTTTCCATAAAGTTGGCATGTTGAAACCACGGCCGGTCGCGGCGAGCACTGTTGACCACGCTCCATATAGTCCGGACCACGACGGAATACGGCTCATTGTGGAAGATGAGGATCACTGATACTGATGGCAGCTCCACAAAACTCCCTATCGTCTCTCAGAGACTGAATAGGAAAGCCTTTGTACCAGCCACTTGGACAGACAGCTAAGAGGCTGGTCATTTTATGCAAAACGGTTCACTCACCTAGCGTCATAGTCCTCCCAGTGTTCCTTTCCATAAAGTTGGCATGTTGAAACCACGGCCGATCGCGGCGGGCACTGTTCACGACGCTCCATAGAGTCCGGACCACGACGGAGTACGGCTCATTGTGGAAGATGAGGATCACTGATGCTGATGGTAGCTCCGCATCGTATAGCACGCGATGGCACGCTGGGTTACGGTAATCTGTAAGGGAGTGGTGATTTAGATCTGGTTCAGATTACGCGTTTTTAGTCGCGTGATTGTATTGATTGTGGATATAATGTATAAACCTCTAGTACCTCACTATTGCGCGAGTAAATACGACATCTGGACAGGCTCTTAGGCCTTCAGACAAACGTGATACCCGCGCGGTTTCTGGTGGTTCTCATAGGCGAGACACTCGAGGCGGTAACCGTGCGGTTATGTTTTGATGCAAATGTATGAGATTATCGCTGTCTGAACTAGGTCTTAGTTCGATTTCGCACAACGTCCAATCCGAATCCGTGAAAATACGATCCACAGTAGGTAGTTGTAGAACTAATTTGTAAAGTTTACGCATAAATCCGATTTGATTCCTTTGATTTCACTATTTACCTACTTTTCTAGATCCGTAAATTGACGGATTCAGATCCGACGTAGTGCGGAATCGCTTTGAGGTTTGATTTTACCACCCGCCTGGTTTCGATATTAATTTTATCGCTGTAGATTCAGTAGAGTACATATTCACGAACGAGAGCCGAGAACCGAACAATGCGCGACTAAGGTACTATGTTGAAAATTGAAATTGAAAATTATTTTGTTGGGGTTTTGATACGCTTTTTCAATTTTACCCTCAAATTATTAATCGTGAAAATACTTCATAATTTCGGATTCATTAGTAATAATCATTGAAGAATGAAACGAGATTATAGGAGTTATTTTTCGACCACAATTTGGCACTTATGGACATCTTTATTTACCTACCTACTTACTTTAAAAATGCAATTTTTGTCAAAATCTACCCTTCTTTCAGGCTTCATCATACGCTACATTCTCGGTGAACGATCGGCTATCGCCAGTTCATTACCTCGGCAAATAATAGGCTAATGCCGTGTACCATTCGCCACACGCACGGTGCGCGGGCGCAAACTGTGCGTGAAACGAGCCATTACAATGTACGGATGTGACTTCTTATGTGGCTGTAATAGATGCGATTTTACAACTAAAATATGGAGCTGTGTGTGGTTGACTGTACTATTTGCATCTCATACAGTCTACTGCATGTGAGACTATTAATTTTTGTTGCAAAGTAAAGAAAGATGCTTTTATATTCTGTCGTCCCAACCTTCCTGTTTTTCAGTATTTGGTTTGATAATACACAAGATATAGTCAGGATACAGGACACTATGTCAGACACCAATTCATTTAGGATTCAGCAGATTTTTACGCTTGATAGATCCATCAAGTAAACAAGACAACGCTAATCAACTAAAGCAAGTACCTAAATTTCTATGTGAAAATGCCACAAAACTTACATAAAACACTGAAAGAATTTATAGTGAACCTATCACTATTTAAGGTAAGTATGTCTGTAACACCTGTTTCACAATAAATAAACTATTTTTATAGCCTTTGTGGCAAGTGCTACACCCCTAACTACATTGCATCGCCCAATTATTCAGCCTAAAAATTCCTTATTGGATTGTTTCAATTTATAGTGCTTATCTAACACCAACAAGTTACTAATGAGCATTAACAATGTTATTATTACTTGTTACCTAGTTTACCAAATAAGTAATATTGACCTAAATTAATATGTAGCATATTTTCATGTCATTGGAACTCATATTTGTTTAGGTGTGCTGCTGTAATTGCGTCAATGGCATTTATAGAACCTAGAAAACGCAAATATAATTAATATTATGGCCTCATAAAGTGTGGCAAGGTTGTGCTTGTGACGATGAAGAACAAATTCTGAACTGATACTCAATGCTTAAATAAGTAGGAAAAACATTGTACTATTTGAATAAGTAAAGAAAATACAGGATGTTGATGTATTTGGGTACCAGAATCTGGACTTTTACTGTTTATGAATAATGTTTGGTATTTATAAACTTTGTTTGGTTAAAGGACATTCAACCCAACCTAACAAGACTTTTTTGAGTAGTGTTGTGGGGTACAGCTTACAAAATTGCTTGTTTTATTTTATTGGGAATAACAAACAATGCACAACACCCTAACTTGGATCTGAATTGTTTCAATAGTATGTTTTAATAGGTAAATTGTTTATCATTCACCTGCTAAAACCAGTATGCCTATCTACATTATAAAAGCTATAAAAAAACAAAACAAAACATTTCTACATCTTAACTTCGACGTTATAAATTCTACCTACTTTGAATTTAATACAAAACTGCCCAGCGGCCAATTACAAATACAATGATGTTAGCGATAAACCCGGTAGTTATTACGACTCGTATTAACCACTTCTTCATTAATTATCAGCATAAAAAACACATACCTTTCAAAGTTCTGTTATACGCTATGCGCTCGCTCAGATGCACGTTTATAGCCAGTTTCTTCTCTGATTCTTCACCCAGGATCTTGTCGTCACCCATGAGGTGGGACGCCACACCACCTTCTCCAAGACCTGGTATAATCCTGGCCTCGTCTTCCAGGATTTGACGCTCATATTCTTCTTCGAGAGGATCTGAGAACTGCGCGCGAGCGGATCGCTTCCCGCCTCGCCATTGTTCGAATAAAGCTAATATAGATACTACTAACACTAATATTAAGCATATCTTCGCCGCATGATAGCACTTTCTCACTGGAAAATGCATTATTTAGTTTCACCGGCAACACATCGGCGCACGGCGACGAGCGGTCAACAACTGACTTTGACATTTCGTCGCCATGTTTGTTTTGTTTACAGCCGAAGTTTTTCAAACAGGAAAGGCGAAAGTATACATAACATTCAGCCTTATCAGGTGGAGGAAGTGTTTTTTTTGGCGGCCATTATTGTTGGGATTCGCGTTTTTGTGAATGAAAATACCTATTTTTTAGAAATTCTAAGACTTAAGCACAATAAACGGTGATCTTTGAACTTCAAGGGAACGCTGTTAACAGATAATTTTCGTTTATCGAAAAGATTATAACACGTATTTTAGCCCTACTCACTCACTATTCCAGAAGCCAGCTTGATGCTTCTTTAACTCGTTACTTCTTGTTTAAAATGTTGGTATTTAATAGTGCATTATGGGTAAAGGGTAGTGCACTCATCACTGCTTCTCTTAGGCAGGTCACAGGGTCAATAAAAACGGGGTCAACAATTTTTGAATTGCAGCATTTATTCACAAAAGTATAAATAAGTGATTTATTGCACTAGCTAGCTAAATAATACAACACATACTTATAAGATAATGAGACAATAAAATTTTTCGGAATGTAAATTTTTAAGTACAGCGACATAATTTCAAGGAAAGTCATTACTAATTTTAATAAATAGGAGGAAGAAATATAGCACCCGATAAGCTTCCATATCATATCATACACACGCTCACGACTGTCAATTTGTGTAATTTACAGAGGTGTGCCTGTAGATTTACTAAATTATCAATAATATTAGCTATGTTAAAAGTTACATGGGACTGGGAGTGTCCAAAGAAGACCACACCCAACTACTGTGTTGCCAGGAATTAAGACTAAAAATACTCAAACAGCGAAGAAAAAAATACAATGGACAGTACACAACTTTGAAGCCTCTTAACAGACTCAATTAGCCCGTGACATAAAAAAAGTAGTAAATAATTCACTTTCAATGAGTCCGTTAGTCAAGTCGAATGTCATCGCAAAGTTATCGAATCCAAGTTTAATTTTAGCCAAGTTACTTGGCAGCGTCACTCTGAACTCTCGCCGTTTCTTTATACAGGGCGTCCCAGGCCGCCTGCTGTGTTTTGGACAACTTCGCGCCTTTCATATCTAGAACTTTATGGAACTCTGCGATGGTAGATTCCGGCAATAATTGCACAAATTGAGCCACGAACCCTTCTCGATTCCCGTCTAAAGGCGCCATGACTAGCTTCAGAATCATTTCAGCTTTCGTCATCAGTTTGATCACAACTTTGGTATACATCGCAGGCGCAGGCCGCTTCACTTCTGACCCAATAGATGGCAGCTCTAGCAACGCCGTTTTCAACATATGCGTATCTAACAACAACTGTTCAGAACCAACTGTGGAAATAGGCTTGCATTTGTAAATGTTTTGTATAAACTTTGGGATGAAAGAGTTGGCGAAACGGATGCAGAATTGCGTGAAGTACTTTCGGGAGGATGCTAAGTTGTCTCGGAGGTTCGGGACGGTGTTTTTGAGGTGCATGATGATTTGGGTGACGTAGGAACTCTGGTCGCCGACGTTGTCGAAGTTTAGCCAGGATATCTTCGTCATGGCCTGTAGGGCTGGCTCGCAGGCTAATTCCAGGTCTTGGACGAGCATCTGGATGCAGTTGTTGATCATTTTATGGAATAGGTCTTGTTCTGGCGTGAGGTCTATCTTGTCTGCGAGACCTGGAGCGACTTTTTCTTTTAGCTTCTGTTCCAGATGGATGGTGGTTTCGAGACAGTATTCCGATGTTGTGATGACACTTGTGATTTTCGCTAACTCTTGTTTTGTGTACCTGGGGAAAGAAATGTTTTCTTAGATTTCATTGGTGGGAAATAGAAAGAAACATTTATTGCCATGGACATCACAGAAGACAAAAGATGTAATTAATAGAAAAAAAAGCAAATAAGACATAGGTGACATAAAACATACAATGAAAGTGAGAGTAAACTGAGCAGTGCCACCCTGTCGCACAGCGATGTCCATCGCAATGGGACCCCACTCAGCATATGCCGTGGCCCCCGGTGAGGGAGGCCACGACGCTGGTTTTCAGTGTGCCCCATGCCGAGTGGGTTACGGACACTAACCTATACTGCATAAAAAAAAAAAAAAAAAAAATACAATATACAATAAACATAAGAAATAGACATACTAAGAAGTGACGAATTGTAAATTCTTCTATTGTTACAAGGTTCTCAAGGTTGGATACGAGGCTAGAGGCATTAAATCTAGGGTTAGGGTTCCCCCCGTTGTTTTCCTACTCACTTAGCGTTCCCCCCATTGTCCTCCTATCCTACTCACCTAGTGTGCACCTATCTTCTGATTAATTTCGTTGCGGGTCCAATGACAGTTTAACTTTCCCCCGGGACAAACTTGACCTTCACTGGTTGGGTTTTTGTGGCGGTCAAGCTGTAGATCCTGGCTACACAGGAGTTGCAGTGGTGGGAACGAGAGGTGGGAATAGTGCCGTCACCTATTGTCCCCCCTGTTGTGCCTTTACTCGCCTTGTATTTCCCCTGTTGTCCCTCTATTCAGCTAGTGTTCCCCTACAGTCCCCCTATTCACCTAATATGCAGAAAATAGGCCTCCCCCAATGTTTCCAGATTGGCCTCCTGTAACACAGCACGTTCCCTGTCACACAGCACGCTCCCTGTCACACTGCACGCTGCCTGTCACACAGCACGCTGTCTGTTACATAGCATGTTCCCTGTCACACAGCACGCTCCCTGTCACACAGTACGCTCTCATGTCACACTGCACGCTGCCTGTCACACTGCACGCTGCCTGTCACACAGCACGCTGTCTGTTACATAGCATGTTCCCTGTCACACAGCACGTTCCCTGTCACACAGCACGCTCCCTGTCACACTGCACGCTGCCTGTCACACAGCACGCTACCTGTTACATAGCACGTTCCTTGTCACACAGCACTCTCCCTGTAACACTGCACGTTCCCTGTCACACTGCACGCTGCCTGTCAGTTTGGTGTCCTGGCTTGATTCCCCATGTGGTGTCAGTTTTGCGTGCTATATGCTATTATGTTCGTGGCCACTTCAACTTGCTAATCCTAAACTTTTAGTTCATTAACGGATCTTCTCACCTAGTGTTTCCTCCGTTACTCCCTGAATCGGCTTTCAGCAGTGTCTGCAGGTTGGACACCAGGGACAGGCCGGGAGTGGAGGCACACGGGAGCGCCGCCTGGAGTACCGAGGAGCTAGTACTCGCTTAATGTTCTACAACTTACCTGTTTTGCATTCTGTCACTTTGGCAACGTTATTGTTATCCAACATTCTGTGCATGTCGTGGAACCTTTAATTAAGGCAACACCTTAGCTTAATTTATTTATAAGGATACTGTGAATGTATGGTGTATGTTTTGTTGGTTGTCCTTAAATAAATAAATAAATACCTGTGTCCCCTAGTTGTCCCCATACTCACCTAGTGCCCCCCAGTTGTCCCCCTACTCACTCAGTGTCCCCCCTCCTCACTCAGTGTCCCCCTCCTCACTCAGTGTCCCCTCTTACTTAACTAGTGTCCCCTGTTGTCACTACTCACCTCGTATTCCCCCCGTTGCTCCCCGAATCATCCTTCAGCAGTGTCTGCAGGTTGGACACCAGACTAGGAACGTTGGGTCCCAGGGCAGCTAGGGACAGGCCGGGAGTGGAGGCCCGCGGGAGCGCCGCCTGGAGGACTGACGAGGCATACTCGCGCAGGTACTTTTGGAACACCGTCGCCAGTTCTGGGGATGATGAATAATAAATGAGAAAACTTTATTAAAAAAATATTTGACAACTTTTAAGCTACCAGAAAACCGATTAAGTGTCCAATTTTCTGTAAAATTTGACGTCATGAGATGTTAAGTGTCAAATCATCATCATCAACAGCCCTTTACAGTCCACTGTTTTGCCATAATCCCCACGCTTGGCAGGCGGGTTGAAGATCGCAGTTTAAGATTGATGTTTTTCAGAGAGCGCTGCTGCCCGTTCTCTGTTGATGTGATGTGTAGTAGGGTCGCCACTTACGACACCCGCTGGAAGAGTTGGGGTTGGCGACAAGTGTATTCTACTCTGCCGTCACCACGGCTTGTCACGTTGAACGGCACACAAATGTCAAATAAGTCGGTCTTTTTGTGACCACAGTTACACCCGTATTCACAAACGATACTTGCTTAAGTGAAGCAGCAAATCGAACGCACAGCGTTGAATAGAGCTCTGTGATTGGTTCGTGTGTCACCCTGTGCGCACTGTGAGACCTCATAGTAATGTTTGTGAATACGGTGTAGTGTACCGAGCATGGGCTCCCCGGTGGTGAGCCGCGCGCACTGCACGAGGCACTTCTTGTAGAACAGGAACAGCTCGCCGCACGACGCGATCACAGCGCCAGAGCCGCACCCCGCGCCTACTTCTGACGAGCGGGCGTCCTGGGAACACAATAAACTGTTGTTATGCTTCAACCACACCAAGGCGATCTGAGGGCCTAGTGTGAGTTTTTATCAAACGCGCTCACCAGTGAGCGCGTCAAATAATGACATTAAATGTATGACGGATTGTACAGCGCCCCTAGCGGGAAACGGTCAAAAACTTAAAGGACATCATCCATTTTGGTCCAAAATCAAAAGTGCCGGCCAACAAAAAAAAGTGCTGTATTCTGACAGAATACGTCTGCCTTAGCATTTCGGCCGTTTGGTGTAGTGGTTCGAAACGGACTACTATTCCGGAGGTACCGGGTTCGATTCCCGCACAGTACAAACATTTGTGTGCATGAACATATTTGTTTGTATTGGACTGGGTGTTTTCTATGTATAATAAGTATGTATTTACAAAAAAAAAGTATTTAAGTATGTTTATATCCGTTGTCTAGTACCCATAGTACAAGCTTTGCTTAGTTTGGGACTAGAAGCGCAGTGTAAAATGTCTATTGTCTAAGGATATTTATATTTATTTATATTTGTTACTATGACACCAAAGCTGTAGCACCACTGTGCGTCGTAGTATTTGAGATCAAAGTCAGTCGTTTCATATATTTTTAGAACTCAAATACTACGATGCACAGTGGTGCTACAGCTTTGGTGCCATAGTAATAAATGCTAAGGCGGACGTATTCTATCAGAATACAGCACTTTTATTTTTTGGCCGGCACTTTTGATTTTGGACCAAAATGGATGATGTCCTTTAAGTTTTTGAACGTTTCCCGCTAGGGGCGCTGTACAATCCGTCATACATTTAATGTCATTTTTTGACGCGCTCACTGGTGAGTGCGTTTGATAAAAACTCACACTAGGCCCTCGGATCGCCATCACCGGCACGATCATGGCGTGATCAAAGGCCAATGATAGTTCGCGTGAACTGTCATAGGTCGTGCGACCTGTCATTGGCCTTTGATCTCTCCACGCGTTGGTGTTCTTAAAGCTTTACACACTCTCGTTGTCACAGTTCACACGCTCGATGTCTCGCTACAAACGTTTGATATTAGGGTATACACTCTCGTTGTCACGGTACACATGCTCGATGTCACGCTACACATAGACGCAATCCCTGTCCCTGTCACACTTCACTTTCGATGTCACACTTCACTTTCACACTGTACCCGCTGTCACTCTGTAAATGTTGCCTGTCACACAGCACGATCCGTCACGCTATGTGACACAGCACGCTCCCTGTAACACATTCACGTGCACGAAGCGGTCCATAAAAGATCGTCACGCATTCCGTGCCATACTATTATAATCATCTGTCACAGTATGGACACTGCCTTTGGTTTGTCACACCTTACACGCTCCCTTTCACTCTTTAAATGTTCCCTGTCACACTACACGCGCCCTGTAACAGAGTTACCTCTACAAATCGGTCCATAAATGATATGTGTATATACACAGTCTGGATGCAAACTTACGAACAACGAGAGGTACGGCTCGAAGCATTCCCCGATGGAGCGCACCCACGGTGACGTCAAACATTTCATGTCACGAAGATATTTATCAGTAACAGTATTGACATTCTCTGTCACGCTATACACGCTCCCTGTCACTCTGAACACGTTTCCACCCATACCGCGCGATCCCTGTCACACTAAACGCTCCTTGTCACTCTGAATATGTTTCCTGTCACACTGCACGCTCCCTGTAACACACTTACCTGTACAAATCGGTCCATAAATGATCGTAAATTTGCGTCCAAACTGTGTATGTACAACGAGAGATACGGCTCGAAGCATTCGCCGATGGAGCGCACCCACGGTGACGTCACGCCCGTCTCCGGCAAGTCACCCGCTTCTGAGGGCGTTTCGGACTCTGGGAATGCCTGGAAGATAATGAGGTTAAAAATATTTTATCATATTGCTTGTACGATCTTTGAACGTACAATTTATTTAGGTTGTTTATGTCAGCAATACGCGCCGACCGCGGCGCGGTGGCATCAACTTACAGCAAACTTTATTTCGATATTTCATTGATTTTACATTTAGTGTTTATTCGGTCACCAAACCAACCTAGTCCAGTCATTATAGTAGTTCACCTCGGAATTCGAGATACCCAGCTGTAAGTCTGTAAATACGTGTATATTGACACCCTAAAAGTTGTCTCAAAACCTACATATGGTAGGGTGTAAGCAACTATTAAATTTCAAGGTCAACGGTCACAAAAATCGGTTTTTTGCGCTTTTTTTAGAAATATCTCATTTCCTGTGGGTTTTTTGCTATTTGTATTTATTATCAATATTGTAGAATACTAAATTCTCTACAAATTTTGTTTAAAACTTTTTTTATACGGTGAACCGTTTTCGAGATAGAGGGCGGAGAGCGCGCGGTCACTGCATCACTTCAGGTCTACTTAAGCGGTTTAGATTTTTCATACAAAAGGATTTTCCCGCTAATTCCTGTGGGAATTTCGGGAATTCCTTGTTGTAACTAAGCTTTGAGTTTACTAAGGTACCTACATGAGAATTTAGTATTCTACAATATTGATAATAAATACAAATAGCAAAAAACCCATAGGAAATGAGATATTTCCAAAAAAAGCGCAAAAAACCGATTTTTGTGACCTTTGACCTTAAAATTTAATAGTTGCTTACACCCTACCATATGTAGGTTTTGAGACAACTTTTAGGGTGTCAATATACAAGTATTTACAGACTTACAGCTGGGTATCTCTAATTCCGAGATTCTTACCTAATTTAAGCTTAAATGACTGGACTAACCACGCGTAACCACTCATACCTTTTCACCATTTCGCACCATTTTAACCTAAGTAGTTTAGACCTTGTAATAGTGTTAGCTATTGCAATAAACTCTTTGTCATAGCAACCAGTGACTTTCCATCCACCATTCCTTTCTTTGAATGTGCGTACCGTACATTGCTCTTGATCACAATCTCACCCAGAGTGCAGAAAAAAAAATTTAAGCATTAGGTGATAAAAAGGCATAGTCAATTGACGTACTTTTTATATGCTGATGATGCGATTCTCATTACAAGCCAAACAAACCTAGATTTTGTAAAATAAAACTTTTGATTGGTGATTTAAGCTCATAGCAGACTTATCAAGTCGGAAAAGGATTTCGAGGCGAGGCGTTCACGTTACTGTGCGGATAACTGTGCGTTGCAGTATGCAGTTTCATACAAACAGATTGGTAATTATGCGACGTCCTTTATACTCACGTCTTTTGCATCCGGGTCGAAAGTACTCTGCTTGTCCAGTGCGCTCGGGTCTATGTTTTCAGCACCCAAATCGGTACCTGAAAATACACTAATTTTTCCAATCATGTATACAAATATATTGACGCCACTGTAGCACTTCCTCTCGTCTCTAATTTGAAGGCGTCTTTAGGATAAAATACAGACTATTTAATATTCTAAACTATTATGTTGCATTTTTTTACCATAAAATTATCACTTCACGAGATTTTCTCTGAGAAACTCGGACACTTATAGTCTGGTCGCACACTCACTGCGGCCGCCCGTTGCATAGTCGCGACAGCAATATAATTGCGCGCGAGCGATAAGGATGGGTAGCTCGGGGTCATTGGACGAAATGGTACGTGCTCGGCGATCGTACTTTAGTGTAGTTTGTCGGACTGACTGTACCACTGACGAAAATGTGCAAATGCGGGTGGGTGAAGAAAATTAATCGCGCCAGAGTAGACGACGATGCATCTCTTCAGTCTGCCCGCGACCATGACTCGTGCAACCGAATTGAAACGTCGGGAGGGTATTTACCGTTTAAAAAGATTTTGTTGCAAAAATCCCGTAACGTGATTTTAACAGATTATTTGTCTATTTGATGAGCTCACCAGTAAACCTCTTATGCAGCAGCAGCTCGAAGTTATACGTCTTCTGCACAGCATACAGAAGCAGCTTGACGTCTAACTCATTGCGCCGCGCTGCGAGGATATTGCTCAGTTCCGTTTTCGTGATCTAAGGAGAAATAAAATAAAAATAATTATCTTGATCACCATCAGTTTGCAAGTACTAATTTAAGAAAATAAGATGTTTTTGGTTTTGATCAGGTCATCAGGTGAGATTTGAGATGCAAGCTAAGAACTTTCTTATTGTGGATAATAGAACAATCCTTTCTGTGTCAAACTATACACACTATTATGCTATATACGATCCCTGTCACATTATACACGTCCTGTCACATATTACACGTTCGCAGTCACCCTGTACACACCTTGTCACACTACAAGTTCTCTGTCACACTGCACGTTCCCTGTCACACTGCAAGTTCCATGTCACACTGCACGTTCTCTGTCACACTGCACGTTCTCTGTCACACTGCACGTTTCCTGTCACATTACACGCCACCTACGTGCGTCCCAAATATAACTCGCTTCACCTCGCATTTAGCTGTTATAGCCTGACCAGGAACATAAAATCCCTGGCATAGAGGCGCTTCAATTGCATTTGATAGTGCAACACTGAGTACAATCGACATGTGTTAAATTAATAGGCTAAATTTATGTATCAGGATTCAGGATTACGGGCTAATTTGATATTTTCATAAATGAACGAAAAATATTATTAAAGGTTACCTGGTTTAAATAAATTAAATGAAACCATCAATCGAGCTAGTAGGATTTATTTTATTATTCATCAATAATCAAATTCAGAACTTGAATATTCAACTGCAATGTCTGCTCATGAACGCTTCAAACTCGGTACTTCTTTCCCAATTCCATAAAATTCAAAACTTAGAAAGTATCAAAAAACTTTAAAATGGGTAGTTGAAACAGACTACAGCTAATTTTCATAGTGGACTGTACTATACGATAAACATGTCAGTCAATTTGACAAACTTTGTCGGAAACATTATTCAATGAAAATATTGTCCGAACCCTTAGTATTTCTCTTCGACAAATACATTAACACATCGTGAACCACTTTTCTTTCACGACTATAAAAATATTTTAGCAATTTAATTCACAAAATCAATTGCACACATTTAAAATAAAGTTTGTTTACACTTTGACAACAATAGACTGACATGCAAGGTGACATGCCAATGAAGTTTTCAGTTACTGTTGCCATTAAAAGAAATTAGTACCATTAGTTTTCCGCAACATGGCGAGGGTTTTTATGTTCCTGGTCAGGCTATACATACCTATTTGTGGCATATCAACAGACTAGCTTTCCGCCCGCGGCTTCGCCTGCGTGGAATTTTGTCTGTCACAGAAAAACTTTATCGCGCGGGTCCCTGTTTCAAAAACTGAGATAAAAACTATCCCATGTCCTTTCCCGGGACTCAAACTATCTCTATGCCAAATTTAATCAAAATCGGTTCAGTGGTTTAGGCGTGAAAGCAAGACAGACAGACAGAGTTACTTTCGCTATTAGGCAGGCGGGAACACGGCGCAAAGTGAGTCCTCAGCTCGAGTGCGACCACCGACACTACCCGCGCACCATACATCGGGGAACCAGACGCAGGTTAGCGTACCATCCCTATATTGTCGACGTTCCACCAGCTCGCACTAAGCGTTCCGATGACTCTTTTATAATGCGAACAGCTAGGGACTGGAATTCGCTGCCTGCTACTGTCTTTTCCGGAGACTATAATCCGGGCCTTTTCAAGGCGAGAGTGAATAGGCACTTACAGGGCAAATATGTACCATCCTAGACTGCATCCCACTTAACATCAGGTGCGATTGTGGTCAAATAACTGCTCATAAGAAGGCTCAAGGTCACCCTAAGGGCGATGGAGCGGGCCATGCTTGGAGTTTCCCTGCGTGATCGAATCAGAAATGAGGAGATCCGCAGGAGAACCAAAGTGACCGACATAGCTCGCAGAATTGCTAAAATCAAGTGGCAGTGGGCGGGGCACATATCTCGTAGAGACGATGGCCGTTGGGGCAGAAAAGTTCTCGAGTGGCGACCACGGGCTGGAAGACGTAGCGTGGGCAGGCCTCCTACTAGGTGGACCGACGATCTGGTAAAGGTCGCGGGAACTGCCTTGTAATGCATAAAAAATAACCTTGCAGAACTGGTGCGCGATGCGCTCGCTAAGGCGCCAGGCGGGCGGGAACACGGCGCCAAGTGAGTCCTCGAAGGCCAGCAGGTGCCGCTTGAGCCACGCATAGCGCCGCTCGATGTGCGTCAGCCACGCGCACTCCTGCTCCGCCGAGAATAGGTGCTGGTACTCCTGCGGAGAGAGATAACGGAGATTACTTCTAAAGCCCGGTCTGTGAGCACGTAGAATTTTGTCCAATGACCCCAAGCTACCCATCCTTATCGCTCGCGCGTAATTATATTGCTGTCGCGACTGTGCGACTGACACCCGCAGTGAGTGTGTGAGCCCGATAGCAACATAATTACGCGCGAGTGATAAGGATGGGTAGCTTGGGGTCATTGGACAAAATTCTACGTGCTCACAGACCAGACTATACTCTACACGTGGTACAAACGAACTCCTCCTATGTTCCTCTGATTAATTTCGTTGCGGGTCCAATGACAGTTTAACTTTCCCCCGACACAAACTTGACCTTCACTGGTTGGGTTGTTGGCGGTCAAGCTGTAGATCCTGGCTACACAGGAGTTGCAGTGGTGGGAACGAGAGGTGGGAATAGTCCCGTACTCTACACGTGGCTGTCATAAGAAGCGGTTAAAGGCGGAGGTTCGCGCCGCGACAGACTGAAGACAGGTAAAAGTCGCGGTCTGCCGTCTCATGTTTGTTTCTTTCACGGCGCAAACCATCGCCTTATGGGACAAATATGAAAACATCAGGTCTCCACTACCTGTCTGGTCAGGGTGTAGAAACTTGCGTTAACCTTCGGTAAATAAGACATGGTAACACTCCTGCAGTGAAGAAGTGAACTGACGCTAGCTGTGCAAGCGTTCTTCTCACCCCCACCAAGTATAGTATCGTTCAGTTTTCTGGTGGAAACGGTTCAGGACCTGCGATACAATGAGGGCTATCGTTTTTATAATTAACAGTTGGCACCCTTGGCGATTGACAGGACCTTACTCTACAGTGGCGCCATCTTGATGAGTGCAAATGCGATAGTCCTCCAACCACTTTAGCGCTCACCAGTTGGTGCCACTGTCTTCGCTACTAGCAAGTGACAGGACCTTACTCTACAGTGGCGCCAACTGGTGAGCGCTAAAACGATAGCCCTCATCAAGCCATCAACACTACTTGAGTCCTATCCATTTCAGACAGTGGTTGTCCGGGTATGACGGAACAACTTCAACTGAAGCCCGCTTCTTCTTACCATCAGGTGAGATACAGGCCAAGAGCTACCTCGTCTACTATATAAAAATAAGTCGGGTTTTCCTCCCTGACGCTATAACTCCAGAACGCACGAACCGATTTCCACGGTTTTGCATTCGTTGGAAAGGTCTCGGGCTCCGTGAGGTTTATAGCAAAGAAAATTCGGGAAAAGGGGGTAAAACAGGATCCACGCGTACGAAGTCGTGGGCGGCCGCTAGTTGTGGATAAAAAAAACTCTTTTTTTGGCGTCTGGACATACCTGCAGCTGCACGCCGATGAACCACGTGAGAAGCTCGCGGCGCACGCGCGCGTCCAGCACGTCTAGCACGCCGCACGCCTCCGCCAATGTTCGCGTCGGCACCGTGCTCGCGCTGCCGCCTGCACGCGAATATGCTCTTTATTCACATCACAATGTAGTCTAAAAAAAGTCTCTAAAGTCCGGTCGCCGAGCAGATAGAATTCCGTCCAATGACCCCAAGCTACCCATCCTTATCGCTCACGCGTAATTATAAATTGCTGTCGCGCTCGCACACTCACTGCGGCCGCCCGTCGCACAGTCGCGACAGCAATATAATAATTACGCGCGAGCGATAAGGATGGGTAGCTTGGGATAATTGGACAAAATTCTACGTGCTCACAGACCAGGCATTAAAAAAGTCTTTGCCACTGACGACTAGGACTTGGTCCCAAAAAGGATCTTTAAAAAGTGGCGAAATCACTGTCAAGATTAGCCACATTATGAGTTGCTCAAAACATTGCTCCTGACAACTTTACCATCGCGAGTTAAAAGCGTACGTACAACGCCATCTAGTAGCGAGCAGTTCAAAACGTGTGTAACTGAATGCCACATTAGCAACTCTAAGTACGATGCCCATTGACCGGCGCGCATCGGAGCGCGTCCGAGCGCACTTACACGGCCGTAAAGAAAATAGTATTTTATTAACAGTTCTTAGGACTATATTTCACCGGGATACCATGGCGGCGCAACCAGTCGCCGCTACCAACAAAATGTATGCAGCTTTTTAAAGTAATAAAGTAATAAAGTCTTTATTGTATATGAACGAAGGTTGGCTTTGCGCAACCAAACGGACACCAGGTGAGTAACTCTCTATAGAGCTGTATACATTTTGTTGGTAGCCGGCGACTGGTTGCGCCGCCATGGTGTCCCGGTGAAATATAGCCCTTAGAGTCGTAATTGCTTAGAACTGCTTAACTGACATTTTGATCCGGACGAATGCGCGAGCATGCGTCGGAAGCCGGTCGGCTCCGAGCGTATTCCAGCGGATACGCGCGCATTTCACCGCATTTTAACGCTGCGCTGCGCGCCGACTCGCGCCGGTCAATGGGAATCCTGCTTTAGGCTTGATTTCTAACATTATTTCTGATGAACATGAAATAGGCAGTACGAGCACAGAATAATAATAAGTACTACGTACAGAAGTTTTACTTCGCGAAGGTATTTAAAAAAATGTATGCTCAATGTCATTAACAATATGGTGTAATTTAGCCTGTCTCAAGAGTCAAGCACCATTTTGTTGACAAACGTCAGTGATCGGCACTGCGCCGANGCATACCCAGCAGATTTTGGAAATTTTGAAGAAAAACTATCGTTTTCTAATGTCCATGTACTAATTACCATGTATTTATAATCACCGTTGTATGAAGTTATTACCTACATATGCATGCATTAAATTGCACTCACGATTAAATAACTACGATTATAAAATACCTAGACTTTGGCATTACAACTTTACGGACTTTTCTTCCAATCTAACATCAAAATTTTGAAAAGCTTTCATTAGAGTTACCTCGAAATAGATTCGATTTCATGACGAATGTTCAGCTTCAGTTGCTGCATGGTTGTTGGATTTTAGAGTGTATTTTAACCCCTAAGGTAACCCCACAAAAAGAAGTTAGCTGGAGTGAAATTGGGGCTTCCTGATGGCCAGGAGATGTCACCCCTGCGTGAAACATGTCTCGTACCAGATATGTATGTTTACTATTAACATCATTGATATTAACATGTTAAATCATAAATTAATTCTAA